ACCTCAATCTTCCGCCTCCCGTCCACCGAGTCCTCAGCGCCCTACCAGATGACCAGCCCGAAGACGAAGATGCAATGGATGTTGAAAATTCGCCCTCCGAGTTTGTTACGTACCTCTCTGCGATCGCAACGGAGACTTTATCTGCCAATAACTACATCTCGAGTCTGAATATTCTCTGGACACTTTCCAAGAGCAAACCAGCGGAAATGGATTCCCATATACCGCAAGTCATGAAGATATTCTCGCAGAAATTAGCGAAAGACCATGTCGCAGGCGCCGCCACAAACGGCCAAGCTCAGAATGGGACTAAGCCTGCGGAGGGTGCCCCAGACCCTCAAGAATACGAGATCGGCGTCGACCTCATATTCAAGACAATTGAGTTGATATCCGTCCGTATGTCTCATCTGGGTGAACAACGCCGCCCGTTCTTGAGTGTACTAGCCCAGCTCGTTGAGCGATCGCAGAATGAGGGGCTTTGCACCAAGGTATTGGATATGGTCGAGACTTGGATCTTCCACTCCACTGAATCATGGCCTACCCTGAAAGAGAAGACCGCCGTCCTCCACAAAATGTTACTCTTTGAAAACCGACAGACGCCTGACATGCTACATAAATTCCTTGAACTTGTGATTCGGATTTATGAAGATTCGAAGATTACTCGGACTGAGCTGACCGTGAGGCTTGAGCATGCATTCCTAATTGGCACGCGAGCCAAGGACGTGGAGATGCGTAATCGCTTTATGACCATCTTCGATCGAAGCTTAACACGTCTGGCAAGCTCTCGGTTAAGCTATGTGTTGACTTGCCAGAACTGGGATACACTTTCTGACTCGTTCTGGCTTTCGCAAGCTTCACATTTGATCTTGGGCTCTGTGGATATGACTGCTCCAGCTCGCCTTCATCCTGATGACTTCACGGTGTATCCACTCTCCTTTTTGTTCGGCAATGCGGAGAAGGACCCGCGTCGCGCGGAGATCATGGTCGACAATCAACTGGAGTCATTTATTGCTGAGCGCAAGAGATTCCTTGGTGAAATTGCCGAGGTCAAAGCCCGTGACCTGATCGAGCCCCTTACTCAACTCCAGCACACTGACAACACTACGGCTTACAATATTTGGACGGCGCTCTTCCCGATGTTCTGGTCGATCCTGTCGCGGGAAGACCGCATCGATCTCGAGAAGGGTATGGTGAGCCTCATCACGCGTGAGTACCACCAGAGACAGGTGGATAAGCGACCGAATGTCGTCCAAGCGCTGCTTGAGGGTGTCGTTCGTGCAACTCCTCGCTTCAAGATCCCCCCACACGTTTTGAAATATCTCAGCCGTACCTACGATTCCTGGTATACGGCTGCCACTTATCTAGAGGAATCAAGCATCAACCCGATCATCGACACACCAACTGTTCGTGAGAGCAACCTTGATGCGTTGGTGGAAGTGTATGCCGGCTTGCAGGAAGACGATTTCTTCTACGGTACTTGGCGAAGACGTTGCAAGTTTGTGGAAACCAACGCGGCGCTCTCCTATGAACAACAGGGAATGTGGGATAAATCTCAGCAGCTCTACGAGAACGCCCAAATCAAAGCTCGTTCCGGATCGATGCCATTCTCTCAAGGCGAGTACTATCTGTGGGAGGACCACTGGCTCATTTGTGCACAGAAACTACAGCAGTGGGATATTCTTAGCGACTTCGCTAAGCACGAGAACCTAAACGATCTGCTATTGGAGGCTGCCTGGAGGAATATTGAAAACTGGCAGAGCGAAAACAACAGAGAGCAGTTAGAGTCTCTTGTGAAGTCTGTCTCAGACGCTCCCACTCCTAGGCGAACATTCTTCCAAGCCTTCATGGCACTTTTGCAGTTCCATAACAAGAAGGAGAACATTCAGGAGTTCAACGGTGTTTGCGATGAGTCAATCCAGCTATCCATTCGCAAGTGGCTGCAGCTGCCTAAGAGCATCACCAATGCCCATCTTCCGATTCTGGAGCACTTCCAGCTTCTGGTCGAGCTTCATGATGCGAGCCACATCTGCTCTAGTCTGTCACAGACCAATGAGCGCAACCTCGACACCAAGTCTGCAGAGCTGAAGCTGCTCCTTGGAACCTGGCGAGACCGTCTTCCTAACTTGTGGGATGATATCAATGCCTGGCAAGACCTGGTTACATGGCGACAGCATATCTTCCAACTTATCAACGCAACGTACCTCGGTTTGCTGCCTCCCCAGACGAACAACGTCGCCAGCAACTCGTATGCGTACCGAGGATACCATGAAACAGCCTGGATTATCAACCGCTTTGCTCATGTCTCCCGGAAACACCAAATGCCTGAAGTTTGTATCGCCCAGCTGAGTCGCATTTATACCCTCCCGAACATCGAGATTCAAGAGGCGTTCTTGAAGTTACGCGAACAGGCCAAGTGTCACTACCAAAACCCGAAGGAACTTAACAGCGGACTAGATGTGATTAACAACACGAACCTCAATTATTTCGGTGCGCAGCAGAAGGCTGAGTTCTACACCCTCAAGGGCATGTTCCTTGCCAAGCTGGACCATGTCAACGAGGCCAATGAGGCTTTCGGTGTTGCTCTGTATTATGATTTAAGATTGGCCAAGGCGTGGTCGGAATGGGGTCAGTACAGTGACCAGCGATTCAAGAGCGACCCCAACGACTATGAGCTTGCCAGCAATGCTGTTAGCTGTTATCTTGAAGCTGCTGGACTATATAAGAGTTCGAAGTCCAGAAAACTACTCAGCCGGATCCTATGGCTACTCAGCTTAGATAACGATGAGGGTGCGATCGCGACCGCCTTTGAGAACTTCAAGGGCGAAACGCCTGTGTGGTACTGGATCACCTTTATCCCCCAGTTACTGACAAGCCTGTCGCATCGCGAAGCTCGCCTATGCAAGGCTGTGCTGGTCAAGATAGCCAAATTGTATCCTCAGGCCCTCTTCTTCCTCCTCCGTACCAACCGTGAGGACATGCTCAATGTCAAGAAACAGCATGATCAGAAGCAAGAGAAGCTCAACCGTGCCCGCCAGCAAGCTTCCCCCCAGACCAAGAACACACAGGGGGCGAATGCTACGCAGAACGCAACCGGGACTCCTACGACCCCGGCACAGAGTTCCCCCAACCGAACTCCCAGTCAACAGCCTTCACAGAATCAACCTCAGGCGCAGGGGCAGACGCAGCCTTCTCAGAACCAGGCTCAGCCTCAGCAACAGGGACAACCCCAAGGCCAGGCTCAGGTTAATGGCCAGAGCCCCGCCCAGAAGCCTTCACAGTCTCCCGCTTCTGCCCAAGGTGCCACGCAAGGTCAGCCGCAACAACAGCAAGCACAGGGACAGCAACAGACGAACTTGCAAGTTCCTCAACAAGGGCAACAGCAACAAGGACAACAAGGGCAGCAGACTCAGTCCACACAGAATCAGAATTCTGGAACTGAAGGTGAAAAGGAGCCTCTCAAGAAGCCTTGGGAGTATTCTGATGAGATCATGTCCGGTCTCAAAACGGCATTCCCCTTACTTGCTCTATCGATGGAGACGATGGTCGACCAGATCCACAAGAACTTCAAGTGTCCGCCTGATGAGGACGCATACCGTCTCATCGTCGCTCTGTTGAATGATGGTCTAGCCTATGTCGGTCGCATGCCAGGATCGTACGCGCAGGACTTCAAGCTCCCACCGGCGACCGAAGCGAATATTACCCGATTTGCTGAAACAATTCTCCCAGCTCATATTCGCAAGTCTTTCGAAGCCGACTTTGTCGTCAAGAAACCCACCATGTATGAATACATCCACAAGCTTCGCCGCTGGCGTGACAAGTTCGAGGAGAAGCTTGACCGCCGTCCGCAGATTCAATTCCTCGAGACCTACTCCCCACACTTGAGCGAATTCCGATTCCTCAAGTTCGATGAGGTTGAGATTCCAGGGCAATATCTGCAGCACAAGGATAAGAACCAGGACTTCATTAGAATCGATCGGTTTTTGCCAGACATTGACCTCGTACGCGGTATTGGCGTCTGCCACCGTCGCCTTAAGATCCGTGGCCACGACGGCAGCGTCCACCCGTTCGCCGTGCAACATCCTGCCGCGCGCCACTGCAGACGTGAGGAACGGATCCTGCAACTGTTCCGCATTTTCAATGGAGTCCTGGGCAAACGCAAGGAAAGCCGCCGGCGCAACCTGAACTTCCACCTGCCTCTCATGGTTCCCTTGGCTCCCCACATCCGCTTGGTCCGCGACGACCCGTCATACATATCGATGCAGGGTATTTACGAGGACTACTGCCGACGGGTTGGTTTCAACAAGGACGAGCCTGTTCTGTTTACAATGGAGAAGATGAGAGCATTGGCGGAGACAAAACAGAATGTGAGTAACTTTGTGCCGTTGTATTCGACCCCTACTAACGACTCCCAGCGCACTACCGAACAACAACAAGTTCTTCGGACTGAGATGCTCACGGCCATCCAAGAGAAATGGGTCCCCCCTACAATGGTTCTGGACTACTTCCAGAAGACCTACCCCAACTTTGCGGACTTCTGGCTCTTCCGCCGCCAGTTCGCTTATCAATACGCGGCAATTGCCTTTATGACCTATATGATGCACATGGGCAACCGGTATCCGAACAAGATCATGATATCGCGCTCGACTGGTGACATTTGGGGATCTGAGCTTATCCCTATCATCAACCCGAACAAGGCTTTCTTCTACAATCCAGAGCAAGTGCCTTTCCGTCTCACCCCCAATATCCAGACCCTGATGGGCCCAATTGCAACTGAAGGTCTCTTCGCCTGCGCAATCATGGCTATTGCGCGCTGCCTGACAGAGCCGCGTCATGAGCTCGAGCAGCAGCTCAGCATCTTTGTTCGTGATGAAATGATGTTCTGGGCCACTACCCATCACCGTGATCGCGGCGTCCTCTCCGCGCAGCAACTTCGGGACTTGGTTTACAACAATAGCGATATCATTGTCAACAGGGCCGTCAGCCTTGCCAGCCCACCGGAAGGCAACCTGCCCGCGAACCAAACCACCATTGATCTCATCTCCAAGGCTGTGAACCCGCAGCACCTGGCCAACGGCGATGCTCTGTGGATGCCATATCTCTAAGCTCGTTGTACCTCTTCTCCATTGTTTAGTTTGGCGTTTTGTTGTTCAGGTCGGCTTGCAAATACTGCAGCTTGTTTAGTTAGGGAAGGTTTTCTTATAAAGGTCTACTCCAGTTCTAGCGTGGCGCTTTGGGAAATTGTTACGGTGCAACGAAACTGTTTTTTCTTTTCCTTTTACTTCTTATATGTTTTATTTATGTTTATTGCACTTTGAGTATGTATGCTATGATTGAGTAGTCATAATACCCGGTTTATTTTAGAAAATGCTGTTAATCATAAACTATCTTCCCATCGTATATGCCCTTTGAACGCCTGTAGCTTGAATAAATAGAGCAATGGATATCTTATACTAACGACGGCTTCGCCTTCTTCTTAATGCCCAGGCTGTTTGGTGGTTGCTTCTTCGGTTTCTTAACTCGTGCGAATGAAGGTGGCGGCGCTGGGACCGGAGCCTGCTCTGGTGTCGATTCATCCTCCACCAACCGCTTCACCTTTTCCCCGGTCTCAGTCATGAAAGCCTTTCGCGCCGCTTCCTCGTCTTCCTGCTGAGCCTTCAACGCCGCCTCATCCACCTGATTCTGCACATTAGCAAAAGCCACCTCATCCCCCGTCGCCTCATTGCGCTCAATCCTCGCATTCCTCGTCCGAATCTCATCCAAGGCATCGGCAATCGCCATTTCTCGCTTCGAATCTAACATCTTCTCCTCCAGCTCCGCCATCTTATCCCGCTCCAGCTGCTCCTGCTCCTCCCCTTCCTCCTTCTCCAAGCGGTCCAAAACCTCCTGCTCGGTCTCATCCTGATTATCCGCCTTGGAGTCGCGCCACGGCTCAAAGTTCCTCTTCGCCCCCTTCTCCGCCCGATAGTCCATATTCTTTGGATCTGTCAGGAACGTGATCTCTCCACTGCATCGCGTGCACCGGATATAGAATCTGTAGATCGGGATCGAGAAGTACTTTTCCTCCGTTGTTTCCTTGCGCGCGTTGAACTTGCGACCGCGGTAGATAAATTCACCGCACTGTGTACATTTCATCGAAAACGGGGCCATCAGACGGACGGTGATTACTTTCGGACCTTGCGACCGGAGGTGTTTCGGCGTGCGGGTTATCGCCGACGGATCGAAGTCCGGGGGATAGTACTTCGTTCTGTGTTTGTTAGTAAAGATATTCTCAATACGGAGATTGGCCAATATAGTAGGAGCACGTACAAGACCTTTCGTTCAGACATGGCTGCGGGTTTGGGTGGTAGTTGCTGCTGATGAGTGAGAATTGAAGATGCGATGCGATTACCTATATGGGCAGGTCACGTGGTGGCAACTGAAGCACCAAGAGAAGTCGTCTTTGTTCTAAAACCACGAGGATTCGGTATGAATTGAAATGAGAAATGGGACCAGTTGAATGAGTGCAAAGTGTAAATCCTTCAATACTTCTAAATAGCTATGTCCTGGTGAAGAATCCAGCTCGGTCACGTGTTGCTATCCGAAAAAAGCAGCGACAAAAGACGCGGGGAATTAAACGACATTTGACGCCGATAAGACCGCGCGAGGGTCTAATTGCAGCATTCGACCCAATTCCCTCCTTCTGCTGCTGTTATTCGATTTTACGGTAGGACTATTCCTGTCCTCTCTCGTTTCCTACGTCCTACCGCACCGTTGACCTCCGAACCTCTATTTGTTTACACGCCTTGCCCAGTCGCCCATGCCGCAGCCCAACTTCGCCTGCCCACCTTCTCGTTCCCTACGCACTGGTTATGGAGAATTTTTTGCGCGTCTGGCGACAGCAGGCGAAAGTTCGTGGCCAGTACGATGCGGCCATTTTTATCGGAGACAAAGTCCTTGCGTTGACAAGTGAGCTCTTCTAACCGCTGCGGTAACCGACAATGTATTAACCTAACCATATTGCATTGGTAGACAGCGACGAGGACGCTCTTTGGCTAGCTGAAGTGCATTTTTCAAATAACAACTATACCCGGGCCCTTGCCCTCCTCTCCCGTCAAGACCTCATCTCGCGGAGCACCGCCTGCCGCTACCTTGCTGCACACTGCTACATCAAACAAGGACAGTACGAACAGGCCTTGTCGGTGCTCGGCGACCAGAACCCAACCCACCTCTTCCGAAGCAGCAACAGCCGCCGCAAGCTTCAACACGTCAATGGGCAAAGTCGTATAACCCTCCGCAACGGGAGATCTGCTGCGTCGCGCATCGACCGCACGGAAGAACGAGAGCGCGAAGATGCTGGGAACATTCGATACGAGGCGGGGATGTGCTACCTTCGAGGCCTCTGCTTCGCGAAGCAGAATGCATTTGATCGTGCGCGTGATTGCTACAAGGATGCCGTACGGATTGACGTGCAGTGCTTCGAGGCCTTTGACCAACTAATGAAGAATTCGCTCATGTCGCCGGCTGAGGAGCTGGAGTTTCTCGAGTCCCTGGACTTTGACTCTATTACAGGGGCTGACGCGCCTATTTCGCAAGAGGCGGCGGACTTCACGAAGATGCTGTACACCACTCGTTTATCGAAATACTCATCCCCAGCCGTTTTGACCGATGCAACCGAAACACTGTCGACCCATTACAGACTGTCTGAGAACCCGGACATACTTCTTTCCCGGGCGGAGGCTCTCTACACCCAGTGCCGATTCGCGGAAGCGCTAGAACTGACCTCTTCCATCCTTTCCACATCGCGATCGTCTTTGTCGGCGCAGGCCAGCTCCGCAGGTCAAAGCCACTTGGGCCACTCTCCCGCTGTATATCCTCTACATTTGGCATGTCTATACGAAACCGGGGCTACAAATGCCCTATTCCTCCTCTCACATACGCTCGCCGACCATTCCCCCGAAGAATCATACACCTACCTCGCTATTGGGGTATACTACCTGTCGGTGTCGAAAATCGCAGAGGCACGGCGTTTCTTTTCCAAGGCGTCGCTGTTGGATCCGCATTCAGCGCCAGCATGGATCGGGTTTGCACACACGTTTGCAGCAGAGGGGGAGCATGACCAGGCGATTGCTGCCTACAGTACGGCAGCGCGACTGTTCCAGGGTAGCCACCTGCCCCAGCTATTCCTCGGGATGCAGCACCTGGCGTTGAATAACATGTCACTTGCTCAGGAGTATCTGTGCGCGGCCTATTCGATGTCCACAGGAACAGCAGCGGGCACGGTTCCCTCGATACCCTCGGTGCCGTCCTCTGAGTTGTCGCCTCTGGGCGGAGATCCTCTGGTATTGAACGAGCTCGGCGTCGTTCTCTACCATCAAAACCACCTCGAAGGAGCGGTTGACTTATTCCGTCAGTCGCTCGTGTTAGCAACGTCTCTAAAATGCGAGCCCGGCGCATGGGTTGCGACACGGGCGAATCTTGGACATGCCTTGCGGCGATTAGGGAGGTATCCCGAGGCACTGGATGAGTTTGACGAGTGTTTACGAATTGGTTCAGGCGGTGCAAGTCTTGGGTACAGCCCGTTCCTTGGCGGGAGTGGAGGAAATGCGTCTGGGGTGGTCTCATCAGGTGTGAGTGGTTACGAAGAGCGCGGCCTGATAGGATCACTCTATACAGCGCGTGGGCTTGTCCTTTTGGAGTTAAACCGCACCATGGAAGCAGTCACATCCCTACACGAGGCAGTGCGTGTGCTGGGAGCGAGCGGTGGCGGTGACGCAGCAGGTGGGGCAGGCGTTGCTGGGACGCTCCTGTCGCGGGCACTGGAGATTTGGGCACTGGAAACCAACGAGACAGAGGCTGCCATGTCAGAAGACGGCAACCGAGCGGCCGTGCGGAGTTCAACACGGTCATCGCGCGACAAGGGCAAAAGCAGGGTATCGCGGCGACGGATAGCTGCCGATGACTCTTACACGGAGGAATGGACGGACGAGGTCGCGCAGGGTGGAGTGCAAAGCGAGGCAGACGGATTTCCAGGGTTGACGACGGACACAGTGGAAGAAACAATCGAGATGGAGCTGGATCAGGACGCTGAACGACTTCTTCGCGACTCTGTGGACCGGGTACGCGGGGTACAGCGACGACAGGGACACCCAACGGCGAGTAGCCCGGAAACTGAGATGCATCCGCGAGCGCGGGCAAAAGGGCGAGTAAACCTACGGGCGTGATAGTATTTTTATTATTGGACTTTGGATTTGGACAGAGCAGGCACAGGACTGGCACAGGACTAGATGTGCGACGGCGTTGTGACCGGGCGTTTTGGCCTTGCATGGATGGCGTAATAGTGAACAGACAATAAATACACGTTCTACCAAGCAGGCGGGCAATTGGACAAGATAAACCAAGAACAAAAAGCAGGGCAGCGGCAGGTATGCCTGTATTCGGGCGTGGTATAGTCAAGCATCTTACTCCGCCCAGGGCATGAGGCTCTTTCCACGGGACCGCAGCCCTGGTGGTTCCAGAATTGAACCAGCCAGTCGAGACAGGGCTTGGCGTGGCCTGAGGCAGCGGTCGGGGGCGCACAACTTCCCTGTCTGGTCACGCCCAACAGCGGCGGGTGCTGTGATTGAGTGCTGACGAGGCAGTGGGAGTGGGGCCGGTTTGGGGGCCAGATTTGACAGCCAACCAGCGAGTGCACAGCGCAGCCCAATGCAGACCCCTTCCTGCTGCTCCACTTGGTGCGTAACCGGCCAAGTAATGATATGACACTCGCTTGGGTGTCACTTTGAGGGTATCCTCATTCATCATGAGTATAGTCGTGGAACAGACAATGATTTCATGTAGTAGAGAACTGTAATAAGCCACGGTATGCGGCTGGGAGTTGGGAAGCTGCCAGTGCAGACAGTGAATGGCGTCATGAAACGCCACCAGGGCCGAGCCAGATGGCCACTTGGACCGCTTCTGGTCCGCCCGATCGTCGCGATTGTCGCTCGCTCCGCCCCCTTGACCACACCAGTCACTCTTGGGTGAATGTGGGAAGATCTGGAAACAATTGCGAGTTCAAAATGGGAAAGCGCCCTTGAGTGCGTCAGTCCTCAGTCTCCAGTCTTCACTTGTCCCTCTCCCTCCCTCCCTCTCTCTCTCTCTCTCTCTCTCTCTCGCCCATGCCCAGCAACCATGCTGTCGCGCGCAAACCGGCTCAACGGTAGCCTGCTGCGGATCCTATTCTTCCTCTGTGTGCTCAGCTTCGGCGCCGGCGTCGTGCTCTGGTACACCATCAACTCCGACCGCGAATTCCTCCACCCCATCCTCACCCAAGTCATCCCCGCCGGACACTGCGCGTGCGAGTCCGCCACCATCTTCGAGTGCAGCACATGCCTCACCTGCTCACACCAGGACACAACCCCAGCAACGTCAGCGGCCGAATCGGGCAGCGAAACTTGGGAATTCGACTACAACCGCGACGGCCAGAACGTCGGGCTCAGTAATAGCCAGTGCAATGCCGCGTTCCCAGGCCTATTCGAGGACGTCACCCGGGCGGGCAAATACTGGAAGAAACAAGGGGGTCTCTCGACCGCCGAACTAGACGCGATTCCTCTGAATCAGGGGATGGGCCGTGCAAGGATCGCCAACGGGCAGCTGTATGTGCTGGCCACCCGCGCGATGGGCGAGGACCACCGCCGGAAAATCGTGGCGGCGTTGAGCGCGATGCACCGGGCGCTGGCGGCGGACGAGAAGCGTGCGACCAGGCCGACGATTGAGTTTGTTTTCTCGGTCGAGGATAAGCTCTCGGATGTTGCGAGTGCGGAGCACCCTGTTTGGACACTGGCAAGGACACCTGGGGAAGAGGCGGCTTGGTTAACGCCGGATTTTGGATACTGGTCTTGGGACCACCTGCAGACGTCGATTGGGCCGTACGATGAGGTTGTTGAACAGGCTGCGGAGTATGATCAGCCTTGGGAGGAGAAGGATCCACGACTGGTATGGCGAGGGAAGCCGAGTTTCGCACCGAAGCTGCGTAGAGCGTTGATGGATGCGACGCGAGGGAAATCGTGGGCGGACGTGCAGCCGGTGGACTGGAAGACCAAGTCCAATGTGCTGAAGATGGAGGAGCACTGCAAGTACATGTTTATTGCGCATGTGGAGGGTATGTCATCTTTATTTTTCTTTTCTTTCTTTTCTTTTCTTTTTTTACACCGCTAATAATTCCCAGGACGGTCGTACTCGGCGTCGCTTAAATACCGCCAGGCGTGTCGATCGGTCATTGTCGCACACCAGCTGCAGTACATCCAACACCACCACTACCTGCTCGTCTCGTCTGGCCCGCAGCAGAACTACGTCGAGGTCGCACGAGACTTCAGCGATCTGGAAGCGCACCTCGAGCCGCTGGTCGCGGACCCCAAGCAGGCAGAGCGCATCGCGGACAACAGCGTGCGCACGTTCCGCGAGCGATACCTGACGGCGGCGGCAGAGGCGTGCTACTGGCGGTCGCTGTGGGATGGATATGGCGATGTCTTCAACGCCAGCAGCGAGCGGCGCGGGCTGCGATACGAATCGTTCATCCTGCAGGAGAGCGAGAAGATGTTTGACTTCAATAGACCTTAGACAAATACTGTAATAACTTAATGATGATATGGCATTAGTAATACGCTCTCGTACCGCTCTCCTGATTTCTTATTTCCTTCGACCCAGACAGCCCACCGACTAGCAGCTTGCACGGGCTGACGGGGTCGCAATCGGCAGCTCTCAGCCAGCCAGCGTCGTGTGTCCATCCCCAGCGCAGACTCTGCAGCCACCGCCCCCACGGCGCCGCCTGTCACTCGCTGCTGGATCGCGCGCATCTCACCACGGACGCGGACGAACCCATGATCTGTGCGACGATCCCTTGGCTGGCCAATGGCCTGGTCTGCCGCTCAATTGGCAATGATGCTGAAGACGCGATGGCTGGGACACGGCGAATCAGCAGAGAGCCATTCGTGAGCTGCTGCATTCTCGAGCAGCAAGCTCAGCTTAGCTGCGAGCTGTGGTTTAAAGCCTGTGCTCCTAGCTGCCGGCTGGATCCATGGTTCACTTTATCTAATTGTTCTTAATACTTGTGTTACTGTTTGTTTGTTGACAATGCCCTCCCCAATCCCCCAGCCAAAAGGCCTCCCCATCCTGGGCAATCTCTTCTCGCTCGACTCGAAAAACCCCTGGGGCTCCTTCAACAAGCTGGCCACTGCGCCCTCCAACAGACCCATCTTCAAAATCTCCATTCTCGGCCACGACATCGTCTTCGTCACCTCGGCCAAGCTGCTCGAGGAGATCTGCGATGAAACCCGCTTCCGCAAGTGCGTCGCAGGCCCCATTATCCAGATCCGCGCCGCTGTCCACGACTCGCTCTTCACAGCCCTCCACAGCGAGAATGAGATCTGGGGCATCGCGCACCGCATCATGGCGCCCCTCGTCACCCCAGAGGCCGTCGAGGGCATCTTCGGCGACATCCGCGACACCACGGCCGACCTGATCAAGAAATGGACCGCCTCGGCCAACCAGCGCGTCAACGTCACCAACGACCTCGACCGCAACAACCACGAAGCCAACATGGCCGCCTTCTTCCACCAGAAGCTCTCCATCATGAACGTCGCCGCCGGCAAAGAACCCGCCGTCATCGCAGCCAACCAGAACGCCACGACCGAAGCCGTCAAGCGCGCCTCGCGCCCCAAATTTCTCACCTGGCTGCTCGGCCACCAGAAGAAATTCGACGCCGACATTAAGATCATGCGCGACTACGGCGCCGAGATCGTGCGCAAACGCCGCGACGCAGAAGCCGACCCTAGCGTCGAAACACCAAAGGACATGCTGCACGCCCTCATGCACGGAGTAGACAGCGAAACCGGCAAAACACTCAGCGAATCCCAAGTCCTCGACGAAATCATCAACATCTTCATCGGCTCCGCAACAGCACCCAACCTCCTCTCCTTCGGTCTCTACTACCTCGCCAACAACCCCGAGGCCGTGAAGAAGGCACGCGAGGAGCTCGACGCCGTCGTCGGCGACGGCCGCTGGGAACACGAACACCTCTCCAAGATCCCATACACGGAAGCCGTGCTCCGCGAGACACTCCGCCTCAGCGCCACCGCGCCCGGGTTCAACATCGAGCCGATCCCAAGCGACGGGAACGAGCCTGTGCTCCTCGCGGGCGGGGAGTACCAGGTCCCGCGAACGCAGCCGCTGATTGCCCTACTGACCGCCGTGAACCGGGACCCCGAGGTATTCGAGGATCCCGAGGCATTCAAGCCCGAGCGGATGGTGGGCGAGAAGTACGATGCGCTGCCGTCGGGCGTGAAGAAGGGCTTTGGCAATGGCAAGCGCGCGTGCTTTGGGACGCGGTATGCGTGGGAGTGGAGTTTGCTGGTGCTTGCGGCGCTGATCAAGGACGTGGACTTTAAGCTTGCGGACAAGGGGTACAAGACAGACAATGCGGGCGTGAACTATAACGGGGCGTTTAGCACGAGGCCGATTGGGTTCTTCTTGAGCACGAGTCCGAGACAGAAGTGACTCTCTGCGTTGGATTTGGGTCGGTCGAGATTGGATCTGAATCTTTCCAAGTTGAATGTTAGCCGGTGACTGCTTAACTGCTTAATGATCAGGGGGGAACCGTTAATTGTGAGCCAGGCGGAGGAACTGTTAATGATGACCAGGGGAATAATGACTGCATGATACTCCGTACTGGTTGGTTAAATAGTGCTTAATGAGACTGAAGAACAAGACTGAAGAATGAAAATGTATTCCCGCAATGCAATTACCAGTATCAACAATATTAAACAATTAACAGTTCTAACGATGGTATGTATGGGTATCACAACCGATGCGAACTTCGAAGCCCGTCCAGTCGACCGTCAGTCCTCGCCCCAGTCTCCATTCCAAACGAAGCGAACAATGCAATTAATAATGCAACGCAGGGTTAGTAAGTATGTACCCAAAGTGTCCGTACGCAAGTATGTATATAGACCACTCCAAACGAATGTAATCATCTCAACCACAACGCAACGTCCTCCACGACATGTTTATACGGTAGGCCAGCCATCAGCCCACTTCAGTACATTCCACCCGAACTGGAACTGCGACTTGTCCAGCCCGATGTTCTTGTTTGCGTAGTGGTAGTACAGCGTCAGGCCGCGCTGCTTGTCCGTGAACACGCCCTGGCCACCGGGGCCGTACACAAGGTCGTGCGAGGCCAGCAGCGTCGTGCCACCGTTGTCGTTCAGACATGAGCGGCCCTCACGGTCAACCTGCACATGTTAGCCATGACTCTTTGAAATGGGCAAAGATGTTAAAAAAAAAAAAAAAAAAAAATGATACATCAATCAAAAAGAAATTTTCAAAATCATCCTTTCCATTTAGTGTNAAAAAAAAAAAAAAAAAAAAAGGAGGGGGAGCATACAAAACCACCCGTCGCATCACGGCTCCGGCAAACATTAATGCGATACTCCTCGCCCTGAGCCGGGGGCCGATTAATATAATCCGCAGCCTGCCCACTCGAGAACGTCAAGTAATACCATCCTTGGCGATAAAAGACAAAGCCGGCCTCGATGGCATGCTGGCCCGTGCTGTTGTAAGCGATCTGGTTGGCCTGGGCGCCATCGGCAATGGCGAGCGGGCCCTTGAGGTCGACGGTGTGGATGCCGTTCCAGTAGGAGCCGAAGACGAGGACTTGTTTTCCGCCGACGGAGATCCAGTTTGCGTCGATCGCGTTGTAAGGACCGCCCTCCTCTGAGCGGAAGACGCCGCCGTGGTCTTTCCAGCTCCCGGGCTGGAGGTTGGGGGATGAGGCGACGCCGATGATGCTGTTGCGCGAGCCCAGCGTTGAGACGGAGTAGTACATGTAGTATGTCTTTGAGCCTTCGTCGTAGTGGATATCGGGGGCCTGCACCAGCGAATTAGTAATTGAACATCAAACAATTGGATAAACGACCGGCCAAGATTCATGTTCATGATGATCTCGTGCGGGGAGAGTCGGGGGCGATTAGGGCTAACTCCGCAAACAGAACCAAGGACGAAAACAGGAACCAAAAAAACAGACAACCAAAACGAAAGTAGAGAGAGAGTAACGTACCCATAGGTTGCCGCTCCCAGGATGATCAACACTCGATCCACCAGGCAGTGCCTCGCCGACTGCCTCCCACGGCCCCGTCAGCTGGTTGGAGGCGTGGATGTGAATGCCGTTGCCCGTCGAGTAGCGGAAGTACCGCCCGTCTGACACGCGCTGGTAGAAGCCTGGATCGTGAGCCCAGCAGTCGCCCTTGCACTCGCCGGGGCCGGCGTACTGCGCAAGAGCTGAGCCCGCGAGGGCGAGGAGGGAGAGGAACTTCATCGCGGTGACGGTGCGAAACAAAGCAATCAGTGATTAAGTGGCGGAGACAAGACGGCGGACCAGTTTATAATAAAGTATAAGAATAGAGGGGAGTGCAAGGGCCGACGGGAATGAAGGAATCCTCGGAATGGGCGACGGCATGTCTTTCTTATACATCCATCGACAATCCACACTACTCCTAGCCCGTCGCTCGCCCATTTCTCGGCTGCCAACTAGGCTGCTCTCGATCTAGAGTGCCGGAAACGTCCCGTGTTGATGTCACGCAAGGGAGCAGAAAATAGTTGTATAGCAGCGCCCAACTAACAAAGCTTTCAGCACTCGGCCTGCAAGGATGCAAGTGACGTGTCACACGCCCCCGGGCTCGAGCAAATGGCGTGACAGTGCAGTGCTGTATAGACTCCAGACGGCAAAGTGTAAACAGAGCCGACCAGAACTGGATCGCCTCGATTATTGGCCTCGCGGCGATCTGCTGCGGCTGCTCTGGAGGTTTTCGCATCCGGATAGTCTTTGTTCACGGCCGAAAATCACGCAGGGATGAAGGGCCCTTTCGCCGTTTTGGGCCAGGGGCAGCACATCCCTCTCTTGGTTCTCTTGGTTCTCCTAGTTGTGTTTCTTTTTCTCCTTCATCCCATTCATCACATTGCCTGCATTCGCACTTTGCAGCTCTGCAGCAAGTGCCTGACTGACTATCGTTCCCCGACCCGACGTCACACAGCGCAGGCACCCCTCAGTCTCCGCGCGAGTTGCCTCCAGAAGACTGACCAGATTCTGACCAGTTTTTGACCAGACGGTACCTCCTTGATCGTGTCTACTCGGCCTCATTCGCCAGCCAAGTCATATACCAAGAGTCGCCTGCAGCCTCAGCTCCAGATGGGGCTCCATCAGACCCTCGCCAGTCACCACTGCCACCGCACGGGCTTATTAATGTCTACGCAGTATTAGTTATTGACTCTGTCCCTGAATGTCAGCAGTCAGCACAGGTTACCCCAGTCATCTTATGCTTGCTGGCTTGCTGTGCTTGCTGTGCTTGCTGTGTTGTGCTGGCCTGCTGCCAGCTTATGCCGGTGCACACAGAAAACCTCCGTATTGGAACCACGTTGCGCTGTCATGTTTAGACTCCCCCCTCGCAGAGTAACTCCAGTAAGACTGAATCATCTAAATCTCTCATCTGTCGGTCTCAGTTCCCAAAGTAGCGGTCGGGTCTAGTCAAGTCTTGGTCTCCGGTCGGAATTCGCGCAAGCCCTAAAGTTGGGCCGCCAGTCACACCCTTGCCTCTAGTCGGAGTATACAGACTCCATACCTATTTACTGTTTGCAGCAGTGGTGAAGGAAACGGAAGGAAAAGGCAGCTGATCGATCGATGAGGGCCGTGCTTTAGTTAGCTAGTTCACTGTAGCGGGGTAGTTAAGTGAGTTTAGCACCAATCCATGCAAGGCTCAGGCTAGTTGACTTGCTAATGCTGTATATCTCCGAATCAGATGAGATGCTGTTAGTCGCAGATCGGATTCGCCTCTAACTGAGAGAGGAAGTCCATCTTCTTAGCTTCCTTGGACATGGTTGGCACTTCTTTTCCTGCAATAGCCGACCGGGCGCATCGCGACAGCCCGCGCACAAAGCACACCATCACCATCATCTCCATCTACAATATAATCATCATACTCAATCACTTCGGGCATACGCGGGTCGGAATTATAAACTCGGGGGAAAACATCAGTGCATGACATCCACAGTCGCATGATGGCTGGCAGCCACCGGACAGACTCCAGAAAAGAGGCTGCAGTCTAAATCCTAGTCACGCCCCTCCCGGGTCTTATTTGTTTATTTCAACAGTCCGTCTCGCATGACTCTCGGGTTTAGTAGACGACACACATGAAAATCAGAAGACAATACGAGAAAAGCTCGTGGCGGTGGCTCATTACCCCACACTATCGATGGCATGGCACAAGCATGGCATAGCATGGCACAGCATGGGTGGCCTGGTCTAGTCTACACTAAGCAATTAGTCCTCGTCCTGCCTGTGACTGCCTGCTAGCCCCGGGCTAGACGATCTAAATCTGTCTCGTGAAGTCATCACTACCATCCACTTCGCCCGGGGCTGTGGAGAGAGGCTGGCGATGAGCGATTCAGGTCGTCGATTGGGTGACCCGTGGCCTATCATGGGCGTTCGCTGTTGGAGTTGTTGGTCTTCGCTTTGCTGTCTGCAATCAGAAGGCGTACTTCGCGATATCCTTGACCGAATTCAGTATTGGTCTACTTCGGCTGGGATTGGAGAATTGTCTTGTGCTGTCTATAACCCTCACCGCAACAACGGGAACAGACGGACTGACGGACTCCATTAACTCCTTCGGTTATGTCGACTAGAGTCACCCTGAGACTGAGACCTGTGCTCGTGAATTATGGGGACGGGCTATTATTGGCTACCAGTATATTACCATCAACTATACCATCCGCCGAGCCCAATCGAATTTTTGGTTCTTCCTCGTTCGACGAGACGAGCCTCTTCCATCGTCTTCCAGCTGTCTTGGACTGACAGACTAAACAACAAAGACTACTGCTGACATTGTAGGGTCACTCCCTTCGTTTATTTTTGACAAACACGGTAACGCCAACATGCAGTCGAGTCAGACGGACAACAAAGGACAGCAAACATTTCTCGCAGCCTGGACTGCCCGCTTTCGGCCTTCTCCGAGTCTAACTAAATCTCCCAGCCGTAGTAAGCTTGTTGCAGGTGAGAAGGCCTAGTCAGTTTTCTAGATTGATCTAGCAATCAGATTTCCGTAGTACTGGTGCTGCTGCCATTCAAGCCCGTTGTCTGCGGGTACTTGGCGGGGTTGCAGCATAGATGTCGCTGATTTATGTTGGTTGATACTATATCTGGCGGCCGTAATTCGTTTGCGTAGACTGGGTACAGAAGATGTAGGGCTCGGAGGTCAGTTTCAGTCGCTGGCTAGTTAGGGCAAGGACCTTGAGTATTGACATGATATTTCTGTATGCTATTATAGCGCTATTATATCTTTAAAGATCCAGGGAATGTATACAGCTGAAGCATCAAGACTATATTTGCTGGAAATCCATAGGGCTAGCTGCCATATCCAAACTATACGCGAATCAATCCTTAAGCCGGATAGAACAAGAAAGGATAAGGTTAACTGCCTAAAGCTACTAGATTTACACGGGCCGCTGGAATTTGATCAAGGTCAAGACCAGGCAACCTTGAAGCTTGTTATAGATGTACTACCCAATATCGGTCCGCATAGAAGTACAACGCCGAGCAAGACCACAACAACTCACGCAGTTACACTGAAATCCCAAGAAAATGAGTCCTCGAGCCCTTCATACTTCAAACCCACCATAGTCCATACCAGAGAGAGCCCAGACTCAACCACGAACTGCAGAATTTAACTTCATATCAGGGGAAACTGAAAAAGAATTCCCTCGGTTATCGACCAGTACAAACAAAAGATCTCCTAGATCTAGGCCAGGCTGACAAGTGACATCACATTCCAGGAATTACGCATCTCATCTGGAATGCTCGGCCAGATTCATTCCGGATCAAGGGATGAACCATGGACGGTTCCTGCAGTAGTCTGTGTGATCTCTCTGATTTAATTCACTGGACATATTTGTTATGTTTTACTTTTAACCTTCAGTGGCTGACTCGCTAAGAATGCACTTTGTGGAGCGAGCGACTCAACTTTGCGACTTCAAGGGAGATCCTCGATACCCCTGGAGGATCTCCCTACAAAGGATGAAGACCACATTTTTGTCCTACAAGACAAGGGACCTGATTAAGGAGTCTATTTCTCTCAAGGCACACGTTGTAATGTGCCTTTTGTCTTACATTGTACAATGTACACTGTACAAGCTGGCATGCATGGATGCCTTATACCCATCCTCTATCCAGGTCACACCCAAGGCAGCGATCACCCTGATAAAAGATCGACCAGTCGATTCCAGCTCCCTGCAGGAACTGTTCAAATAGGGTTACATAAATTTTATATAACATATAAACTCAAGCACCTAGAACATACACCTAAAACAGCAAATAAACACCTTAAACCAGTTCTATATCGACGATCCAGGTACTCGGGTTTCCGCCCCAAGCCCAACCCGATGTCAAAACACGCTTCTATGGCGCAATACCGGTCTCGTATTGCGCGCAGAGAGCCTCACACCGTGTGGGGTGCTAAGCATTGTAACGGCATCGCGAGAATTGTGCTGTCTCTTGCATCATCGGGCTCAACACGGTGTAGATATTGGATTGTAGAGATGGTAGGGGCTATATACAGGATGTCTACGGCTTATCAACACTGGCACGATGTGATTGCTGTCGTCTGGTCTTTTTGTGGATTGTATCGTTGGATACTGTTAGTGGGAGGTTGTAGAACGGGTTGCTCTAGTTCGTCGACTTTGTTAACCATTGTTTGAGAAATAGTCATGATATATACTTAGTTATTGCCAATAATTAATTATATTATCTTGTCCTGGATAGTACATGTGGCTAGCCCTAGTATGGTGGGTGTTGATGCAATATATATAACAATCCGCAAGGTGGTTGTCAATATAAGTCCTTTCACCAGTATAGGTGAAGCAACTACTTATTAAACCCCAATAGCTTAAACAATAACATATGATAGAATATGAAAATTTAAAAAATGATATCTACGCCAGATTAGAGTCCCAAGAGTTACTTTAAGCGGTCGAGAGTGTTCACCATGTCAACTACAAGTTGAGCCCGTGATAGGAATTGTATAGGCAGAGATATTAAAGAACCAGCATAACATAGTGCTTAGGCTAGGTAGATCCTTAAGATTTACTTAAAAATAGTTTACTCCGTGAGTACTCCTGCTCTACTAGACGGTAGAACATTCATTTCATATTGTATACTGTAATATCTAGTAACAGCATATCTATACTAACATTTCATCTACTGCGGCCTCCCCGTCCGCATAAACACATTCGAAGGCAAATCCCTCCCCCGAAACCGCTCATCAACCGCATAAACAAACTCGCCCCCCTCCTGCGCAAACCCATGCCGCGCATAAACATGCCTCCCCATACTCGACGCCTCCAGCACAGCCTCTAACCCTCCTCTCCTCCTCGCCTCCTCAAGCCCCCACTCCACCAACCGACTCGCAACCCCTCGTCTCTGAAACACAGGATCAACAACACAAAGATCCAGCGCAAACACCGCAGGCGAGGCACTCCCCGCAATCTCCTTCACCACCTCACCCCGCCGCCTATGCAGCGACGCATCCACCTGCCGCAGGAACGCCTGCTGGCTCTCATCCCCAGGATACAGCTCATCCAGATCCATGGCGTCCGCTAGATCAGCCACCGGTTTCTCGCCATACCCGTCGAGCATAGAGACCTGCACCCAGACCGCGGCGCCGGCAATCACTTCCTCGCCTGGGTTGGCGGGGTCGTCAACGGTTGCCTTGAGGAAAATTGTGGTAGCGTCCCCATTGCGATCGCGCGAGCGTGATGACGACGAGAACCGCTGCTCGAGCCGTTCGGTGCCGGCTGCTCGGCCCGCGGGCGTGTCCCAGGCTGGGTTCATGGCCATCCAGAACCCATCGCGGGCTTGGGCGCCGAGAGCCGAGGCGGTGACGTCGAAGAAGCGCGCGAGGTCTGTGGCGGATGTCACAGGGGTGACTTTGACGGTCGGTTTGGTTGCCATGTTGGATGGATCGATGGATAAATGGATAGACAGGGGGATGTGATGGATGTGATGGATGATGCAGGTTGATGATGTGGATGTGGCCACTTCAGTTTCTCGGGAGGCAAGGAACGGATCGTTCCTAGTAATGAGGTGTGGAGATGCAGGTTAAGCGACTGGGCATACGTACTGGACATTTATTATTGCTAGTTATTGTTATTAAAATATTATTACTCTTTGCTTGGAATGTTCGGAATTACCCCGATTATTTACTCCGAAGTCCACAATTTGAATAACCAGCATCATTAGGTCTATCGCTTGCGCCGCTGTAAACTCTGTTCCCAATAATCAAAAGACGAATTCGCCACTCATATCCTTATCAACTTGGCAGGGGATTAATAAATATTGAATGGGAAGCTGTATCGATATATCGATTTACCGCAGTTGATCGATGAGTCCAGCTTCATTAACCCATATCCGCCTCTGAGCCCGCGAGGAAAAGAATAAAGCTCGTCAACCAGACACCCACGCAGAGGGAAGCCAACGGCAGAAGAACTCCTGTACATTCCTCTGGTACGGCACTAATGCGCGGTCGTCGAAAACGTTATTGAATTTGCTGTAGTCCTGCATTGAGCCGCGGATTGTCTCTGGGGTGTGCACAGGTTTGTATAGATCGGCTGGGTTGGAGCTGGATATGACATTTCCGGGTTTGTTCGATACCAAAGTACTCCCCCCCTGGGATTTACCGCGGGTATAATCGTTTATTCCAGGCGCTGATTCCTCGCTCTCAGCTGCGATACGATGCTTGCGATTCCGTCGCGCGTCGCGAAGCAAGAGGGCAGTATATGGCAGTCCGTCGGTAGCTGGCTGCGTAGGACTGATCCTTTGATGTAAATATGTATACATCTCCTCTCTATGCGGATGGCGAAGATAATCATTCTCTCTCCGCAACAGGTCGAACTGGACTTTCTCTGCCTCTCCCAACGTTCCACCCTGAAGCTCCAGCTCCAGCTCCCGCTCATATCTCCTCTCCTCAATAGCCAGATTCACATCCCTCCACGCGAAACAGTCATCCCAGTATCTCCTTAGCCGGTCTTCATCAGACACAGTAACTAGCTGTGCCATCCAGAGCGGGTCCAACGGACTAACCAAAGCCCCCAAGTACCTCTTCACATGGATCACGACAGTTTGCCAGCCGTCTCCCCTGTGCTGAGAGGGCCGACATCCCCACCTGAACACTGTCACACACCCAGGGAATCTGCAGGCCGCGTCTACATCATCTGCTTGGGTGCGGCCGAGCCACTCATCCTCGTAGTCCTCTTCCAACGCAAGTCTTTTAGACTCGAGACTGGATCCAAGCAAACAGTGCTGCATCCCGCGGTATCCATCAACAACAGCCGAGTCACCGAGTCTTACATGCGGACATGTCGGGATATCAAACCCGTTCAAAACACCCCGAATCTGTTCTTTACTCGCAATCTTCCCGGGCGGAAGTGTAAGGACTTCATACGAAGCACAGATAGCATACTGCCTTATCCAAGCAGAGTAGTGCCTCATCCGTTTCGCCTTGGCGTTATATGGCGGCTTTAGTTTAAGGCGCATTATCTTTCTTCCATCCAGGTTTGTGTTCAGGCTTGGACGATTATAGAGTCCTGAATCTGCTACGCAAACGTCATAATTTGGTCTGCAGGCACTGACGTGGTTGAAGCTGTAAAATGTTGTTGGGTCGATGAAGAGATTTTTTTGGCTCGCCGAGCAGGCGCGGGTTATTGGAGACTGTTGTAGTTGGTCTGCACTGAAGAACTTGTGACTGTGCACGGTTCCGCAGCCGCTGCAGTAGGCGTAGGTGGTGAAGGGGGTGCCGTCGCGGGCGAGAGCCGCGCGGAGGGCATATTGGGTATCTGAGGATAGAGACAGTGATGGGCATAGTGGTGCAAAGATATGGTTGAGGCGGCGGCAGGTGAGAGAGAAAGTGTGTTGTGTTGTGGGTGGGAGGTCGTGGAAGATAATGAGGAGGAGCTCTGTGGGGAGGGAGAGGAGGGAGGTGGTCATTTTAAATTATTATGGATAACACTGGAAAAATGATCACAGTGTCTTTATCGAGGCTATTTAACTTTTGATAATCCTGATGCCTTTCATCTGGCCACCTTGCGGTTGGGAGCTGGTTTTCGACGTTGGATTCACGGAGAATACGAGGTCGTGATGAGGCTGGGCAGCACCAACCTAGTCCGAACCAAATTCCAGTATTGCCATGAGCTACTCATTTTGATTGCTGCACTATCGTGGCCTCAGTGTGATCGTCTTCTAGTGTATATTTAGATAAAAGACAAAATGAATGAACCCAAGGCCAAGTCTATCCCGTGGTTGCCTAGTTGCAACCACTGCTGAGCAGCACACAAGATTCTAACTGCCTACTACTTCGTTAAAAAACAGTCCTACGTTGCATATACAAATAAATTATAATGCCACTGTCATCTGTTTCATTGATAAAGAGTGACTAGGATAAGCTGATCAATGAGCACTCGTGGGCTTACTTATACCCTTGAGCTCCAAGTCTCCAAGCAACTATGTCAGTCTGAAATCTGACAATCTAAGCAGCCACTTCCAAACGGTGGAATCCACCCTCGGAGGCAACCTGCTCCTGCAGCTTCACCATGCGCTTCTGATCACCGGTGGGATCAGTGGAGTCCTGGTCCAACGTCCAAGAGAGGTACTTGTTCGTGTAGTTGGGGACGAACTGCGCATCCAAGATACCCAGGCGCTTGCCGTAGTTGGTAACCTTGTTCCAGTCGCGCTGCACGTTCTTCAAGTCACGGCTGAAGTAGGCGAAGGAGCGCTCGAAAATCTTGCGGTTCACGGGGGTTCCCATGATCGGCTTCATCTCGATGTACTCCTCGTATGCCTTTGCGGGCTCGGCGAGAACGTACTCGGTTGCACGCTTGACAGCGTTCATGAACTTGGTGACCTTTTCAGGGTTGGCTTCCAGGAACGCGTCGTTGACGATGTAGAGGATTGAGCAGAAGCAGCAGCAGCCGAGCTCCGCGAGCTGGTCGATGCGGAGCATCTGAACGTCAGTACGGGGGCGGTTCTGCGTCGCGAGCCACTCGGCCAGTTCCACCATCTGGACATTCTCGAGGCCAATTCCAGCATCGATGGTGCCGTTGATGATGGCTTTGGTGACGTTCATGCCGCAGCGAACAGCGGTGTAGTCGTCGGCAGTCATACCGTAATATTTGGTGAGCTCGTCGATTTGGATCTATATTCTTAGCACTGATTAGGGAATACTAGAAGTGGTGTGCATACCTTTCCGAACTCTCCGACATAGCCGATCTTCTTACCCTTTAGAGAGCGGAAGTCTTCGGTGATTCCGCTGTCCTTGAGGTAAACAACGCCAGTGAAAGGCTCATCGAGCAGAGAGCCGATCGAGGTCACTGGGAAGTTGCGAGCTTTGGCCTGTTAACCATATTAGCCAAGCACAGACACACGCATATTAAGAAGACCGTACAGCAAGAGTGTGGATCATGGCCTTGAAGCCCATGTCCACCTTGCCACTGCCGATAATCTCAGTGACATCGGAAGGATCATTAGGCTCAAGTAGAGCAACCTTGAGGCCTTGCTCGGCGAAGAATCCCTTGCTCTGGGCAAGGTATAGGGGGGCGTGGTACGGGGTCGCGTGCCTACAGACAGCCACCTTAGCACGCTTCCTCCACGTGGGAACCAAACATGAAATCAAAACTAAGAGTTATGTACCAGTTGGTCAGGAAAGTAATCTTATCAGTAGACATCTTGGCACAAATTTATCAAGTCAAACGACTTATACTAGAAGTTGTCAGCATGAGAGACGGGGCTCTCTTCCTCTTTTCAACAAGAAGGGGAGCAATCAATGCAACGCATGTCCTTTCGCTAGTATTATCTAGATCAAGTTTTGACAGTGTAATCTCAGAACGACCGAGCCTTGCACACTGCACAAGTGCAAGTGCAAGCCCCGGACGAACACCTGTCATGCGGATTGCAGTGACTGTTGAGGTGATTTCTGTACGATACCTTGACCCGTCTGAACCCATAGCGAAGAGGCCCGGAGGCTGAATTGATCGCTCGGTAACATTGTGGCTACCGTACCGTTTGGGTGTTGATGGAAACGGTAAAAAATAGTTGTCAAATTAATGGATGGAAGATGGATGAGTGTAGGAAGGAAAGTTGAGAGGAGGGAGGGGCAGCAATAAATACCCCGCCGTGACACGCACCACTGACTTCATCCTCACCGGAGCCACAAGGGACCACTACGAAAACATTTACCGCATCCTATTGGAATAAACGCACAAGGTTTGTCATATACCCTGCCAGAGACCCGCCGGACCACCGCGATCCGGCTATCCATGACTGTATCTACAGACCAAAGCATCTGCAGTCCCATTGCGGTATTTGAATTCCAACCTCCATACATTGATTGTGAAGACTGGGACTACAGCGTGGAAGCCACTGAAGATAAACAAACAAATAGTAATATAACAGTAGCAGCAAATAAACAAATGTACAGATATGCAGGCGGGAGGTCCCGTACGAAAGGCAATATCAACAGCCAGAAAAATCACAAAATATGCTCACAGACGAATGCATAGACAGAGAAATAAGAATGGTCAGCCATTCTAACTCGATGGCTGTCCTCCATTTATAGATATCCGGTCCAGGGGTGAAGAAGCTCGGTCCGATTTCTTCGTCCGCAGGGTGAGAGGGAAAAAGTGGTCATCTTGGTCTTCTTCTTCACTTGTTCTGAGTGAGTCATCGGGTTAGCCAAGTCTTTTTCTTGGGTATCCAGAGGATTAATACTTACGGGAGTCTCCATGCAACGTAGTCTTCCGTCGAAAGACCCTCCTTGACTTCCTGAAGCGACGCAAAATCACCGGGCGTCATCATTCCGGAGCGGTCCCTTGGCGAGCCCGGAACTGACAGAGGCCGCGATATCTTCTGCTCTGTCCCGCCGATAATGTCGAAATAGTCTTCCGATGTTTCAAAAGATGACGGATACGCTGCGCGATAGTCAGTACAAAAATATGATAACGAGCTGGGCTGTGAGTGAATAATCACCTCTTCGTAAAGCCAACTGTCGAGCTTTGACGTATTCCAAACCCATCCGCTTCCAGTCCAAAAGGTCGCTGAGTCGTTCCGTGCGGTTACGCTGGTTAATGCGTTGCCGTCGGCTCTTGAGAGTAAAGTTATACATAAAATCAGCCAGCTGGTTGACTGAGTCGTCTACACCCTTCATCCGGCGGTCCACAATGTAGATGCCGTAGTCCGAGGAGTTCTCAATCAGTTCCTCCATATAACACCCAAATCCCGAGAGGTTAGTTGTAATGCTAGGTACTCCCATGACGGTACATTCCGCAGGTGTGTACCCCCAGGGTTCATAGTATGACGGGAACACTCCAAGGTGAGTCCCGCGAACAAAGTCATCATAGTCTAGAGGGAGCACCGGGTTAGAGGAGTTGAGGAACTCCGGATGGAAGACAATCTTGACACGGTCAGAAGACTGGTTAAATAGCTGCACCCGGCGGATCTGGTTGAGGATCGGATCCTCGTGGTCATTCGCCATGTTATGCGTGACAACAGGGGGGAGAGTATGCCGTTTCATGGCAAAGAGTCTACGTCGAAGAAGGACGCGATCTTGGCTGGTGATCAGGTCTTTCTCATCTGGCATATTGTCGCCTTCCTTCCAGGATAGGCATCGCTCATACATGCGCTTTCCAATGCCCTGTTCAATATTCTCGATCGTGTCTCGTAGCGACTTGACCACCGCTTGACCTTTTAGTGACTCCACCGTGAGTGATGAAACTTGTGCAGGCATTATGATGAATGCTACAACAGTGGTCTTCGACCCGTTCTCCTTGAGCCGGTGGTTAAGACGCGCCATTCCTTCAATAAACATGTCAACGCCCTTGTTGCGGAATTCATATCGACCAGAGGTGAATACGTAAAGAGTGTTGTCGAGGTCGAAGTCGTTATGCCCATAGAAGTGACCTCGAACAAACTCATTGATCTTCTCCTTTGACTGGGAGTGCAGGTTCTGGAACTCATGGACTGCAGAGAATTTCTTAACATTCAGTCCGTTAGGTAGGACACCGTCTGGTTTCCGCTTGAGGAGATGCTCGCTCTCAAACGCCGTTATATGGGAGACAGTAGTGAAAACATCCGCCGAGTGCGCAGCTGCTCGCTCTATACAATATCGGTGGTAGATTCCGCGTTTACCAGCCTCTGAGTCAACATCAAAGTACTGTAGGTTATTGTAAAAATCAACCGAGCCTGCACAGAGGTACCGACCAAGCAACGTCGCATGGGTGGTGAAGATAGTCGTCAAGTCCATGTGCCTTTTCTTTGTTAGTGGGAGGGCCACACCTGCAAGCCACTCATGAAAGTGGGCAACAACAGCACGACGGCGTTCATGCGCAATGTACTGCCTCAAGTTAGCAGCGAAAGCGAAAGCGGTTTCTAGAGACTGCATACCTCGCCCAAGAACCAAGCCACCAAGTATCCAAAGACAATCGTTTCATTCGTCTCATGGTCCGAAGCAGGCGAAGGAATCCCAGCAGTGTTCCACAGGTCCCCTTTCCACTCATCCAAGTATTTGTACCCAGTACCCGTATCAATGAGCAGCACGCGGGGGGCGCCCTCAATAAGCCAGCGACCGTAGACCATTTCAATGCCGCGCTCCTTCATAGACTTCATCGTCTCGATCATTGCAGGGCTTGACGGGCTGAGCTCCTCGACCTCTACGGCCGCAGAGGCTCGATTCAACGGACCGATCAAGGTGTAGCGCTCACCATACTCTGCGGTGGTGACGGGCGCCTTAGACTTCAGCACCGAATAAATGCCCCCGACGCGATTGGCAACCTCTGTCGCGATCTCAAAGAGCATGTGGTTGCGCACATCGCGTCTTGGGGGGTCCTGGTCGCTCTCCTCGCCGGCCATTGCGACAGAGTTTCCGAAAACGGCAAGGGGGTAGAAAGCCGCGAAGAGGCAATGAAGCCAGAAAACCTCAGGAGAGAGATGAGAGGAACAGAGGATTCAAGGACGACGGTTCTCCTTGTGCGAAAACCCAGTCGTGGTCTCAAAGGGCTCCGGTGTGCCTGGAAGAAAGAGGTCCGAGTGTGGGGGATGGTCGAATCCGGGTGGCGGGGACAAGCTGGTTCGAGACTCAGTAACTCTGAACTTGGACACCGGGATTAATTTGCTATCGAAAATTAGTAGAGGAGAGGGTCACTATTTTAGTCGTTCCTACCTGAGAAATTATGCAGCGGAATTTTGAGTAAAACCGAGAAAGTTTTGGGGAGAAGAAATGAGGAAGCAGGCTTTATTGCAGCGGCCGACGGCGGTTGCACGGACTGCGCCCTGGTTGTTCTGGCTCAGTGACGATACCCTCCAGGGAATAGCAGAACGACCCCTCTTTGGAGCTCTCAAATTGGCTAATTGCGAGATCACCCGACCTATTGATCATCGGCCTGCATTAACGGCTTATCCGCGAGTTGTTGCAAACTGGTTTGACGTGCTGCTGCAGTTCATGTTTGGTTAATGTGAGAAAATAGATTATTGAAATTGCTACAAAGCTACAGCTGGGGCTTCACAGCCGCAGAAGAAGTCGCGCCCAGTTCTCAGCAGCCTGTTTACAACGTGGAATTGGGTTTCTGAGAACTTTCCAGGGCGAGAGTGACTGGTGACGCTGGTCGATGTCTGGGGAAAGCTCCATGGCATGACGTCACAGCCTGTGGTCCCGCCAGTCGTCGCCAATCAAGTTTACTTGACACACAAAAGGATCACAACCGTGAAGATCAGGGCAGGACTCAGCGCGATAACAAAATAATATGGAAGGGCGGCATGATAACTTGGTAGCTCTCGCCACGCAAGGCACGACCGGTTCAAAATAATACCCCGTTGTAGAAAGATAAATTTAGTTACTTAGAGCCAGCATAAGACAATTTGAAAATAGTATTGTATCCTTCCTATCTGAACCCAAATAATGGAATCCCAATTCTGTACATCGTATAGAAGAACATCACGATTGTTTCTCCCTTGAAGCTTCAGAACTGAGCGCACTCGGTGTCCTATTCAACATCGGCCTGCCGCTGTCGAGACTATCCATCGTACTCTGCCAACTCGGCGTCCGGTTGATGGCAGGTGACAATCGCGGGTTATCTAGATCGGAAACCTCCACTTCATCACTATCGTCACTGTCTGTATCGCTGGCAATATGTAAGCCAACTTCCTGTTCCTCATTGGCAACATACTCCTCCCAGTTGCTTTCAGATCCCCGTCTGCCAGCGAGCAGGTATCCGTAGCGCCTGAGCCGGATCCGTCGACAACTCCGGAGACAAGCAGCACCGCAGTAGCGGCGGAAGAGGGTGAGGCAGAGAAGAATTGCAATTGTCGCACCAGCACCCGCGAAGAAATGCCCGAGTGACAAGCTCGGCTGTGATTCATTCGGAGGCTCCTCGGAAGGCGGATTTTCATCGGCGGGAGTCGGATTAAATGGGAGGATAGCGGAAGTACCGATGATTAAACCTTTCTTGTCGAGGGCGCGGACACGGAGGTAAGGCTGGACCGCGTCGAACGGGATAGTGATGATAGTTTCAAATCCCGTTTTCTTTGCCTTAGTGATGGCCGAGAAATAGGTGTCGGACACCGCTTGCGAATCACTTTCATCGGATCGCGAGGCGGCCCTAGGCAATGGAACTTCTGCACCCTCGACAACCCACTGGTGTACCTCGGTGGCCCCATTCCAGCTAACAGCCGCTTCGTAGCCGTCGAGCTCAAAATCTGGGGTGCTGTCCGGGAGCCCTGTCCAGGGACGTTTCTTGACTCGATAAGTGGTCGGGTTGCCCTTCCCATAGCTAGATAAAGGACCGAATTGGGAGTGGCATTTGGGAATTCCAAGATCACTGTATTCGGTCCACGCCGGGGCGTTGCGGCCGTAGGAAACAAGAACATTCCCATTTGGTAAGAGCTGGACGGAGCCATCTGATTGAGGTTGCGATTCAGGAGTGGCCCCATCGTGTGTGTAAGCGCGGAACTCGGAGTGGACATCGACCGTCATCTGCACCTGATCCACACTGAGTATAACGCCTCGGTTGATCTTGTCGCCAGGGGTCGTGTTGTCGAATAGCGTGATTGTATTCCCGTCATCGTGGAAACGGGCGTCGTTTGGAGATGCGAAGTTCGAGGCTCTCTTTCCCGAAGAGATGTCTTGAAAATCGGTATGGTTCCCACCGAGCCGCCAGATTATATCGCCTGATCGACCATCAAGGTATGTGAGATGGTCGGTGTGAAGGGCTGAAATAAGATAATTGCCCCTAGTGTCTTTCTCGACGCTGTGAATATGGAAGAAGTCCCAGGCATGGGCGAACGTCCAACCTGTGCTATTTGTGGTTTTCGAATTGACGTCGGTGAAATTGAAATGCTCCGATGCGCGCCACTCGAATAACACATCGTTTGTCTCAATGTCAACCTCTACAAATCGACTATCCCAGATCCAGCCCTTCTGGGGTCCTTTAACCGATTGCAGATCAACTGAGACGGTATCATAGACAATGAAGAGCGCGGTGTCGTCGTGGGTAATTTGGAATTCATGCATGTCGATAGATTGACCTTTTGGTCCGGAGATGGCATAGCGTTCGTTGTATTGCGAATCGAGCTGTGTCACCTCAGTATTTAGAAGAATCAAGGGATGGGCAGAAATCATATACCATGCGTATTGTGCCTTCGCCATGTCCACTGGCTTTATCATATCCCGTCCAGAAAGTGAGGTAGTCGTCACCCTTGTATTCCTGGACATCTAAATTATATACCGTGTCGTATACATCTTTACTGGCCCACACTAGATTTCCACTTTGGTCGAGGATTGTTGGACCGTGTGCTGCAACGCCCTCTCCGCGAGGAGCTAACAATGTGTATAGGCCGTCATGGCAGTTTTGAGTGCCACGGGCAAAATATACAGAAGTCCCGAAGACAGAGGTCGAGCGGTATATCTCGGTAGGCCATTCGCCGGTGGGCTCCGCAGACTTGGAGGCATAAACGAGGTTAAGCAATATTGGTATTGCAAGAAGGGATGAGCACCACATGATGGGGTTGCGACATTTGAGATGGGTGGAAGTGGCGCTCGACCGGACGGGGAGGAAGAATAATAAACGGTCGGAAGTCGGCTAGAAGACCCTGAAGCAGTCGCGCAGGAGAACAACCGGGGGTTCATATAACTGTGACGCGGGAGACGTAAGGTAGAGTAACGCAGGTCCAGACTGGGATATTTTTAGTGGAGAGCGGCCGTTGCTGAGACACCGACAGCGGGGATCGGCAAGGGTTGAAACCATTCCTCCTGGTGCCCTGAAATGCGGGAGTCTCGACCGGCGGGGTGGGCAACTCAAGCTCCGAGTGCCACACTCTAAAAAATTGGAGAGGTTCACACGGTTTCTAACCTCTCGGAATAATATCATGCATTATCGCCGGCACTGTAGGCCAAGCATTTCGGAAGCCGGATCCAATCGCAAATTATTGAGTCATCCAATCATTCTAATGTATGCTATGAGGTATATCTCCCAGTGTTATCTAACGTACAGTATGTACAGTATGTGCTGTTTATTTGCTGCGCTTGTAAATCTTGCCGAGGAAGGCTTCGAAAACCTCCTTCTTCAATCCCTCCGCGTCGTTGACGGCCGCAATCTTCGTCTTGAGCTCGCCAACAATCTTCTCCTCGTACTCCTTGTACACCGTTTCGAGGTCCAATTCGCGGAAGAGCTCCTTGACCTTGGCCTCAAGTTCACCATCTTTGCGGCCATATGCAGTGTCGAGCACCTTGCGCTGTTCGGCGTTGCAACGTTGCAGGGCCTGGTTCACCAACCAAGAACACTTGTTATCCTGGATATCCGTTCCAATCTTTCCAATAACTTCGGGGTCGCCGTAGGCATCAAGGTAGTCATCCTGAACCTGGAAGTACTGGCCGAGCGGGATGAGGATGTCGTGGGCCTGGCGGAGGTTCTCGGGGGTAGCAAGCTGGAGGTAATGGAGGGCCAGGGCAACAGGGAGGTAGAAGCTGTAATAGGCGGTCTTGTAGGTGACAATGAACATGTATTTTTCCATTGAGAAGTTGTCGAGATCGACCTTGTCTTCGGGCGCGGTGATCAGGTCGCACAGCTGGCCCAGCTCGGTCTGCCAGGTGGTCTCGTGAAACAACTCGATCAAGTCCACGTAGGCAGGGTGGGAGCGGAACTGCTTCTTGAGGATGACATAGATACCGGACTCGAGGAGGAAGGCATCGTTAATGGCGATCAGACCGACACCCTGGTGGCGGTACCAACAGGGCTGGCCACGGCGGGTGATTGACCCATCCATAAGGTCATCGCTGACCAGGAAAAATGCTTGAAGCAACTCGGTCAACCACCCAAGCGTAGCAAGATCCTTGTATTGCTCGTCGGTCAATGGCTTCTGCAAAAGTGCCAAGCCAGTATCGGGAACGGAGAGGCCGCGATTCAGCTTGCCGCCAGGGACGTTGGTGTCAAGGTTCTAGAAATTAAAAGGACGATTAGTGTCTTCCAGAGAAGCCAATTGGAGAATTTCAGTACCTTGCTGAACCATTCCAGAGCATTTTCGGGCAGATTGTACTTCTTCGCATGGTCAAGCATGGTTTCACGCAAGGAGGGGAAGACCGCCTCGAAGGCAGCACGAGGTGTGGGAGCAGCCATTGTGCAGTATGCGATAGGTGAGGAAGCACGATCAGAGGCGCGAAAAGGCAATTGGAATGATACCTGAGATCCAGCAAAGGCAAAATAGCTGGGGGGTGCTCAAAGATTAAATCGAGGACCCTTCTCCGGGTCCGGAGGAACTCGAAGGGGAACCTAGTACGGTACGGACTCTACGCAGTACCAGCTGGCATGCCCATTATTTTCCCACACCGCTCGGAGCCATTGGAGACTGTCTGTTCTGTTGCCCCGCGGTTTGCATTGTTTGTTTGTCGCGTCGCCCAAACGGGAAATGCCTGGCCAGACTTCCAGCACGCCTGTTCACAGAACAAGACCTCGCAATTGCAACTAGCAGCGTCTTTCGCCGATCATATAAGCCGAAGGACCTGCTTCAGAGATCACACTCTTAGCGGGTTTAATCATGGCCGCCAGTTTTACAGAAGACAATATCAAGGAGCTAAAATATAGACTCGAGGACGCGGCTATCAAATGCTCCGAACGCTGTCTTTACCAGTCGGCCAAATGGTATAAGCTCCCCTGCTCTTATACTCCTACATGACCGTATACTTACTGAATCTACTTTAGGGCGGCCGAAATCCTGGATTCGATTGTCGCCGTTGACAACTATGACACGGATCCCGACTCTCCGATGGACATTACAGAACCGTCTCCTCCGCAGAACCCCTACCTACGAACACAGGATCCGTTAGAAGCTGCACTTGAAGCGCAAGAATCTCATAAGTACCTCCTGGCAAAATCCTATTTTGACACCCGTGAATATGATCGCTGCGCGTCGGTCTTTCTACCCCCGACAATACCGCCAGTCTCATTATCCACATCGTCCCCGAATCCGAAACCCAAATTGTCATTGACGCCGCAGAAGGGCAGGCCGAAGGCATCTCCACAGGCCGGAACAAAAAAAAGCAGCGCGACAAGGAACCCGTACCCGAAACTTAGTCAGAAGTCGTTGTTCCTCGCGCTATACGCAAAGTATCTCGCAGGCGAAAAGCGGAAGAATGAAGAGACGGAGATGGTCTTAGGTCCAGCGGATGGGGGTGCAACCGTGAACCGAGAACTCCCAGATATTGCCCGTGGCCTAGAGGGTTGGTTCAGCGAGCGTCAGGAGAAGGGCGTTGAAGATCAAAACCACGGATGGCTCGAGTACCTGTACGGAATTATTCTCATCAAAGGGAGAAACGAGGAAGAGGCCAGGAAATGGTTGATAAGGAGTGTTCATCTGAACCCCTTCCATTGGGGCGCATGGCAAGAACTGAATGACCTGCTCTCAAGTACTGAAGACGTACGTATCTTCTTACCCCCGCTTCGTGCCTGGCCCCTAACCACTTGCAGTTGAAACAAGTTGTCGAGCACCTCCCCCAAAACATTATGACTCTCATCTTCCACGTCCATTGCAGTCAAGAGCTGTATCAAGCTACCGAAGACACTTACCAAGCCCTCTCGGAACTCGAAACCATTTTCCCTAGCAGCGCATTCCTGAAGACACAAAGAGCTCTGCTCTATTACCACTCCAAAGGTACGCTTACCCCCATCCACCTCCATGGTTTTTGCTAACTATCCATTAGACTTCGAGGAAGCATCGCATATCTTTACCGATATTTTGATCACATCCCCCCACCGTCTCGACAGTTTGGACCACTACTCTAATATTCTCTATGTGATGGGTGCACGCCCCCAATTGGCCTTCGTAGCTCAAGTTGCAACCGCCACGGACAAATTCCGCCCAGAAACATGCTGTGTCGTCGGAAATTACTATTCTTTGAAATCCGAACACGAAAAGGCTGTCATGTATTTCCGGCGTGCTTTAACCCTAGATCGCAACTTCCTCTCCGCCTGGACCCTCATGGGCCACGAGTACATCGAGATGAAAAACACCCACGCTGCTATTGAATCATACCGTCGCGCGGTTGACGTGAACCGCAAGGACTACCGCGCCTGGTACGGTCTTGGCCAGGCCTACGAAGTCCTAGACATGTCATTCTATGCACTCTTCTACTACCAACGTGCAGCAGCACTCCGCCCGTACGACCCCAAAATGTGGCAGGCTGTCGGCTCCTGCTACGCAAAGATGGGTCGCATCGAGCAAAGCATCAAAGCCCTTAAGCGAGCCCTCGTCGCAGGCTCCTACTATGCTGAAGACCCCTCGCAGCACTCACCGGGCCGCAAAATCCTCGACCCAGAAACACTCTACCAGATCGCAAATCTCTATGAGCGTCTCGACGATGAAGAGGAAGCCGCGGCTTACATGGAACTCACATTACAACAAGAGACTGGTGGACAGCCAAACGCCGATGAGGAATCCGATCTATCAGACACCGATGATGACGACCAGTCTGCCTCGGGTACGAATCACCGCGGCGCAAGGAGACGCCAGACAGAGGACGAAGAAGATACATGGCACGGCACGGGTCCGACGGCTACTACCTCCAAGGCGCGGTTATGGCTCGCCCGGTGGTCCTTGCGACACGGGGATTTGGAACGTGCGGATCAGCTCGCAGCAGAGTTATGCCAGGATGGAGTGGAGGTTGAAGAGGCCAAGGCGCTGATGAGGGATGTCCGAGCGAGACGAGAAGGAGGCGAATGATTCATGAAATCGTCTTACCCGTAGGTTTTGTTTTGGCTGATTTCTCTAATTGTGTTCTCCATCTCTGATCTTTGTTTGATTTCATCTTCCAACGAATTATCGGCTAGCGCGGCGTTGTCTTATTGGTGGGCATTATGTAGTGCTTGATACCATGGTTGATGCTCAAGTTATCGTGGGTTTGATCGATTTTGTATTATATACTAGCAGTTTGCATTGCAGGTTACGTAGTCTCCGGGCACGCTATATTACTATTATCACCTATACAGATAGGCACTGGCCTTGGTGTTCTGACCACCTTGTCTCCTAATTGGACCTTCCTTCCTAATCCCTACCTGGGCTCTACTCTACTGCTAGTAATCACATTGTTAGTGCAGAAATACACCTAAACACGAACCAAAGGATCAAGGGAACTAAACTGCCCAAGGCTGAGGAGCTCCTTCCGATCAAACGATATCCTAAACTCGGGCAAATTGTCCCCACTCCGCCTTGAGATCGTGCCGGGACCATCTCGAGAAGTATAAGTGTTATCGTCCATCGGGGTAATAGAAACTTCGTCATTTGGCGTCTCATGTTGTGTTTCTGGGTCCCACGCTATACAAGCGTAGAAATAATGTCGGCTGATCTTTTCCCAGATCTTGCGCAGACAGAACTCGTTGCTTTTCCAGTTCACTCTAAGTTGAAGGAAGGTTGAGTTGAGGAGAAAGACTCGTCCTTTGGGGTGGTAATTGGATGGAGATACAGAGAAGGCTTGTGAGATGCGTTTGTTGAGTTGGAGCAGGGTTTCGCCGAGGGAGTGCTGACCATAGTCTATGAATACGATGACCGAAAGAGGAAGCTGGGACGCAGCAGTCGCGGTTGGCTCCTGTGTATTAGATTCGTAGTCCCCTTGTTTTAGCATGACAAGAAATTCTTCTAGCGTATGGGCAATGTTTGTGAGAGCATTGAAAGGTGACTGCTCTTTGGGCACAACTTCTGAATGAATGAACACAGGAATCCTAGTGAGAGGAGACTGAACGGATTTCAACACCTCCTGACAAGTATTATCAGAAGCCCCAACGATCGTGCCGTTGCTTCGACCTTTTTTTGCCAATCCCAGGCATGCCGGGACAGACGTTTTCCGCGGTGTTGGGCTAATGTTATCACCCATTGATTTAACATCCTTCCTTGACCCTTGGCAGACGCCCTTGGTGTGTGGATTTAACGCTGGCAATGCTGCTTTCCGTTTTCTAGCATTTCCTTGAGAAAGATTCTCGTTGCTCGTTAAGACGCTGCCTGCAGGCTCCGGCGACCCGGCTGACGAAGTTGATGTCGGACGTGTATCGACGTATACAGGGATGGCCTTTGTGAAAGTTTCGGTTTGTAGAGAGACTTGTTTCGCTGGGCCATCTTGGGGTTCTTGACATAAAGCTCCTAGGTTGGAACGGCATGTGGGTTTGGCTTGCTCAGATTCAAACGCCGTAGTAGGGGGCATCTTGGATAAGATTGGGGAGGCTTCGGTGGATAAACTCTGAGAACGATCCTGAAAATAACCAGGCATAGACGTGCTCAATTTGACGCGCTTTGCCCATTCTGCCTCTTGCTCTAGGATGTCCTCTGCGGGAGCTGATATCGCAGTTTCAGCCAGAAGCTGCAACTCTCGAAATGACACAGCATCTTCGAGCGGTCGATCTGAGTGAATTTTCAAAATCCTTGGGAAACGAAGGGTATAAAACCGAGCGGCCGACGGCTTCTCAAACCCGCTCCCAAGCATCTCAGCAACGAACGGTGTTTTGAACACAACGTCTATTCGTGGCATGCCCGGCCGTACATAATCGATGTCAAGGCCGTGTTCGGAGTCTACGCTCCGCGCGCTATACTTGCCAAAGATGTTCAGCATCCGCATATTCGTTTGGCTCATGCAATGGTGATCGATCACATCTAGAACATAAAGTCTAGGTTTGGCATTGGATTGCAGGACAGCATCCTTATTGTCGAGACAGCCCACAAAAAAGTGCGTCCACGATAGCTCTTTCTCCAACCCGAGCGTGGAGGCATCACGGGATTTATATGCTGCGCCTACCAATGCCAGATCTATTGTGTCGCCTAACCCTGGAATGTAGTCCTTCTTGAGCTTGATCCAACGGCCATCACAGTTATCTCCTGGATCAATTAGAATTGGGAAATATGGATCCTCGCAGCCTTTCAGAACGAAACCTTCCCATCGCTCAGAAACTCCCATGGAGAAGAGCGCTTCAAGTTTGCTTTGACCATCCGAGCGAGAGAAATCAATGATACGTTGTTCAGCAATATCGGCAAGGCCGGGCATTATTTTTACTGTGTCCTTCAACAGCAGACGTCTTTCTCGGTGTGGCTTGCGTAAACAAATGTCATCGTCGAGGAGTAGGACGTCAAAAAAGACCATCATCAAGTGTTCATAAGGTTGTGGTCTATTTGTGTTAGCAGGTTCACACAGTACTATGTAGGTGCAACTGACGGAGAATCGCTTTCTGTGCCAATAAAAGCACCGGATCGCGAGACAAATTTGCGTAGTTTATGAAAATGCTCGATTTTATGGTGCTTGTCGCTCCAAACAAGCAGCTCGCCTTCTAAAATGCAACGGCGTTTGAATCTGCAACCTTCTCTGCCTACTCTCAAGGACTCCTTGACCGCTTGATGAATGCCTGCTCTGTCTGCCGTAGAATCCTTGCCGCTCTTAGAGAAGATTTGGATTGAACTTGACTGCTTCAATAGATCAATATGAATCTGGCAATATTCGCCATCATACTTCCTCTCAACACTCATTCTTCGCTGGCTAACCATATTGCAACAATGTCTAATGCTTCGTGCCTTGTAGTAATCCGGCCGTCCAATTTTGATACCGATCTCTGGACTGAGATGATATAAGGCTATTTTTCCAAGGTCCTTTGCTAGTCCAGGCTCAGGCTGGTGCGGGAAATGAGAGATTGGTTGTGAGGACAGCAAATTGACGGCAGCCTCGAATGAATTCTGAAAGAGAAGTAGATGAGGTAGCAGAAAATGAAATTTCCTTAATGCCAGCCTCTCTGGTATAATACAGGAGAAATGGCTTTTAAGTATCATTCGAGTCAGCCATTTGGCGTCCCTGCTGCTAAGACGACGGTAAAGAGGGGAGAGCGTCTCCTCAACGTCAACAGCTGAACGCTGTCTTCGAACCCTCGGGCCGGAGAACCGACATCGAGATGCTATTAGATTCAGCGCCTCTTCAATCTCCTCCACAGTGACTTCTTGGCCAGCCCTGATATGGTTCTCTGCCTGGCGCATCACATCCTCCACGCATTGACCGAGGTCTGCTCCGCCGGATGTGCGCCATTTTTCAAGCTCCTCACGCCGGGAGGATCCAAGAAGTAAACAGCGGCCAATAACCCTCGCTAAATTGGTATCCTGCAGCCAGTATACTCGATCCGGTCGCTTCTCCGGGAACATGCATGAAAACAGAGCTAGTTGATTGGTGTCGGGTTCGCGGATCCGTTTACCATGGCGAGCAAACCACTCGGTCACAACCCGAGCATCTGGATTCCGATTCCGCGCCTGCGTCGTTGCTTTCAGGATCCTGTTGTCCTCGAGAGACGAGAGCAGATTGCATAGGTAGGTGAACTTGAAACCCATATATGAGACGGATGATGCCTCGGATGTCTCTTGACACACGATGCTTGCAAAGTCGTGCGGCTATCATTGGAGGTAACCAGCTCAGATATGCACATTTCACGCAGTTTGGGACCTCAGGTTGCAATTCCTTTGATGCCTGGAGAGGGGGAGAAGTGACGCGAAGAAAGTGCGAGGAAAGTCCCGCAACGCGTCCACGGTTCACGACAGCACGTGATAGCGGGCACAAAGAAATAGTATAGAGCCAGAGCATGAGTATTACTTGATCAACTACTTTCTTTGTGTATTATCTTCTATAAGATTTAAGTTCTTTACAATATATCTTCCATCAAAGTAGTCCAAGTAAAGACTGCTGCTAGGGATGCTATCGTTAATGTAGACACAAACGGTGAATCTAGACGCTTCGTTACTTTGCCAGTAGAGAATATAGCATTGCGCAACAGATTCACCTGTTCCAAGATCCTGACCCAACAACAGACAGATTGATGTGGGCTAGGGTAACGATGCCGGGGATCACCACGGGTGATTTGTCTAAATTTTAAAAGCCAAAGATTAAGGGTTTTAATATCCTGGCCTGATTATCACGTAATAGTTTTTTGGTAGAATACAAGGCACAGTCACAGTCGTGCGCTGAACATTCAATTTCCCCATTTATTTAACAGCCCGATGGTATAAACTATGAAATGATACCTGCCAACGCCGTGTTTTGGCCATGAAGTAAAATACTGCATATTTAAACCTTGAAATATCCACCTCAAAGGATACCCTGCTTCTGGAGACTGTTGGTGTTGTTAGCACACGATATTGATACGTAAAGACCAAGGTAGAACGTACTCGAGATATATCCTTTCCGGCATCACATTGCCCTCTGCATCCTCCATTTGTACCACATTGTCTTTAAGGTCTCTGTCCTTCTTGCGGCCCTGCTCCAGCTTCTCCCAGAGCCGAATAGCATCGTCTATCTTAGTAATTTCGCGGAAGAGATTAGTGTTTGATGTGATACCGAGACATTTCAGCCCGAAGATATGCAACGCCTCGGAGAAATGTTTGTCGAATGCCCGACGGCCCATATACACGTAGTTACCGCAGATCTCGCAGGAATACTCCACGCCCAAGCCGTGTAGTTTATAGAGCCAGTATGGAATCGGCTTGCCATCCCAAGCAAGTGGGAGCTTGAGGGGATTGTAAACGCGGTCTTCTCCTTCCTCATCAGACTCATTTCCTTGCTCTCCTGCAAGATCTTCAGGTTCTGCTAGCATTGCTTCAAGCTCCATTTGCCGCTCTCGCTCTGTCATACCCTGTCTTCGCTCAACATTGGCCTTTGTCGCTTGACGCTCGTTGATCAGTACTCTTGCTAATGAGCGAACACGGTGTTCACGCTCCGCCACTGCTCGTTCCTTTAGACGGTGAGCCCCTGAAGTTCCGCCATTGGCAGGTGGTGCAGGTGCTTCACCAGATTCACCTGCAGCCTTACGAGCTTCCGCAGCTCGGATGTGCTTCTTGCCTGTCAAGTGATTCTTGTACACGTTCTCATTCTTAAACTCCTTCTCACAATCCGGGCACCAGGTGCCCTCACCTGAACCTTCGGTTTTCGGTCCCAGCGTGCTGTTGTTCTCTTCTGTCCACCCAGGAACTTGATTCGCGGCCCATTGTTTCTCAAAATCATCATCGAAGCTGGCAAAAATCTTGCTTAAATCCTGTAGCGGTCTGGCCTTCTTGATAAATTCCTCGACGTAATTTGCAAGCTCCCCTACATATTGGAAATATTTGTCGGAGAGTTTGTTGTTTCGTTTGATTGGCATTTGCGGCGGTGTGAAAGCATCGAATACGTCAAGGTATTGTATATATGATATTCTTTTGATACCAGGCAAGTTCAGGTATTCGTCATGCAATCTTGTGAGATCGAGGAACTGCCCGTATCCTTCTTCGCCCGTAAACATTGTATCAACCTCCATCCCTATCGGCTCGCCCTCTCCAGGTTGGCGGCGCTTGTACGCCCGTTCGAGGTTTTCGACCGGCTCATTGGGATACCGCTTGTGAAAATCTTTGACCTCGTCTAGTCGCTTGTAGAACTCTTCGAACTGGTCGCCGGTGGAGATGGCTTGGATCTCCTTCTCGCGTTCTCCGTCGGCGTTGTTGTAGATATCGAGTAACCTCTTTGACTGTTCATCTATGCGATTCAGAAAATTGGCCACTTCATGGTCGCGTGATAGACGTTCACGTATCTGCGACATCAATTAGTGATGGCCGATGAAGCAAAAAAAACCCAGGACAACTCACATTACGAGGATCTTCAGCGACGCGGTCCGCGATTGCTTGCTCCAATCTCTCCAGATCTTCGTGGATAAACCGCTGATCTTCGAGCACCATTCTGCAAAAATAGTTGACAACTCAGATCAGACGACGTGACTCTTAACAGTGTCAAACAAGAGAGCGTTGTCGGAGACATTGACGGCTCTGCGGCGAGACCGATCACGTGATCCGGGCGGTGGCGATCGATTCCGCCGTAAAAGTCGCGCTGCTTTCGAGGTTCCTTTTTGAAGAACTAGACCCCTTCATTGATTATTTGAATACGCTGCGTCGATTAAATAAAAATGGCGGACGGAATTGACAGACGGGCCGATGGTATGTACCCGTCAATTAAGTGGAAGCGTAAATGCTTACGGCTGAAATCCAGACAAAATGGAGTTTAACACCTCCAGGGAGGTCACCGTTGCTCCCACCTTTGAGGATATGCACTTGAAGGAAAGCCTTCTCCGTGGTATTTATGCGTATGGATACGAGTCTCCCTCGGCCGTACAGTCACGAGCCATTGTCCAGATTTGCAAGGGTCGCGACACGATCGCCCAAGCGCAGTCTGGTACTGGTAAGACTGCGACATTCTCGATCAGTGCTCTTCAAGTTATCGATACTGTTGTTCGCGAGACTCAAGGTATGTCGGGAATGGACATTACAAAGTTGACTATATGCTGATCCCTTACAGCCCTCGTCCTCTCCCCCACCCGTGAACTTGCGACGCAGATCCAGTCCGTTATCATGGCCCTCGGTGACTACATGAATGTCCAGTGCCACGCTTGTATTGGAGGCACAAATATCGGAGAAGACATTCGGAAGCTCGACTACGGCCAGCACGTCGTCTCAGGGACACCCGGTCGTGTTGCGGATATGATCCGAAGGCGCCATCTGCGCACAAGACACATCAAGATGCTCGTTCTTGATGAAGCCGATGAGCTCCTCAACCGGGGATTCCGTGAACAAATATATGACGTCTACCGTTACCTCCCTCCGGCTACACAAGTGGTTGTCGTCTCTGCGACCCTTCCGTACGATGTGCTCGACATGACGACCAAATTCATGACAGACCCCGTCCGCGTCCTGGTCAAGCGTGATGAATTGACATTGGAGGGAATCAAACAATACTTTATCGCCGTCGAGAAGGAAGAGTGGAAGTTCGATACCCTGTGCGATCTTTACGACACCTTGACTATCACGCAGGCCGTTATCTTCTGCAACACTCGCAGAAAGGTTGACTGGCTCACAGACAAGATGCGTGAAGCCAACTTCACAGTCTCAAGCATGCATGGCGAGATGCCCCAGAAGGAACGTGACAGTATTATGCAAGATTTCCGCCAAGGAAACTCACGGGTTCTTATCTCTACTGATGTCTGGGCTCGTGGTATCGATGTCCAGCAAGTCTCACTTGTCATTAACTATGACCTTCCCACCAACCGTGAAAACTACATTCACCGCATCGGTCGTAGCGGACGATTCGGCCGGAAAGGTGTTGCCATTAACTTCGTCACAAGCGACGACGTGCGCATCCTGCGCGATATCGAATTATACTACTCCACCCAGATTGACGAGATGCCCATGAATGGTGAGTTCCAGCCCAGTCCAAATTACCCTCCTCTTTCCCCTAGATCACGCGGGCACAAACCCAACTAACAATCACGCAGTTGCCGATCTTCTTTCCTAAACTTCCTATTAACCTATCGTTGCACTTCTATCTCGGTCATATTATACCTCTCTTCGTCACGTTCAAAATGTTCTTATGAACTTCATTCTCTCATGATCGCAATCTTCAAAACCATCTTCCACCTTCGCGTCCAAAGGATCTCAGGCTTGGTCCAAAGAGAGTCCCGGCCCAACCGCGAACATCCCTCTCTAGCCAGACATATCCAGGAACAGACGCAAACAAGGCAAACAAGGCAGGGCAAACACAACGCAGAGTGGAGGAAATGGGAAAATAACCAAATTGGTAAGCCTTCCCTAGGCCAGTCGTGAGGAAAAGGTGCTAAAACCGTCTATTCTATCCTATAGTTACTCGTATTTCAACCCCATAAAATAGTCTGTTTCAGTTAAGGAATGACATAGTACGGATAGCTTCGGAGCCAATTACTTCAATCAATCTAAGTATGCCCTCCTGCTCATTATGTAGGAGGGATTAATTACTAGTTCTTGTCATCATTTATTTGATACTTTTTTTTTCTTTATTTCTTGATTTTCTGGAGGCGTATGTCCAAGTCCAATTATAGTGAGTATCGTTTAGAGTTTCAAAATAAAGAATCATGTAGTTGGTTCGGATCTACCATGTTTCTAGTGCCTAATCATAGAATACAATGCAGCTACATCAATTTTCTGCACAGCACTAGTGATAGATAGCTACGTCGTATTTATTATATAGCGTAGTTGACCCTCTCTCAAAAGTCTGTCTAGAAGTCCATAACATGATTGTTAAAGGGGGAGCAGCATATGTGTAGAGTAGACAACCAACGAAGTGTGAAAGAAACGAAATGAGTCAAAGAATGGAGAGCCCCAAGTTTCCACACTACACCCAACCCAACGGACTCCTCAGATTTAAGTATTGAACCGCCCAGCCCACCCAAAAGCCCATAAGTAGACAATATGAATGAATAAATACCGGACAGTTCGTGTATGGATTTGACATGGAAACAAAAAAGGAATTGTATGGATATGCAGCACCCATGAAATGGAAATGCCAAAGTGGGAGTTCAACGCCCTTGAACGAATGCAAAATAGGTGACAATCTGTGATACCAAAACGCTGGCGCCTGCGACCTTTATCGAATGGAACATAGAAAAGTTGGGAGCGTGTGTATATGCAGAAAGTTGGAAAATTGTCGAGAAGGGGGAGCAGTTGAGACTGATGTATTGAGAAGACATGAGATTATCTGCTCCAAGTTTATATGGAATGATCCGAAAAATAAGTCTTATTCAGAAGCTTGATGTTGAACGTAATGCGCTTGTTCGAGCATAGCCATTCCCTGTCACCGCTCGGCGCTTTCCTGGAGTACTGCTGGGGTGTACATCGCGCTCTCGACTCCAGCTGTTATTAGGTTAGTATGGAACTTCCATATCCAAGACGGTATTGAATGGTACCCACATCTTAACCAAGCAGTCATCACCCGCGGAAGCAAACATGCCAGGATCAGCAGGGTTCCATGAGATTGCGTTCACACACCCCTGAAGATGTCCTTCGAGCGTCTCAACGAGCGACCCATTCTCCTTATGCCATACGTAAATCCGGGAGTCTATTTAGCAGTTAGTAGCCACATTTAGAAATTAAGGTGGGTTTCCTACCTTCACTACCGCTGACAACGAAGTTCTCTGCAGCTCCTCCAAATGTACTGCGGATAATAAACGTGCTCTGTTTTTGGCCTTGGAAACGGCGGAGGACCTCTGACGTTTCAATGTCGATCAGTTGAATCTCGCACTCGGTAAGATTTACGAGCATGTAGCGCGAATCGCTGCTGACAGCGACAGAAGTCGCTTTGCTCTTCAGGGGAAGACTGTATTCCTGCTCGTGAGTATTGAAATTGAAGACGCGGATCTTACTCTCCACGTCTACGGCAATCAGACGTCGGCCATCAGGTGTTATCGCACAATCTTGAACGCGGAAACCGTTGGGCCACATGTGCAGGGGCTGGCCGCGGATGCTCCAATGGCACAACTGGGAGCTCTTATCAAGAGACGCGGTTACGAATGATTCCCCGTCGGGAGCCCAGACAGCCGCGGTTACCGGTTGCCGGTGGTGGTTGATAGTCAGAAGGCATCTCCCAGTCTATTTTCATGATTAGCTTGAAAAGTGCGGGTATAGTAGATCAAAGCTCACCTCCATGCTCCATACGCGGGCTGTCTTGTCCTGCGAACAGGTGATTAACTTGCTGTCATCCGGGCTCCAAACGGCATGAGCAACCCCAGCTTCGTGCCCCAAAAGTTTATACAGGACGGAAAATGTACTCGTGTCGTAAATAATCACACTGCTGTCCCGGCCTGCCGTGACTAATTTCGTACCATCATGAGAAAATTGACAGTGCCAAACCTCATCAGAATGTTGATTCAGCTCGAGTTTCGTGCTAAGAGGGAAATCGTTGCGGTCGCACATATGATCTGAGTAAAGAGACGGTGACTCTGCGGTATTGTGATATAGGCAATGGTTGATCTGATTCTGTTTAACATGGTCTAACAAGGTGGCAAGCCGATTATCCGGGATCATGACCGACGGGGATATAAATTCTGCTCCAGCGGTTAGAGAGGGTCATTTTGACAATAGGGGAAAGCAAACTCACTTGACAGTTCTGACAGCAGTCGCTCCCTGGAGAAGCCAACTGGGCTATCCCAGCCGACTTGGTCGTGAAGGTGCTCTGGGGGGCACATAAGAAGACTAGCCATCCATTAGCAATGAAAAATAATGAAAGGGTCATCTAATACTCACCTAGACAGAGCGTGCAGGCGTCCGATGTCGTAGTCCAAAGGAGTCAGCTCCTGTCGAAGAACAATCAATGCTCCTGGGAGAGCTCGTTCTTCCAGTAGTTCAAGGAACTTTTGTTGCCGCAGATAGAAAAGCATTTCACTCTTATCGGCATTTTCCACCAGTGCCAACTTTTCCTTGCTCGTCGTTTCATCCTCGGTTTGTCCCTGCTCGGACGCCTGAAACGATTGTACCAGGATGCGCTCCGCCTCAGCCCATCGTCCCTCGAGTATTGCATTCCTGAAGATGGCCACCGCGGGGCTCTCCAGTTGGTAGCCGCTTTCCGAGCTCAGCAAAGCCGCCGAACCACTATAACCAAGTTCATGGAGACTCTGAATGAGAATCCTCGTCACTTCTTCTCGGTCATGATTGAAATATTTCGATTTTTTTGAAGACTTCTGGAAACCGCCTGTCCTTGATTCTCCATTCGAACTAGAATGTGACGACTGTCCGTTCAGAGTGCGACTGGCGGCGGCCTTCTGAGCAGGCGAGGCCGTCCCTCCCTTGCCCACCTGGGAGTAGTTATTGGTAGTTGATATTCCATCTGGTCGCATATTTGCCAGGCGCCTGCGCTTGGACGAAGGAGGATAGCCCTCTGATGGGACACCGGACTGGATCTGGTTTTGTTCGTGAAGTGAGCTGACTTCGTCTACCGCCGTATGACCTCCCGCGCGGCCTCCAGTTCCGGGGACAGAAGGGTTAGGCGGATTTGACGAACTGCGGCGGCGGCGGCGATTCGTAGAAGATAGATGCTCGGCCTGGTGTGAACGACGGCGACGGGAGTCAGCTTCTTGCTGCGGTGTAGCTGGGGTACTGCCGGCGGAGGTATCGGCGCCCGGGCGAGACGGAGTGAGCTCGGATGGGATCGTCGGAGGATTTGGGAGGTCGGAGGCCACGGAGGAGGGCGAGTAAGGGGGAGGAATGTCGGCCAGATCGAATATTCCAAGCCTGCCCTTTCCGCCTGGCTCTGTAGCAGAACCAGGAGAGCAGACGTATATCAGCGGTGGGTCCCTGATGCTCCTGGAAAGCTCAGTACCCGTCCCTGAGCTCGATCCGGATCAGGAGCCCTCCAATTCCTTACCTCTGAAGTGGGTATTGAGGGTGTGCAGATAAGGCTGGCGAGGGGGCGTCGATAAGTGCGAGGCGAAGGGTGCGAGAGAGGAGACCTGAGATCAAGTGGAGCGAGAGGTCTTATCGGGCCTGACAGGAGCTGGAGGAAGTCGCCAAGCTCCAAAAACGACGAGGAGGAGGAGCGAGATACAGCTGGGAAACAATAAATCAAGAGCTCGTGCTTTAACTTTGAAAGCGAGGTTGGGCAGGAGCGACGATCTGGAGGGAAAGGTGACGGAGAGGTGGGTAGGTCGATCGAGAGATGAGATGAGGTTGAAGCATTCGGCGATGTCTTAACTATTTCTCCGTGGGCCCAACCGTCACTGCTGCTTGGATAATACGGCCTCCAGAGCACGATATCGCCCGAATCTACTGGAGCGATTTGTTTCTAGGGAAAATGCGAGCCTCGATGCGATCCCTGACAAATCGAGGTTCTGCGGTATTTTCTAGCAAAGCGTTCTTATCCGTACAGCCCGAGGATATATAACCCAACAACTCCCACGTATCCCAACCAGCAGCGTCATCCACTCGAGTACGCCTGGTGGGTATAGATTGTGCCTAATTACTCTCAAGGTTCACCCTTCCAGCATCCAAAGTAAGACTAGCCTGTCAGGTCCCAGAGTCATGAATGTGCTCCAGCTTCGACAACAAAGCAGGCCACCTCGCAGGCCACCTAGCCGACCCAGGACAACGCTGCGGACGACGTATCAGAGCTGCTTCTGGCTTTCTGCTGTTTTATGCTGCTCTCCGCCGTTATCTGCTGCGCTCTGAACCAGGAACGTTTTGGAGCTCTGGGGCTGCGATCCAGCTGACTGATTGGGGCGTCATCCTACCTGACGCAAGGATATCCTGACGCCATCAGAGGCTATTATTGATGGCTGCCGCGGGTATTCAAGGGGAGAGATCAATGATTGCTGGTATCGCCAATACTATTGGTTCTGAATGATCATCAGCAGAGGCATCATATGGCAAAGTCAGCCAGTCTGTTAGTATTTGATGAACGTGTTTGCCCGGAGATTCCCGACAGAAGAGCACCGTCCAAAGAACCCCAGATTTCCCTCGTTCGTGACTGCAATGCTGTCAATTGTGGTACCGGTACAGTTCTGTTCCAGCGGCCGCCTTCCACAGGATTACGCTCTCATGTTCTCAGCTCAGAGTCTCTGACTTACTACATACGATAGATGGCTCTTCTCCTCCTGGCTGCCCAATCGACGGGAATCTTTGAGCAGCCAGCCACTGGCGCATCATCCGTGGGACAAAGCACCCTCCTGACCTCATAATGATCCCTCTCTTCCCCACATCGCCTCCACAGTCCGTATAAAGGTGCCCCATCGCTCTCATCGAGATACTAGATCCCAACTTGACGCTGCAAACATCTCCGAATAACTCTGCTTTAAATCCAACTCAAAACTCCTATCTCTTAATCTACCAAAATGGGTGGCTGCGGCTGTGGATCCGGCAACACTTGCAACTGCTCCGGTCCGAGCTCGTGCACTTGCGGCCAGAGCTGCCAATGCAAGGAATGCGGAGTATGTATCACCTTTGCCTTTTTGGACCCGTGGAACTGGTATGCGGGCAGGGTATGTTTCAGACGCTAACCTATACGATAATTAACAGAAGTAAACTGCTTCCTCAATATGTGTCCAGCAGACGGGGACGACACATGCGCTGAGTTCTCGCTCAACGTGATTCTGGATATTCTCCTGGATATGTAATATGTGAAAATCCATAATAAATTGACATTGTCTTTCTCCAATTAAGCTGTATGATTTCTAGTACTGTAATTATCGCGCCGTACTCTGCCCATCCAGCGCGGCCTGCGACGCCTTCAACGCCCCCGTAATCGTGAAGGAAATACACGGCGAGAGCATATACATGACCTGTAAATGTAAGCACCATCCCATTCGGTTACGACGGGAGACACATACAGTCAACGTCTTTGCGATCGTCATCTTCTGTCTCTCAGAAGCCTTGGCCAACTCAGCGAGTCCTTGAATAACCAACGCCGGAGGCCCAGCCGGCATGAGCATCATGCTGAACCAGAGAACGGGGTCTGATCGCAGTACAGACGTTTTTCGCGCGAGGCCGTAGATGATTGAGATACCGAGTCTGTGGCGATGTAATCAGCAACCATCACTGCAGCAATAAGCCAAGGAGACGGGAACACGCACGCAGGCCAAACAACAAGCCGGATCAGAAAGATCGTCAGAATCGCTTTGACGCCCGGGTTACTCGATCTCGTACTCCCGGCTCCATCACCACCATTGCCACTGTCCATCTTCTCAAAACTAACCCCAAGCTCACACCCGACGATGAAAATCTGCAGCGTCGTAAACAGCTTTCCGACATTCTTGATACTCGACGTCAACCAAGCATTGAATATACCCCCCTCTTCGTACGTATTAAAGAATGCCTTGTGTAGCTGCGGAACCAACCCCAACACTGCACCAACAAGCGTACAGATGATAGCAACATCAGCCATCGGGGTATCAAACGGCGCGATCACACTCTGCTTCAGGCGTTTCGGGAAGTCGCACACCACATCCCTAGCCCAGCGCTTCATTCTTGCAGAGAAGAAATCCAAACCGGAATACTTTTGGTTCTGAGCCTGGCCGCCGTGCAGCAGCGGCATTTCTTCATCCGCGTGGTTGGCGCCTCTATCATCGTTCCCATTCCCATTCCCATTCCCATCCTCGTTCTCGTTTACACGTCCAAATCCATCCTCTCTACCCTCTACATCTCCATCTCCCTCTCTATCCCCATCGTCAGCACCGTCGTCGCCGTCCCCAACTCCATCCCCACCCTTCAACATAGCCGGCCCAACCGCATACCCAATCGTCTTGGAAATGACACCACAAAGCAGGAAATAGCTCTGCGCGCGCGCAATCGCCTCAGCGACGGAGTCGCCGTCCTGGATAATCATATTCAAACTGCCGACACTCTTCAACGACTCCAGTAGGAGTAGCGGGAGAGAGGTTGTGTTGTTGAATGCACACGCGGGCGTGACCCAAGCCGGGAGTCTGAGGAGTTTCGAGGCTAGCCGTGCGAGGGCGATTGAGAGGGTTGTGTACGCTATTGACCAAACTGTATATTATTCACTATTAGCTGGGCTCAGCGTTTAATATAAGGTAGGATGGCGTAGGGTAGGGTAGGTAGGGTAGGACGGGCGCACCCAAGACAGGAACGTAATTCAACGCATTATCCAGCTGCAGCTGCTCGCCTAGATGGACGAGGATCAGGGCCGGGAGAAGAACCTTCACACCCAGCGCCGAAACATCGTTGATCGAGCTGCGGTGGATGAGGCCGAATTTGCGAGCCGCGACGCCGTAGGATAGGGTCAGCAATACGGAGACGCAGGCTTGGAGTGCGCCCAGGAAGGAGACAGCGAGGCTTCCCCGGGGCATAGTGAATGTTTTAATGCTTATTTTGACTTTTATATGTGGTTTATCGTATTTGGAAACAGGGCACGCGAGCTGGGTTTTAAAAGGTGAAGCTGTTGGTTGGTGTTGATATTCTATGTCGTCATGATGGCGATGATGAGGTCTAGATCCACATCGCTTTCTTTATACAGCGTTTCAGGTTGGATTTTTGCTGTGACTTATGTCAAGGTCATACTTGTTCCTGGCAGTATTTAATTGTGCTCGAAGAAATCTGTGGTTGTTTGAAATATATGATGCAGAGTTGAACTACGTAAACCGGTATCTACAAAGGCGGCTATAAAATTGAGGCATCGTCACGCTCGCAAAAGCTTTTGCCGACCAAGTATACGTGCGCCTGCCATGGCACCATAGAGCGCCGTTGCTGCTGAAGTGCATACAGCAAGGACGCCCAGCTGGGCGAGAGTCTCAATACCGGGCTTGGACACCTTTCTATTTTTGCGAGTTCCTAGCTTCGTCGTCCGAGTGAACCAAGGGACGTACTTGAAGTCAAAGATTGTCTCCCCTCCAAGGCCGTGCTCCTTGTCTGTTATTATCGAGTAATACATCTTTCGACGAACCTGTACATCTGTCAACACTAGAAGAGGTAGAGAGTAAGAGAAAGACGAACCGCAATCCACACCTTGTCGAAGAGCGGGAAGACTCGATTTGAGTATGCTACTACCATGACAAGATAACAGTAGCCGTATATGAGCGTCTGGTAGTAAAGGCTTGTCTTCGGGATGTCGAGGCGATCTGAGAGTTTGTTGCCGTTGAGATGCCGGGCCATAGCCTCCATGAACTCCTTCGACGCAAAGGTGGGTGCAGTATTCTCAAGACCGATGACAATGTTCTTAGCAAGAACTTGCCCGATGGGCTTGGGGTCGACCTCAAATTCCAGAATCGACTCCATAAATGCCTTAGCGGTAGGTTTGTCCGCGAGGAAGTCGGTTGGGGTGCCCATGTAATATGCCACCAGCCTCCAAAGAGCTATGTAATCCTCGATTTCGTTCTCCGTGGGGTAGATACCCTGTCGGGGGAGGCCCATCCAAACCACACTGGTTGAGAATGTGTTGATTGTCCCAATGCAATCGAGATCGCTGATCGGGATACCGAATTTCTCGATATCATAATATTCCGGCTTCTCTTTGACAAGACTGAGAATCCGAGACCGGACGGATGAGTGCAGGAGCCTCACTCTAACCGAAGACTGATGACCAGCGCCACCGGGCTTCATGGAGTCTACAGAAAGAGACACCTGGAGGATGTGCTGAAGAGTCTCCAATAGTCTTCGTCGAACAACATCTGCAGAGAATCCTCCAGTCCGGGCCAGAGTCTCAACAATACGGTTGGCACCCCTGTGCAAATTGGTCAGTATGCACGACACCAAGCCAGTATGAGATCATTTACATTCCACCTAATAGGCTTTGAAAGCTGAGCTAAGAGACGTCAGTGTGGGCATTTACTCTTCAACGATTGTACTGACCACATTCATTATTGGCATCCCGTAGCGGAAGAACACTTCCTGCCCTCTTTTGACCTGATCCCAGTCGACCCAGTCAGGGACGGTGTTGATTTCCGTCAACAGCTCTTTAAGCTTGGGATCATCCTTTGCATGCTTCTCCAATAGCGCAAGCAGGTCACGTTTGGGTGCTTTAGTTGGTGGTTCGCCGGCTTTGGGACGGTACTTCTCCGGAGGCGAGAGCTCGTTGAGCTTTGCGATACAATCGTCCGCTAGCTTGTCATACGTAAAAGTCATTGGACGCAGCTGCTCTGCTGTCTGATGAAGTTCGGTCCATTCGAACGAGATATCCCAATGCGTGTGGATGTCAGGAGGTGTCATCTTGGTTTGATTTTTATGGCTGCAGTATAGGGCAAATAGGAAGGATAGCAGCAGTTGAATGCCCGCGGGCAACAGGCCATATAATATACCATTCTGCTCCGTGCAACAAACCATATGATTAGCTGTAGCTTTCCTGATGCCTTCCCCAAGGCTGATCAATTGCTATCATTCTTTGACAGCATTTCCCATGTGGAGGTGAGTCCATTCCTGGAGAGGTAAAGAGCCGAGAAGCGGGCTCAAATCCACGGATCGAGGAAGACCATTTACGGTTAGCTGGTGTCTGTGAGCATGTGAACCACCACCATCTGGTGCACAGTGAAGGACTAGGAAGGATGGAAATGCGGGGAACCAACAACTTGTTGGATGGACACATGGCGGGGAAGTTTGGTGGAGGGATCCATGACACTGCAGAACGACTCATGATTCCGTGCTCCAATAGCCATGTCTGGGAGAGATCGGAGTATACATATAAAACTAAGATACGTGATGGCCCAACCTGTCAATATTAAGCCGCACGTAGATCTTGCCAGCCGCTTATTCACTTGATGAATCCAGCTATGCTGCGGGCAGCGGGGCATTATCAGTGCAAAGCAGTGGGACTGTGTGCCACAAAGTGTTACAGCCGCCTGGTGGTTTCGTATGAGCTTCCAGCGTATTTATCAACAGCTATGAACCTGAGATGTCTCTTTCTGAATGATCCAATGCCAATGCTGGCGGAGTCCTTAAATCGTTAGTTAAAGCACATCAGCCGAAACTTACTCAGCGCCTGAGGCTAACTAAGCAACCCCCTAAACAACACACCCCCGTTTCGTGCAGATGACCCGTCGAGCACGGCTAATTCTAGAAGCGAATGTTGGGATTGGGCGTGCGTCGACTGAAGTCTCGTCCGTCATTGCTGGATCTGATCGCCAACCGTGGTGGTGGTGGTGTAGTTGAGCAGAGCTCCCCCAGTCCGGCATCACCGCCCAGACCGGCCGACCTGCCACCGCTCCCCGTTTCACCCACTCTGTCGTCCTCCAGCGACAGCGACAGCGCCAGCTCAAGCAACAGCACCAACAGCACCCCCATCCCGCAGCCCCTCTTTTTGTCCACGCCTCCCATCCAAACGCCGGCTCCTCACACCATGGCTCCCTCTGGAAAGGGCTCTTCGAGCTCTGAGGATGTCAGCACTGGTGCTGTCTTCTCCATTTCCGGTCCCGTTGTGGTGGCCGAGAACATGATCGGCTGTGCTATGTACGAGCTGGTGAGTGCTCCCGAGCTACCTGGTCGATGAGCTCTGTCTCTCAGAGCAAATGTCCATTGTTGTTGGTCGCCTTGCTTACTCGCCGCGATGGGCTTCTAGTGTCAAGTCGGCCATGATCAGCTAGTCGGAGAAGTTATTCGTATCGAAGCGGATAAGGCCACCATTCAGGTTTACGAGGAAACAGGTACTGCGACCCTGCTCTAGGTGAAATGCTTAATGGTCTAACTTTTCTTCGCTTGCTAGCTGGATTGACGGTCGGTGACCCCGTCTGGCGAACTGGCAAGCCTTTGTCCGTCGAGCTCGGCCCTGGTTTGATGGAAACGATTTACGACGGTATTCAGCGACCCCTGCGAGCTATTTCCGACGAATCAGGCAGCATCTACATTCCCCGCGGTATCAAGGTCAACGCGCTGGATCGCAAGAAGAAATGGGATTTCAAGCCCGGCAAGTACAAGGTCGGCGACCACATTACAGGTGGTGATATCTGGGGTACCGTTTTCGAGAACAGCTTGTTGAATGACCACAAAATCCTACTCCCTCCCCGTGCCAAAGGTACCATCACTCGGATAGCGGAAGCCGGTAGCTACACTGTTGAGGAACAGCTGCTGGAGATTGAGTTCAATGGCGTCAAGTCGACACACGGAATGATGCACACCTGGCCTGTCCGTGTGCCCCGACCGGTCAACGAGAAGAAGTCCGCCGATGAGCCGTTCATTGTCGGCCAGCGTGTGCTCGACTCTCTCTTTCCCAGTGTGTTGGGTGGTACCGTCTGCATTCCTGGCGCTTTCGGGTGTGGTAAGACCGTCATCTCACAAAGTGTGTCCAAATTCTCCAACAGTGATGTCATTGTCTATGTTGGTTGTGGTGAGCGTGGTAACGAGATGGCCGAAGTGCTGATGGATTTCCCCGAGGTATGCTTGCTAAACCGTTGTTGAGTGTTGCACAACGCTAACGTGCCGTTTCCTTGTAGCTCAGCATCACGATCGATGGCCGCAAAGAGCCTATCATGAAACGTACCTGCTTGATCGCTAACACCTCCAACATGCCTGTCGCTGCTCGTGAAGCTTCAATTTACACTGGTATCACCATTGCAGAATACTTCCGTGATCAAGGAAAGAACGTTGCTATGATGGCAGACTCCAGTTCCCGATGGGCTGAAGCCCTTCGTGAGCTTTCCGGTCGTCTTGGAGAGATGCCGGCTGACCAAGGTTTCCCCGCCTATCTCGGTGCCAAGCTTGCTTCGTTCTACGAACGTGCCGGTAAGACGATCGCTCTCGGAAGTCCCGAGCGAGATGGCAGTGTCAGCATTGTCGCCGCCGTTAGTCCTCCCGGTGGTGATTTCTCAGACCCTGTCACTACTAGTACGATGAGTATTGTCCAAGTGTTCTGGGGCTTGGACAAGAAACTGGCGCAGCGCAAGCACTTCCCTTCGATCAACACAGGTATCTCTTACAGCAAGTACACGAACGTCCTGGACACCTACTACGAGAAGCACCACCCCGAGTTCCCTCGCCTGCGTAGACAGGTTCAAGAGCTTCTGACAAAGTCTGAAGATCTTGACCAAGTGGTCCAGCTCGTCGGAAAGGCTGCGCTTGGTGACTCGGACAAAATCACATTGGATGTCGCCGCGATGGTGAAGGATGACTTCCTGCAACAAAACGGATACAGTGATTACGACCAGTTCTGCCCTCTCTGGAAGACAGAGTACATGATGAAGGCATTCATGGGCTACCACGACGAGGCGCAGAAGGCGATCGCCCAAGGCCAGAACTGGCCCAAGGTCCGCGATGCGACTACCGACATCCAAACCTCCCTGCGGCAAATGAAGTTCGAGGTTCCAGAGGATGAGGCAAGCGTGTCTTCCAACGTAAGGGCCCTTCTGATTTAGACTTGTGAAGCCATGCTAACTCCCAGCAGTACGAGAAGATCCTGCAGACCATGTCGGAGCGGTTTGCTTCGGTGTCGGATGAGTAGATCAATGAAACGTACACGCCTTTTTTTGTTTTTCGCCCATATGATTTGAGAGCTTGTAGCATATAGCAGCTTTCTGTAGCTATTTTGTTTTTGTGAATACTACACTAGAATTCTCCGAGTCCTGATTCGTACCTAGTAAAGCTGCCTCTTACGTATCACGTAGATATTGCCAGTGAGCTGTGAAGGTCCGCCTAGGTGCCAGAATTGTTTCGGGTGGCACAAGTTACATGCACAACCGGAGTGGCAAATGACACGCACCGCCTCTGCCCAAAGCGGGACTTGGCTTTGTTGCTGCCTCTTGGAATCTCGACCGCCGACTGGAAACTTGGCCGCTCGCCATCCCGCTTCTCTTTACTTTCCACCACAATCACTGACTTTCGCTTCCTCTATATATCCCAATAATTTCTTCTCTTTTCTTGTGCTTATTAACTCCGAAGCAAACGTTGTTGTACCCTATTGTTGCCAGCCATGGCAAGCCCAACGTCTGGCTACTCGTGCGTGACCCTGGCCCCTCGTGCTCGAACCCTGAACTTAGCTGACCGATTGCGCTGCGACAACAGGATAAACGTCAATGACCCCAGCTTGATTTCGCTGGTCAACAAACTCCAGGATGTCTTCTCGACCGTAGGGGTAAGTGCTACCAATCCTCCAGCTCGATCTCCTCCCCAGCGCCCCTCCCTCCTGACACCGCTTGTTGACTCGCCGCCAGGTCCAAAACCCCATCGATTTGCCCCAAATCGCAGTCGTCGGTTCGCAGTCGAGTGGAAAGAGTTCCGTCTTAGAGAACATCGTCGGCCGGGATTTGTAAGTGGTTTCCCTTCCCTCTTCGCAACATCGGATGTTGGGGCCGCGCGTCGCTAACATGGCCGTTTGCCCCCTTTACCTAGCCTCCCTCGTGGTTCTGGAATTGTTACTCGACGTCCCCTCATTCTGCAACTCATCAACAAACCCCCGCAAGCGAACGGCGTGAAGGAGGAGAAGCTCGAAACGACGGATAAGGAGGCGAACGTGGACGAGTATGGCGAGTTCCTGCACATTCCAGGCCAGAAGTTCCACGACTTCAACAAGATCCGTGAGGAGATTGTCCGCGAAACCGAGACCAAGGTCGGTCGCAATGCCGGAATCTCTGCTGCACCCATCAACCTGCGAATCTACTCCCCCAACGTCCTCACCCTGACACTTGTGGATCTGCCCGGTTTGACCAAGGTGCCCGTCGGTGACCAGCCAAAGGACATTGAGAGGCAAATCCGCGACATGGTTTTGAAGTATATCAGCAAGCCCAACGCCATAATATTAGCTGTGACGGCCGCGAACCAGGATCTTGCCAACTCCGATGGGCTGAAGCTCGCACGTGAGGTGGACCCGGAGGGTCAGCGCACAATCGGTGTGTTGTCCAAGGTCGATCTCATGGATGAGGGCACAGACGTGGTGGATATTCTTGCTGGCAGGATTATCCCTCTGCGTCTGGGTTATGTTCCCGTGGTCAACCGTGGACAGCGCGATATTGAGAACAAGCGACCTATCGCATATGCACTGGAGAACGAAAAGAACTTCTTCGAAAACCACAAGGCGTACCGGAACAAGGCTTCGTACTGCGGAACACCGTACCTGGCCAGAAAGCTGAACTTGGTGAGTTTTGCCAACCGGCAAGTGTCGAGAGCTTGGGCTAACTTGAGTAGATCCTTATGATGCACATCAAGCAAACGCTCCCGGATATCAAGTCCAGAATCTCCTCCTCCCTGCAGAAGTATTCGTCTGAACTGTCACAGCTTGGCGACTCCATGCTCGGCAACAGCGCCAACATCATTCTTAACATCATCACAGAATTCAGCAACGAGTACCGGACAGTTCTGGAGGGTAACAACCAGGAGCTTTCCAGCGTCGAGCTTTCAGGTGGTGCCCGTATCAGTTTCGTGTTCCACGAGCTCTACGGCAACGGTGTGAAGGCAGTCGACCCGTTCGACCAAGTGAAGGACATTGATATTCGGACCATCCTGTTCAACTCGTCTGGTTCATCGCCTGCACTCTTCATCGGCACTACAGCTTTCGAGCTCATTGTCAAGCAACAGATCACGCGCCTCGAAGACCCAAGTCTGAAGTGTATCTCTTTGGTCTACGACGAGCTTGTCCGTATTCTCGGACAGCTTCTGAACAAGCAACTGTTCCGTCGCTACCCGATGCTGAAGGAGAAATTCCACGCAGTTGTGATTGCGTTCTTTAAGAAGGCCATGGAGCCTACGAATAAGCTTGTCCGGGATCTCATTGCTATGGAGTCGACTTACATCAACACTGCCCACCCCGATTTCCTCAACGGACACCGGGTAAGTTACGGAAACTCTACTGTCTTTAGGAAATCCGACTAACAGCTACAGGCAATGGCCATTGTAAACGAACGTCATGCTGCTAGTAAGCCGACTCAGGTGGACCCGAAGACGGGCAAGCCTCTACCCCCCCGCGCAAACAGCCCCTCCGTTGAACCCACTCCTGCTGGTGCGGACACTAGCAGTACTGGATTCTTTGGCAGCTTCTGGGCGTCAAAGAACAAGAAGAAGATGGCGGCTATGGAGGCTCCCCCACCAAACCTCAAGGCATCGGCCGCTTTGTCTGAACGTGAAAGCACCGAGGTGGAGGTTATTAGTAAGTTTTGTTATTTACGACCTACGTAGGAGCAAGACTAACAATGTGATGCAGAGCTCCTCATTACCTCCTACTACAACATCGTTAAGCGTACGATGATTGATATGGTCCCGAAAGCTATCATGTACACTCTCGTGCAGTATGTATAGTCCTGTCCATCTGGTGCCACAACCTGCTGACCACGCCCCTAGATTCTCCAAGGAAGGAATGCAGCGAGAACTGCTCGAGAACATGTACCGTAACGCCGAACTAGACGACCTGCTGAAGGAAAGCGACTACACCATCCGGCGGCGGAAGGAGTGCCAGCAAATGGTGGAGAGCCTTAGCCGCGCGAGTGAGATTGTCAGCCAGGTGCAGTGATTGCAGTAGAACGCGACTTGTGATTCCCACTTCGTTCGTCTTTCGTTTCCTTCTACGTCTTGGTTTTGGTGGGGAAGATTCGGCACTTTCTTTTGTTTAAGGGACCCATGCCTTATGTTTATAGTTTTCCTGATATGAGCAAAGGGTTGCTACGGCTGCATTTCTTTCTGATGTCGGGTCTGGATCTTTCTCACGAATTTGTATCGCCTAATGATGATGCTTGCGCTAGAATAAGACCGTGAATTTGTGCGTGTTGGCAGTGTACTGAGTACGGTATGAAGTAGCCTTGCAGTATAAAAGTATCCTATCAATAGTCTGAAACTGTTGTCTTTGTGCACATAAGTGGCATTAGTCGAGTCTCGAGTAGGAAGCAGTCATGAGGGCCTTTGCCCCGGCAGAATCTAATCATCTGACCGCCTCAGCTGCCTGGATCACATGATCAATGTCGCAGCACATGGTCCACTTGCACAAAAGAGGTTAGCGTGACGAGTCCCTTGTCTGCGCAAATAAGCGTTTGTTAGTGTTGTTAGTGCCGGGAAGCCATGCAGGAGGACCCAGAGGCCGTGCACTTTTGCATGCCAATGGTTAACACATCATTGTCTTACTTTATGTTATCAAGGGGATTGATGAGGCTGTTATTTAGAATAGGAGTATGCGTAGGTTTTCGTAATAATATAGTGATTGGAGGCTACTTGCGCATGTTTTGTTAATAGTCTTGTTTCTTCTTCACCTTCAGTGTTGAATGTTCTCGTGTTGTACTGTCCCCTCTACAGGTAAACACAACAGAGAAATCTTCATTTACACCTCTTCAATCTCTCTCTAATTTCTCTCTACGTTGGAATATCTTGCCCGCTCCAGCACTTCAGTAACATCTCTCTCCAAATACGCATCTGACTCTGAAGTCGTCCTACTACTAACCATGTCCCTCAACGCAACATCCTATCCTATCGACATCGACGAGATGCATGTACCGAGTGCGGAAACTATAGCCAAGCGGCGTGCCGCCCGTCGCGAAATGGCCAGAATAGCCGAAATTAGGCGTCGTCTCGAATCCGCCAAGATTGTTTCTTACGCCGATGCCAGTCCTGAGGAGGATTTCAGCATGGACATGCTCTTCCAGTTCGATTACACGGCCTCGTCTGAGGGTTCTGTGAGAGGTAGGACCAAAGTTCCTTTCGCGAAAAAGATTAAGGGGAAATACAAGAAGAACAAGAGCAATAAGAAGGCTGGGAAACTTACCCGTGTTGAAGATGAAGAGAGGGATGGATTTGTTATTGTCAACAGTTTTGATTACATTGGGACTGAGAACCACGGTCAGCCTTCTGGAAAGAGCATTGAGACGAGAACCTATGCCCTTGTGAGTTCTACTTCCCAATGACTCTCTCCTGTCCTGTTTGTCAGGCTAGGGCCTCATGAGACTCCGCACCTTAAGACTAACCAAGCTCTCCAACCAGAGTACTCAATTTTCAGCCAGAAAGCACATCCGACTACCTTCAGACCGTGACAATAGGAGGCCATGGGATGCATTCAGGGTGATACGAGGGGTGCTCGGGTTCGGCTGGGACTAGACTGGACTCTGCGATGGCATATCACTTGCAGGTGGTTTTGCATTTGGAGTAGTCGATTGCGACTGAGACTCTTGTTTACGCTTTTGTTTATTTAATTTACTGGCATTTCATTCGTGTTTTAATTGGGACGAGGAGTTAACAGAACGGAGTGGTGGTCGGATTGGAACCGGGGTAATGATTTATGATGCGATGTGGCTACGGTTTTGAATGATGATCTCCCTGGCATACTTAGAGCTGGTCTTTATCTTCCAGGCATTATTTCAGATAACTATACAATATTGAATCTATTACGCCTCACAAGTAGTATGGTAGGTCTGGCCTCAAGGATAGTCTCATGAAGCAGTTTTAGTGCCCAGTAAAGAGTAACTTATATCACCAGGGCTAGTGTATTTAAAAACAGGTCTATCTACAATATATCTACTCTATTATAGTCTCAAGATCAGAGTTTAGGCTTTCTAGAAGCACCAATATGTTTCTCCCACTGCTCATCAATCTTAACCCGCTCCGGATGCGGAACCCTCCCCCAAGCCTCGTGAAACCCTTTCACCTTCGACTCCCACTCCAACACTCTAGAATGAATAAAATCCGCACTGACATCTGCACTCTCCCTCACAAGCTCCATCGGAACCAGGTGGCCGCAGGGGAGAACAGCCTCCTCCACAAAGCCCTTAGCCACACCACCACTCCCACCTACGCCAGTGCCGGTTGTCTCAACTTTGGCTCTCCGCGCAGACGGCGAGGAGAGGTCAGACTTGTCGCCAAAGAGATACAGCACGGCGGGCTTGATACCCGGCAACCTCCGCAGCATCTGCGCCGGCTCGGGGCGATAAAAGGGTGTAGAAGGGTCAATATCATCAGGATGCATTTCATGCTCCGGGTATCCACGGGGCAGACCAGATCTGTCATCAGTATAAGAGGGCCGCATGTAAAAGTACAACTCTTGGGGCTTTGTCGTCGTCAGCGTCACAGCCTCTGGGCCAGTTTCGCTGTCTGTAGTCGGGTAAAGCGGTGTCGGCAGATTGCGGAGCCCATACTGCGCCCATTTCTCAAATACCCTGGGGTCCCAGGCTTGGTAGAAGGGGCTTGATTTGAATTTTTGGATGGCTTGCTCGCGGGAGGCCCAGATGTCGCGGCGGTATGTGGATGCTTGGGCGAATTTGAGACCTGGGTTCTCCCGCTGTATTACCGGGTCTACCAGGACGAGGGCGCTGAATAGCGAGGGGTGCATTAGGGAGAGGTGAGCTAGTTGCATCCCGCCCATGCTATGGCCGATGCCGACTACAGGCTGGGGGATTTGGTCTTGGAATTGGTTTATCATGGAAAGCAGGTCGCGGGAATGGTCGTGCCAGTCCGCTGGGAGGTGTTAGATGCCGGCTGTTTAATAAGAATGAGAATGGAGCATACGATCGTTTCCAAGAATTGATTCATTTAGGATGCCACTTTGGCCTTGCTGGACGACGTCTGCGATCCAGATGGATCGGATTCGGCGGTTGAGACTTGACAGTCGTTCGTATATGTCGTCCCACAGAGGTTCATACAGCTCCTGCTATTTGTTAGAGCAAGAAGCGACGGCTTTGAAGAGGTGAAAGTACCTTTGGGAATCCATTTGCATGGGCTCCAACGAGAGTGACATCGCCATCTCCTGGAGTTGGGTTGTCTATGGGGATATACTGCTTCACAGCGAGTCTCAGCTGGTTCTCATGGCCCGGCTTGACAGCACCCAGACGCTCTCGGATACCCTGACAGCGGACTGTATGCTCGACGACGCGGAAATGGGACATGGATCTCCTGAACGACCGCAAGCTCAACATGATTGTTGATGTGGAGGATCCGCAGTGTTCCCCGCGGTTCCCCTGGTTCCCCGGCCGTTAACCGAGCGCATTCAATTCCCGCCCGCCCGACCCTGAGGATTTTCTTGGCTCTCTTTTCACCCATCAAGCAACTCGTCTCAGCATGCCGCCAACTCATCGCGTCGCGGTCGTCCAGTGGTCGATCAAGGTCCGGCCCCCGACCCTGCAGTCTTGGCATCAATTAACCTCTACTGTAGAACCTCGCTGTGGAACAAAACCACGCCACAGCATGCGACTACATCCGCTCTGCCGCCGCACAGGGCGCGGGGTTGGTTGTGCTCCCTGAGTATGCACCCCGCCCCCAATTAGAGCACAGTACAGAGTTAAGATAAAATATCCTAACTGGCCACCAGGTACCATCTATTCGGCTGGGCACCCGAAGACCCCCTCTTCGCCGTCCAAGCCTCTCAAACAGCGCAGTACCTCAGGGCCTACCAAGCCCTCGCCAAGGAACTCAACATCTGCCTCGTCCCGGGGACAATCGTTGAGAAGCACCCACACCCAGACGGAGATGCGGACCCAGATAGCTACGTCCTCTACAACACAGCCTACTTCATCTCCAACACCGGCGAGATCCTCGGCCAGTACCGGAAGAAGAACATCTGGCATCCCGAGCGGGCATACCTGACTTCATCCACGTCGGAACCGCATGAAGTCTTCGACACCCCGATTGGGAAGGTCGGGCTTCTCATCTGTTGGGATATGGCGTTCCCCGAGGCCTTTCGTGAGCTGATTGCCGCTGGGGCGGAGACAATTATTATTCCTACTTATTGTATGTATCCCCCCTTCATCCGGGAATTAGGTATCATCGAGTCTAATGATTTGATAGGGGGCCGCTATGACGCTTCGCCAGTTGCCTTGAAACATAATCCTAACTCGGAGGAGCTCTTCCTCGACTCTACGTTGACGGCGCGTTGCTTCGAGAACACATGTGCTGTCATCTTTGCAAATTATTCCGGTGTTGAGCAGTCTCTTGGTATGTCGCGGGTTGTTCTCCCTATTGTTGGGCCTGTAGGGAAGATGGAGAATGAGGAGGGTGTGCTGGTTGTTGATATGGATATGGACGTGGTGAAGATCGCGGAGGATAACTACAAGGTCAGAATGGACCTGGGGAGGGAAGAGTGGTATTATTCCTACCGGCATTCTAAGAAGGATTAAAAGGTTGTTATGTTCTGTGGTATTCTAGAACTACACCATAACACTAAAGATACATGATAAAATATCCAAATATATTTACTAGAACAACATTGCCTAGCGACCCACACCCCATCTCGTAGAGCCACCCAATCAATTACAGCGTCCAGTGGAACTAGTAAATACACCTTGCACTCCCATGACCCGAGGAGAGGGCTCACAAGACGGGACCTGAACTACAGTATGATACCGCCGAATATGATTCTGCAGACCATCCTTCCTATTAAACGCCCTCTTTCCTTCGCACTCCGGCTCTGGACAGACATGCTTCTTAGGGGAAGTATGCAGCGTGCGCACATGGCGCCGCAGGTCATATCTGCGCTTGAAGCCGCCCTTGTAGGTGCAGCCTTCCCACATGCATTTCAGAGGCGGAGTCGGGTCACTAAAAGTTGCCAGGTTAGACCCTTAACTCAACCAAGATAGTAAATCTAAATTATATGCACTGGATTGGTTCGGACCTACCTAATTTCTGGGTTATGGACGGTGCCCTTATATGGGCTCCTTTTAGGAGTGTTTTCCATTGTTGGAGACGGCAAGCGACGCTCTTTTTCCACCTCACTCATGTAGACAGCGGGTGTGTCAGGGCTCGGCGATGACCGGCTGCTATACGCTGGCAATGAGAGGTCGTCTGTCACATAGCTGGGTGATGCTTCGTTGCTTGGGAGGGTGCTTGGTGTAGCGGCATCGGGGACAGCATCGTATAGCATGTTTGATGTAAAAAATGGATAGAGGAATAGATTGGACTCAAATGATTCCATATCAAATGGTATATGAATGGCGGACCCAGGGAATTCGCCAGGTGCAGGGGCTTGCTTGGGCTTGTCTGCGGCGAATGTATAGTCCGGGAAAGACGACTGTATACACTCGTTGTAGATAGGCATCGACGACATAGTGCAGGAAACAGGCATTTGATCAGGTAGTAAATAAGATTGTAAGAGCTAGCTGGTTGAAGTGTGGCTTGTCTGTTTTTAGCCAAGGGCGTGGCGAGGTTATTATATCTTCAGTCTGGCGATGAGATAGTGGGTGTATCATGACGGTGAAGGAGTCTGTGAATAGCATCCCAAGTGAAGTACAGGGAATCTGTGATGTTATAGGGTGCTTCACAAACAGATTATGCGTATTTATCGTACTCACTGCTTCCATGAGGCCACGTCAATTAGCAGACTGGATTTGAGCTTAATGTCTAGCACGATGTTGCTTTCCCTTCTGTCTGGATTGCTGGTCGCTGAATGCCATGTATTTCTTTTTTTGTTTTCTACGCGCTCTCTCGGTCAGTTCCAAATGGCCATCCGAGTTCTGCTGCTGTTAATTTACTTTCCTTGCACTTTCAGGCATCCGCCTTCCCTGTGGAAGCTGTTGCTCGGGCTGTGAGATATGGAGTTAATGTATATAGTTGTCGCTGATGCTGAGTTTACCATTTTCAATGTTGTATGACCGGTAGTCTATATTTATAGAAGCTATATACTCATGGTTCTTATAGCTAAACATGCATTATTATCGAGTCGAAGATTAACAGACAACATTAACTAAGTTCCCCTCGATATACCCCTCCAGCCCTTCTACCAACAAATCCTGCAGATTCCGGATTGTCGACTCCGAGAACCACGCAATATGCGGCGACAGCGTCAGGTTCGGCACGTCTTCCTCCAGCAGCACCGACTGCCCACGCACGGGGGGCTCTCCATCAAACACATCGACTGCCGCACCAGCAATCCAGCCCTCCCTCAACGCCCGAACAAGCGCCCTCTCCTCCACAATCCCTCCCCTGGCAACATTGACAACCACCGCATCCCTCCTCATCGCCTGCAACTCGCCCTCCCCAATCAACCCAACCGTCTCCCCACTCTTCGCCGCCGCAACAATCACCACCGTAGCTCTCTGCACCGCCGTCTCAAACCCCACCCTCCCCTCCCTCACCTGCATCCCCATAACCCCCTTCCGCTCCGCAATCAGAACCTGCATCCCAAGCGCCCTCGCAACAGCCTCAATCCGCTTCCCCACAGCCCCATACCCAATTATAGCCACAACCTCCTGCTGCGTCGTATGCGGCGGGCCGCCCTGGAACCGATGCACGAGCGTCCGTTTCTCCGCATACTCATCATCCCCACCCGACCCCGTTATCAAATTATGCAACCCCACAACCTTCCGCCTCGCAGCAAAATACAACGCAATCGCATGCTCGGCAACAGTGCCCACATTCGCGCCGGGGCAGTTTATCACCGTGACCCCGCGCGACTGGAACGCGGAGATGTGTTCGTGCACCCATTCGACGCCCGTGGCCATGACGATGATGCATTGCAGGCGCGGACAGGCCTGCAGCACGTCCGGTGTGATTGGCACGATGGTAGTGATTGCGATTGTGGCGTCGTGTAGCGCTGAGATTAGGGCTGGTGTTGAGGGCGGTGTTGAGTCGTAGCCTGTGTAGGTGTGGGGGAAGGAGAAGGGCGGGATGGGGCAGTGGCATTCTTCGAGGCAGACGACGTGGTGGTGGGTTGGGGCTGCGGATGTCATTTTGATGGCGGTCGTTTTATTGAGGTCATAGAGAGAAAATAGAGAGAAAATGAGAGCAGGATGAGATGAGTTGCTGCCTGTTGGTGTTGAAGCTCTGCTGACGGGGGTGTTTATGCTTATCGCGGGTGGGGTTGTACTGATAAGAGTAAGACTCCACGCAATGCATGACATGACTCGAAGTATACAATAATACAATGCTATTATTATTATACTATACTATTACTGGCCGTCTTGGCTCTATCTATATACAATCCATAATATCATCAAACAAGTCATCTACATCCGTAAAAACTACACTAGAAAAACCAACCCCCAAACATACTGAAACAAAAAAAAAAAAAAAAAAAAAATCACACGATTCCAGCCCCCATCGCAAAAGCCGGTTTCTTGCTCACCCGGTACACCAACCGATCTGTCCAGAAATGCATAAACACCGCATGAATTGTCGGCACGGCTCCAAATATTGTGCCCGCAATGGGAAATATAATCCGTTCAAACAGGAAAGTCAATCGGTACCAGTGACGACGATCCGAGAACCCAGTATTAACATCGCCGCCGTGGAGTTGGCTCGTGTCGTTTCTTCGGGTCTGCAGGCAGAGCGCGTACCACCGGTTGTAAAGAGATATGCAGATATTCATCCACACAAAGGACGCGAAGCGCAGGAAAGCTGTGAACTGGAAAGTGAACGTGATGTAAGGGTGAAGCGGCATCTGTGTAAACGAAGCGAGTTGTTCATACACCATAGAGAAGATGAGCAGGATGGTGAAGTGGCAGGGGAGGAAGTGTGCTTCCCAGAGAAGGTGCATCAGGGCAATGTGTCTCGGCTTGAGGAGAAGACAGCGCCAGCTGAACCGGAATGAGCCGACTGTATTCCTGGTTGCGAAGCCCGAGTCGAGAGCACCCCACATGTGTCGCAGGGCCTGTCGGTATCGTGCAACGCAGGTGTCCAGCCAGCGACGGAAGCCTGCATGTGGCAGGTCGCTGGAGACGTTGCACTGGCTTGCTGGGGTGTGGACGACGCGGGAGATGAGGCTGCCGTTTGTGTTGAAGTAACATTTCAGCATCATGTGCATGTCCTCTCCGATAGAGGTCGGGTCGCTGTCCCAGCCACCGACTCTGTCTGCGAGCACAAGAGGGAGGGAGTAGACGGAGGTTGGGATGGAGACGGTGGAGTGAGGATACATGGTAGACAGGCCGGCGAAGCTCCATAGCAGGTCGGCGCAGCGAACCATGATAGGGCTGTCGTTGGAGTTTCTGTCGAAGATTATAGGGCACGAGTAGAGCGTACGATCGGCCTCGGTGATATGGGCATAGTGTAGGCGACGGATCTCGGTAAAGTAGTCCTGTAGAAGGTTTGTATCGGCTGGGCCTGTTAGTAAATGGACCTATATAGATATGGCAGCACCCACCATCCATGACGGTGATGATCACGTTGCAACTCCCAGACCCCAGCTCAGCCCGGTGCACCTGTCCGATGCAGCGCGCAGCAAAGGCGACATTGGAACTCTTTCCTGCAATCTCCAGAGGCAGACCAGAGGGGTGGAAGGTTGGTTGTACAAGCGCAAACGACTTTTCATACAACGAGACCAGCTTCTCAGCCTTCTCAGCTGCCCCGGCTTCCTTCTGCTCCATAGCGAGGTAGATCTAATCCATCAGCTCCTACTCCTATTATAACTTGGTGGTATACCATACCTCATACTGAGTGCGTGCTCGTGGATGGCTGGCGAGAACGTCGAGTGTATCACGCAGGGTGCCGATGTCCTCGTTATAGTTCGGGAGTATAAGGGCATGAGTGACTTCCTCCGAGAGTTCTGTAGCCCACGTCTGGGCTCGCTTCAAGTCCAGGGAAGTTGCGAGAGGGTCGTCCGTAAGAGGACTCGCTGGCTCAGGAGTACTACTCGGAGACTGGTCGGATCGCCGCTTCAGAACCTTGGATGTTTGACGGAAGGCATGAGACAAGGCCCATGAGAGTCGGCCGGTGAATAGCAGAGTGTTGAGATGGACCAGGATTGTATATACAACGAATATCGTCTGCGCCAGGGTGAGTGTAGCAGGGTCGTTAGAAGGCCCCTTGCCCCTCGGTGGGCCTTTCCATGACCCTGGGAGCACATCGGTCGAGGTTAGAAGAAGGAGGGCAAGGAGAGCAAGGATACTAAGGCCGGGGAGGCAGCGGGAAGCCCACTGGGCAAACATCATGAAGGATAGAAAACACTTTACGGGGAAGCAAGAGGAGAGCAGGGTCAAAGCACAGGGACTATACAGCTTAAGAGAGCTCAGCGAGGGGCGCTACTGAAGCGAATACCTTTGGCTAATTCCCGTACCAAGAGGTGTGTAGAACTACGATCACGGCACTGCTTCTTCAGAAAAGGACCATTCATCGTGCGAGATTTGGCAACATGGTGGTAGTAGCGAAGAGCGAATGGCTCCACGCTCATGAAAGGCCCGAGCTGTGTATATTCGTCCCGATATGTTCCTTGCCCGTGTTGGTGTCTATGATCAGCAACAGATCTCCCTCAATTTTAAGGCACGGCTGGGGACTAATTGGGTATTGCTGGGGGAGGAAAATGCGCTGATCGGGACAATAATGAATGTCTGATCCAGGGACCTGTGCTTTCCGTCTGCCCGAGTCTGTAGATGCGCAACCTTGATACAGTGTAAGGCATCGCAGGACCTTCCATGTCAGCCAACTCTGGTGGCTAGTTGCGTTGAGTCAACAGGTTGAACTGTTGTTTTCAGGGACATTAAGAGTCCAGCAGAGGTGTACTTTCCGATCTACATACACAAAGCCCGTATACTGTCAATGATATACATCTTCAGGGCAGCGTTCCATATATGGCGCCTCTGATTGGGCCATGGCAGTATCCAATAGAATCCGCACCAGAGCCGCGTGGTCTCGATGGCCCAACGTTGTTTGGCGAAAGTTTACGCTCTAAATTAGTCTAATAGAGGTTGAAATTTGGCACAGGAGCCGATCATGAGGAACCAGGGAGAGCACTGGAGCAGGCGTCAGCACTTTATCTCCTGTACCAACCTGAGGCCCTATATATTGGATTGGCACCCAAAGTATTGCTGAGATCTTCTTGCTGCGAGCGCTTTCTACGGTGGAGAACGCCCCTTATCACTGATGAATGACCAACCCCACATCTCATGTCTGCGCTCTGCAGGCATGGATACTGAACACACTGTTCTCCTTCCCTTCGGAGTCTCTACCTGAAGTTACAGAGTAACTTCCCACCTCTACACCATATACACACCATACAGTCGGAATCTATAGGTCAGATGATGTAATGATGACATAATCCCCTCCGACCAATCAATGTCCGTTTCAATATCTGCCTCGGCACATGCCGATCGGGAGTCCGAGTCTGAGCCCGGAGGCGAACGAGCAGGTGTTACATGGCCAAGTTTGGATTTTGCTTTCTTCAACACCCCAGTCTGACCAAGATGGCCTTCCTTACCGCCGCTGAAGTCGTCGCCCACCCGGCCTACCAATCCCTGGACTGGAAACTGTCGCCGACGACGTCTGGCACCTGCCCCGTCGCTCAAACCCGCCGCGGAGGCCCTATCAATCTCTACTACCAGATCCATGGCACCGGCCCTACCAAGCTCGTTGTAAGTGCCCTTCCTGACTTTTCCCTGAAGCCATTCTGACAGCACAGTTCATCATGGGCCTCAACGCTGTGCACAGCGACTGGAAGCGCCAAACCAAGTTCTTCGGGCACACGCACGGATCCAAATACTCGGTGCTGGTCTTCGACAACCGCGGCGTGGGCAAATCCGACAAGCCACTGTCTTACTACTCCACGTCCGAGATGGCGCAAGATGCCGTCGACCTCCTCGTCTCCCTAAAGTGGCTTGACCTCTCTGCTGCGCCGCCGACCCGCGACATCAACGTCATCGGCGCAAGTATGGGCGGGATGATCTCGCAGGAACTGGCGATGCTGATCCCCGAGCGACTGGCGAGTCTAACGCTGTGCTGTACGGCGCCGCGACTTGTGCGGACAGCGCCATTCCTGGAGAACCTGCGCGAGCGCGCGGAGATGTTCATACCCAAGAAGATGGATCAGGAGCTTGAGCGGCTAGCGCATTCGCTGTTCCCTGCGGATTTCCTGGCGCTGCCGGATGATGAGTTTAACGAGCCCGAGAGGAATTTCCCGACGAAGCGCGATCGGTTTGCGGCGGGGCGGTTGCGCAAGTTGGACGATCCGGAGGGGTTTACGAAGATGGGGTTTTTGATGCAGGTTGTTGCGTGCTATTTCCACCATAAGTCGCCGGCGCAGTTGAAGGCGTTGGGCGATCGAGTTGGGCGGGAGAGGATTGCGGTGCTGCATGGGACTGTGGATCGGATGCTGACGTTTCAGCATGGCGAGCTGTTGAATCAAGACTTGGGCGAGGGGATTCTGTACAAGGTGTGGGAGGGGAGCGGGCATATGTTGCCGTGGGAGAAGGAAGAGGAGATGAATGAGTTGGTGGAGGAGCTTGTGCAGCGATGCAATTAGCGCTTTTTGTGATACCACTGGCCGTGAGCCTTACGCAAGTGTATAAGGAAAGGATTGGCAATGAATCAGAGATCAAAGAACAAGATTTATAAGGCATCACAATGCATGCAGTTACGAAGATAAGATCCAAGCAGTCGGAGTCGTCGCACGACTCACGAGTGATCAGGGAAGTCTCGGCCTACCGGCTTGATGCCGGTGACACCAGGATGTATACGTGCCCAAACCTCGAGTCCCGAAGCTTGTCTCATAACTCCTAGAATAGCTCCTCGTTCGTGCGACCCCTATTCCGACGATCGCACAGCTTGCGTTTCACAAGTCGAGTATGGCCTAGACCGGGCAATACCGGAGACAAAAGTACTGGGAGATAAAACCATCCATCTGTCATATCCGGGAAACTAACGGCAGCCAGTGAATGGCATCACGCGTGCCATCTCAGCCTCTGATTGCAGGGGGGCATGCAGGAAGCCAAGCGATGACCGCTCTTTGGCTTTGTCTTGGCTGTTAATATCCAGCTAGGATTATGCAATTTTAGCCTCTTCAAGTCGACACACTGTAGCAAATACTAGTACTAATAATGAACCTCTTTGAAATTTGAGCACCGCCACCGCAAGCACCAAGATGTGTCCCAATCGGGAAATGGTCGAGAACGTCGAAAGTCTTGGCATGACGAGTAGTCCGCATGCAGTGAAAAGTTGAAAAGCTGAGCAGTTGTACAGCCAAACAATAAAGGACAGTGCAAAAGAATATCGACGATAAGCTCTTTGATGTCGGCCTAATAACCAAATCTGCATGGTTTATGAGCTGATCGCAGGGGCGCTCGAATGAGAGGCGCTGATTTGCAAGTGCAGCAGCACCCCCCGGTCTCTTGTCTTCCCGCCTTTGTGGCTCACTAGCTGCCGATTTCTTGTCTTTTCTTTTCTTTTTCGCCTCTATTTTGCTTGATTTATCTTTTCCTTCTCGAGTCCTTGGATCTTGAAAGAAACACCCGTGAAGAGTTTTTTTTTTGCCGCTTGAACTATTCGCAGTCAATTTCTTTCTGTCCCCTGACTCTGCCTTCAATTTCTTTCTGCCTTCCAGCTTGGGACCCGCACACCTCGTCTTCTCCCATCTCCATCTTCATCTCCATCTTCACAAACTCACTGATGCCTTTGTTTCGCAATGCCCTGGTTCATCGCAAGAACCCCTGTGTTATAACCAGAGGCTAACACCGGCCTTCTGCCTCGTCCTCCTCGAGTCCTCAAAACTCTCCACGACTGATCGGCACGTCTCGCGTGGCGCGCTGATCACCATTCCTGGATTCATTGCAGAACGTCTCGATCCATTTCCCCTCCCGCAGAATTCTCCGAAACAAAACATACTTATATCACCTGCTGCCCGGCTCCGGCCCGTGGTGAACTGTTGCGACCTTGCGATACCCTGTACCAAGGCGGTGCAACCGTCGCCTCGCCAGGATGTTTTCCACAGTCCTTCGCCAGCTGGCGCGCCACAAGGCCCGAATACCATTCATAAAGGACTTGCATCTGAACTTCATCAGTATCCATTATATCTACATTATCTCGATGGCTCTGATAACTTCTGTTATCATCTACCCCGGCAATGACTTGAAGTACATCGATGCGCTTTTTTTCTCTGCCGGTGCGGCCACCCAGAGTGGTTTGAATACGGTGGATTTCAACCTGCTTTACACCTACCAGCAGGTCATCCTCTACTTTGTTTCCATGCTCACGACCCCGATCTTCATAAACACCGCCCTCGTCTTTATCCGTCTTTACTGGTTCGAGAAACGATTTCAACATGTGGTCCGCGACGCTCGAGCCCTCCGCACTAGCAGGTCCCGCCTGCGAACAATCAGCGAGGACAAAAGCACGCAGTCTTACAGCCGGGAAGAAGCGGGGATAAGCGGTCGCCCTATTGTTGTGCTGCGCAACGACTTTGCCATTCAACCTCAAAAAGATGGACCGCGAACTGGCCAAGCTAGCCCAGCTTCTCCAGCTGCGCCAGTTCCCAAGTCTCCAGAGGAGAGCGACTCTGGGTCCGTCTCCCCCACGTCAAACGCTAGCAGTGCAGCAAAACCGGAGGAGACGCCCGCGCAGGAACCGGAGGAGAGACCGAGGGAACAACCGAGTCCACCAAATACTACGATTAATCGTGATTTCGGCAGCCTCCGAGTTCCTCCCCAACTCGATCCTGAGCATCACATCGCTTTCCTGGAGAAGCAGCGGAAGAATAAAGGCGCACTTCGCATCCCCAGCCCAAGGGAATATGATCGTGGTGGAGGGCCGCAGGTTCTTGACGAGGAAGAAAACGATGGCCACAAATTAGTCAAGACCAGATCCGGCCAGTCTGAACAGCAGACCCCTACTAGGGATGACACCAACGATAACACCCCAAACATGGACGGCCCTCATATTACAATCAACGAACCAGAGCTGCCGCGAGCGAAAACACGGAATTCTACATTCCCCCGCCTAGATACGCGCCCCACTGTTCGCGATACTATGGACGGAGATGATCCGACGCCGCTTGCACGATCGGGGACCCGGAGGCCAACGCTCGTTAGCATTTTCCGGTCTTTAACGCAGGAACGGGACCGACCTACTCTACCTTATCTTAGTTGGGATGCGACGGTCGGGCGCAATTCAAACTTTGTTGATCTGACCGAGGAGCAACGCGATGAACTAGGAGGAATCGAGTATCGGTCGTTAAAAACGCTGGCCGTGGTCTTGATATCATACTATGTCGCGTTCCACCTTCTTGGTGTAGTCTGCCTACTGCCCTGGATTATGGAAACCCACTGGGGAGATGTCGTCAAGGCGGCGGGCCAAGGACGTCCGTGGTGGGCGTTCTTCACCTCTGCTTCGTCCTTCAATGATGTCGGGTTCAGCATCACCCCAGACTCGATGAATTCATTTCAGGAGGCCGTATTCCCTCTTCTGTTACTATCATTTCTCATCATTATCGGCAACACTGGCTTTCCTTGCATGCTCCGACTCATCATCTGGGTGTTGTCCAAGATCGTCTCCAAGGAAACGCCACTTTGGGAAGAGTTGAAATTTCTTCTCGACCATCCGCGCCGATGCTTCACGCTCCTTTTTCCCCGCAATGCGACCTGGTGGCTAGTCGCAACTCTAGTTCTATTGAACGGAATTGACTTGATATTCTTCATCATTCTGGATGTAAGTGCTTTATAACCCCTGTGTTATAGTGACTATTGCTAATGATAGTCCCAGCTCAACGACGTCGCCGTCAGTACGTTATCCACTGGTATCAAAATCGTGGATGGCCTTTTCCAAGCTGCCTGTACCCGAACCGCTGGATTTTCTGTGGTATCCATCTCCGAGCTGCATCCTGCAGTCCAGGTCTCGTACATGATCATGATGTATATTTCCGTTTTCCCAATCGCCATCTCGCTCAGACGGACAAATGTCTATGAGGAAAAGAGTCTTGGGGTCTACGAACCGGAGGACGATGAAAATGACGACCACCAGACGGCGCCCACCTATATCGGGACTCACTTGCGGAGACAACTGGGTTTCGATCTCTGGTACGTCTGCTTAGGTCTTTTCATTATCACCATCGTCGAGGGCGATCGTATCGCAAACACGGACCAGTATTCGTTCCAGATTTGGTCCGTACTTTTTGAAGTTGTGTCCGCCTACGGTACCGTCGGACTCTCGCTCGGCTATCCAGGTGTAAACGCTTCCTTCGTCAGCCAGTTCAAGGTGATATCTACCCTGGTCATCATCGCCATGCAGATTCGTGGCCGACACCGTGGCCTACCATATAATCTGGACCGTGCTATTTTACTCCCATCCGAGTCGCTACACCAGAAAGAACTCGAAGATGCGGAGCGGCGCATGCGTCGCCGAGCATCCAGCCTCGGCCATGGCGGATCTCTTGGACGGCAACAATCGCAAACCCCGTCGGACACTGGCGCGACCTCGGCGGTGGACGCGAGACAGCGCAACACGGCGCTCAACACGGAGCTCAATACCCCTGACCCCGTCATCCAACGTCATTCCACCTTACGATCGCAGCAGTCCCAGCGATAATCGCCACCTCTTTCTTACCTACCTACCTACATCCCTCTAACCTATTCAACCTACGACTTGTTTTGTACCTACTATAGAGTTGCTTCCCCCGTTATGTTTATAGACTAGCGTTCGAGCGATCGCGCATACCTTTTTAATCGTCTCATGTCTCAATATTTACTTCTGATACCCGAAGGCTGGTTGGGTGCCTGTCTGTCTGCATTTTAATTGGATTCGCTTGTGAGTTATTTTCAAGGTTAGCTTGCTAAAAATGCATCGAATGCAACATCACGCATTCTCCCATTCTAGCCCTTGCATCCCCAGCCCATAATATCTTGTGAAGTGCTTCTGCCTAGAGGCCCTACCTACTGCAACTCCGCGGATCCCACTTCGCCACCACTGCACATTATTCGCGGCGCAAGGTTCATATTCCACGCTGTAGAACATTCCGGCCTTCTAGGGCTTGGCTCTGTAGTCATGGTCTGTAATTTGCGGGTAGGGCTGCATAAGCACCAGCTGATCCTCATGCTAGGGGGCAGCCTTCTTAACGCACGCTCAGTGAAGTCACAAACTTAGATATGTTTACAACATATCCCTTCGTGACTCTGCTGGTCCACCGGTTGGCACCACCATCTACTCCATGGGTAACTCGACGACCTCGCGAGGTTGAATGCCAGGAGTTCCCCAATGCCCCGAAATTTACAAGAGCAGGAAAGTAAACAAGCCCAGCCAGCAGGCGGCACTTTGAGACCCCTTTCATATACCAAGCTCGTCGCGGAACCATTGCCTGCTATATTGAAACTGGCGGAGGTGCATCACTGCCTCTCTAGCGCACTCCTTCTGCTGGGCAGACAATCGTCTGGGCCGTTCTAGTGTGTCAAGCAGATCGCCGGCGTCATCAGCGTGGGTGCTCGCTGTTTTGTCGTGTTTGGACAAACCTGAAAGGCGAAGTTTGGCGATAATAAGATCATCGGCAGTCAACATCGGGAGCTGTTCGGCACGGCTTGCCTGTAGAACTGTAGGTAGTGTGACGGGCTGACAAGGCAACTTTTATAGGACGTTAGTTCAAGTGTGTCTTACTCGGGTGAAGACTTGAATACACGTACCATGTCCATATGGACAAACCGGAGCCGGGTGCCATTCATCATAAAAGGCACAAATTCCGTAGGATCGTAGGTCAAAAGGTTCGCGGTACTGCGCAGGACTGCATGCCCCGAGCTGAGTATATCGGCCATTTTCCTCCTCCAGCGGAGCAACGTAGTCGTCACAATTTGGTCTGACTGAGGCGTGCTGGGCGGGTTCACGAGATCACTCGCGCTTGGGGGGACGGCCATGATAAATTCAATTTTCTATTTGGAAAGAAAAGGATTAGCAAGGGCTCTGACGCACAACGTCAGTGGGGGAGATAGATATTTGGACACGAACATTACCGCCCTGAGGTTGGGTATGGGCTGTGAGATTCGTAGCAATGCAAATCCGCGCGCTGTGTAGCTCTTCAATCTCCGAGAGATGAGTAATGATCTGCCATGCAATAGCTTGCTCTTCTTCATCCATTTTTCCTGTCGTAAAGGTGTCGTTCGTCGGCGGGTGATGTACAAGATAAACTAGCAACGAGCCGGTAGGTAATGAGGGAGTATAGATTTCTAGAAGTTCGGCTCAGAAAGGAGAACGAGCCAGATTTTATGTCTAATTTCTCTACTAGAGATGTACATTGACAAAGAAAGCATCCCTAACATCGAAAAGCAAAGAAATGCACGTTGAGTAGAGTGTGGTAGCCCTCAGCTCCATCTGGTGGCCAGTGGGGGGTCAAGCAAAGGCCGTTTAAAAGAATATTCCAGGCCAGTTCTGCGTGGACATTTCTTTAAGCCGATACACAATTACAGAACTTTAACGGGTTTCTGTTTGCCAGCGATGGCCTGGAAGCCCAGAAGGCTGCATGGACGTGAGTAAAGGAAATGAGAGTACAAACAGACGCTGTGCAGCGGAGGCTTAATATGAGTTGAAAGAGCGCATGTATCATTGAAGAAGAAAAGTTACACTTGAAGCATTTATATTATTCTATACTATAACACCCGCGCCATCATCCAGTTGCAGCTGGAAAGCCTCAAATACCGCGGGAAATGGATAGCATGAACAGCAAGCAAAACCACACCAATTATGTTTTAGCTTTTTTTTTTTTTTTTTTGAAAAAAAAAACAAAGTCCATCAGACCGCTTTACACTTTATCGTCTTCAATCCACTAGGTCAGCCCGTTCAGGTTGACAGGCGGCAGATATGGAAACTCATTATTCGCAACCATCTCGTCACGGAGCGCCCGCAATATCTCATAAGGGTTACCAGTATAGTGGCTAGCGCTGAAGCTGTCCCAAACCGGTTGAAAACGAGGATCGAGATCCATGTGGTGCGCATTCCGCATAAGACACTCCCACATCTTGCGCCAGGCTCGGCCCACGCCCTTGATATGGCCATAGTTCTGGCACATCAAGCGGATCAAAGCTTCGCTGAATGCAGTCGGACTCAACATTCGGACAGGAGGAAGCGCTGTCCATGCCCCTGAGGGTCCCCCCTCTCGATAAGGCGGGAGGCGGGAATCGTTTGAAAACCACACGTCGTCATCGGTGAGAAGCAACCTTTGCTCCTTATCCTCAAACCACCAGAGTAGGTCGGATATGGTGTACAATGATAGTACCGTACAAGATTCATACTGAGAGCCGAGATGGAAATGGGCATTCGCGACAGCATGGATTGAATTACCAATCAAGAAAGCCATTGCCTGGAACACATTATTCGACGTTATTGGGCGGCGGTTCTCTTGCAGTTCGATGCAGTTGGGATCCTGGCATTCATGAAAGCCGGCCTCAACAAGTTTTTCAATGGCTCTTGTGAGGTCTTGCTTTGGAACCAGCAAGTCGACCTCGCCAAATCCCTTATCTTCTGCAATTAAAGCGACAGGAAGCCAGCCAAACAAGACATAGAAGATTCCCGCCATGTCCAAGACTTCGCCTGCCTCAGAGGCCACTTGGGCGCCGATGCACGTTGTTGCCGACATGCTAGAAAGACTTCTTCTATATGTTTTGTTTTTCGATTGAGTTGTCGAGGAACAGTTGGAAAGATGTTATTACTCGAGCGATCAGGTCCCTTTTATATTCGTTTTCCATCTTTGTCATTCTGCAACAGGCCTAATGTGTTAACCGATGTTTGGGAAGTGTCAGCAGCGTCAACCAAAGAGTTCCAATGTGCATTCAGAGCTAAATCGACGCTCTATTCACCAATGCGTCCAAGCGTTCCCTGTCGTTCGGCCTCTTTGTCGTCGGAGCAATGGTAACCTGTTGATGCCCAATAGGACGAGGCGATGGGGAGCGGACGTCGACAGTTCCAACCACAGCCAACTCCTGTTCCTTGTCAACCAGCGCTTTCACTCATGGGAGAAATAAGAAGTCAGGGAGTCTCACTCATGGTCAGGATGTTTCGAGCCGCTTTCGAGACGATCAGCCGATTAGTGGACTCGACATGGAATGGAATCGAAACAAGAGGGCTATATATAGAAAGCGCTTTGCTCTCTAATATAGCGCCTTTGTCTTTCTGCCCAGGCGTGGAGTTGCGATTGCGGTTGTGATTATGGCTGAGGCCATGTTTATCCGATCTACCAAGCGTTTTGAAGAAATGGCCGATAAATCTTTTGGCAGTGCTGGTGGGAAAACAAGTATAGCTGGTGCAGTGGAGGAAACGTTGCACAAAGAAGCGAGCCTGAGGCATCTCTTCTCTCTTTCTCTCTCCCCTTCTTCTCTTCGTCTTCATCTATTCCAGTCCTCTCAATAACTACCCTCTCCGCAGAAATACAGCTTCTAATTATGGAACAACTTGATGGGCAAAGACGCTCTCAACATCACCGCTTGCTGTCGTTTGTTGTATACCCTGATAGTGCCCTCCGTTTACGCCTCAACCCGGCTATGTGACCTTTGCCATTCCCTAGAAAAAGGACTGAGCCGCCTAGCGCATATCTCAATCGATCGCTTTGATTTGACACGGCGATTTCTCTTTCTCTCAATTCCAAAAAGCATTGACGATGGCCCAGCAAACGTCCATTATGGCAGCGATACTATGCCCCGGATCTTGCAGGAAAACATTCTGCTCCCCATGATAATTAATTACCGATGGAAAAATTACTTGTACTACTGGAGAACAGATGATAGCTATTGCAGGGTAGATTGGTAGGTAGGTCTCGCGTTGATCCAAGTACATTACCGGAATTGACTGGGTATAGTAAAATCCATAGTGTATGAACGCTGGGTAGCTAGTAAAAGGAAGTGAGAGATAGGGCAAAACAGGCTATGAAGGAGAAATGTGCAGCAAAAAAAAGGTGAAAATAAAGAAAAACAAAACAGGTTCGTACAATCCATCTCTCCGGTTCACGTCATGATCATCAATAACAAGTGCTAAAAGAAAACCGAAACATATAGAGAAAGCGAGTTCACAATCCACGCAACAAGCTTCCCTCCGCGAATGGGCTCTGCGGCTTCACATCAAGCATCGGCTTCGTCGCGTTCCGATCTCCCGTCGCCACGCCATGACCGATTGGTGCGCCGGGGCCAGGCGGTAAATTTCCTGACCCCGTTCGAGCGAGGAGACTATTCGGGGCGAAAGCCTGCTCCTGCATCAGACCTATATCAGGCGGTGTTGTAGGCGACGATGGGGCGGTGGTTGTGTTGTGGCCGTGTCGGTAGCGGTTGCTGGCGCTGCGGACTGTGTTGGAGCGGGTGTTGATGCGCGCTTCGTTGCTGGATGGGATGGGGGGTTCTGCGGGTATCGGTGGTGGTGCTGTCGGTCGACGCCAGGTTTTAGCTGGAGGGATTGCGATGCCGCCGGTTGATTCTATGCCGGTAGCGGCTTCAATTAGGGGCCCGCCGGTGTCAACCGTGACGCCCCGACCTTTACGGGAGTGTTGAGGGGGTTCTTGGTAGACGGGAGTGAGGTCAACGAGTGGTTTGCCTTGTTTTATTGACTGGGATCGCTTCAATAGAGAGTCTAGCTCGGGTTGGTGGGCAGAGGTCATGCTGTTGGTGCGGCTGCCTGGGCGTGATGCGCTGAATTGACGGGGAGGGCCGGATGCACTGACGAGGCCTTGGTTAAATAGTACGTCGGCTTCTCGCTTTTCACGTTCCTCTCTGTCCTTCATTGCCTTCTGGCGGTGAGTGTATGTCCGCCCTAGCAGGCCGGAAGCCGCGAAAGGAGATTCATCTGCGGAGTTCGTTGCCGCTGCTTCAGGTTCTGTCGCAAGTGATTTGGGAAAAGATGATGGGGGTGGCTTGTGTTCGCGAGAAGACCTTCTCCGTAAAGATATTTGTCGGGTTCGAGAGCGGTCAACAGAAGAGTCATCTCTCTCTTCGGCGTGCGTGTCAATCGAAGCTAGGAGTGGCTTGAATGTTCGGACCTGCGAAATTTCGTCTTGCGGACGAACCGGGCTCACCTCAGACTCATTGATGCTTTCGCTTTGACCAGCTCCCAGTTTGTTGACCAGGTACCAACTGCGCCATGTTTGGACGGCCCGATACCAGCCATCAGCGACTGATCTGTGGTTCGTCGCAAAGTAATGGATGAAATTTTCGGTTGAGAGGAACATGCTCGACTTTTGCTGACTCTTGATGGCGTAGCATATTTTCTTTGGCGGCTTCACTTTCTGAGTCAAAAAAGTCGATGTCGGCGAATAAATATCGAAATCAGAGAGGTGGCAGACGTTCGTTTGCTCCTTCGCCATTTCCTTCTTCGATAGAACAATTTGTCCATCAGACCGGATTGTCAGATAACGTTTGTCCCATTTCCGTGGCTTCTGAGAGTAATATATGTGGAAAGTTGCGTCCATTGGTGGCTTCGTCGGCACATTCTGAGCGTCGAGAAAGTCAAGCGCCTCGATACTTGGCGCCGGGACGATGATCAAGGTGTTCTCCGCATCGTGGGCCCATGAATTCATGACCTCTCGAACGTATTCGTACTGGCGTAGCGGACGTTCTAGGCCTGACGCATTGAACGACTCCATGAGAATGAAACGAGGAGGATCAATTTCCGATATGCTTCTCGACGCCGACACCAATATTTCGTGGGCCGAAGTTGACGGGCTAACGCTGAGCCTCAGCGAATCCTTCTTGTATTGTACTACGACTGTCCGCTCACCAGCGTTGACGGCGGAAACAGGTGCATCTATGCCAGGGAAGATAGCTGGCGCGTTGGTGTCAGGCCCACTGTCGACGGACGGGGCTTTCGTTGTCTTCGCCTTAGTTCGCGAGAACTTCATTGTATCTTTGAATGATTTCCGTTTCGGTTCGTTGTGTGAATGGGGTCTATTTGCGGCGTCGTCAACGGCCTGTCGCTTGTCAGCCGTTCGGTGAGCCTCCCGATCCGTGGCCGCCCTTCCTCGGGTGGCTCGTCGCTGGCGACTGGAAGGTTGCGTGGGAGACTCATTACAACCACCCGTCAAGCTATCCATGGCCGCCTGCCTATCTCGTTCACGCTCCTCAGGGTCCGTATCGCTTAAATTATTCCCATTGCCCCCAAACAAGCCCCTTCCACGTGTATCCAGTCTCATCGCATCTATGAATCTTCCCCGCGGCTTCGCAGAATTAGACGAGTGAGAGTCCTTGAAAGGGCGCCGCGCAGAATAGTCATCGACGGCCGCAGCCGCAGGCTGTACTCGAGGAACTGGGTGTTGCTGGGGAGGAAGAGGAAGCGGCGGAGGCGGAGGCCCATCGGCCGAACTAGGCGTCGGAGGCTTTTGACGACGATAACGCGACATGCTTTTCTTGATCGTTGTAGATGTACCGCCTGTCCAATCCGACACGTCTTGCGACCCAGACGCCGATGTGCTCTGGCGAGTAGGTACCGGTGGTATTGAAGTGTTCAACGGAGCCATTCCTGTCGCGTTGGTTGAAGCTGCCCTTCGCACGGAGCGGTAGCGGGAGAACTTGGCGGGTGTTGGACCCTGTCCCCCAGCCCCTGTGAAATCTTGCGTCTCGGTAGCCATTGTATTCGTAACCTTTTTCGTAACTTTCCTCTGCAATGTTTATTTTTCTTTCAGAATATGCGCGTAGGCGCTGGGGGCATTATAGAGGCGAATACCCGTGGGGCTGGTGGTTCGCGTGACAGTCGCATGCGTCGTTCGTTTCGTTCGTTTCGCTTTTCCGATTGCGATCTGGTAGGACAGGGAAGCCGATCAACCCAAGCGCAGGAACACGGCCAAATGAATCAGTTGCAGGCGAGCCCCTTACGCAAATGCGAAGGCGAAGGGTGAGAGGATGGGACTCTAGGACGAGAATTGAGACACGGAGGTGTTGGTTCCCCTAAAGGCTGCAGAAGAAGTGTTTCACAGGCGTTCAGTCACTTCATACTAGCCAGTGGTCTGATTCCAACCCCAGAATCGCAGCCCTCAACAGGTTGGACGGGGGAAATAATTCCAATCGCAACTAGACGCCTGAGCACTGCGGAGATTTAAGCCAGGGAATCGGTTGGCGATCCAGCGTCGTGAACCTGCAGTGCGAACCACCTGGTCAAGGCAAGGGGTACTGCAGATAAAATGAGGTCTGATGGAGCCAGAAGAATGAGCAGTAATTCAGCTATGATCCCATCCCGGTGAAAAAAAAAAAAAAAGAAAACTTGGAATAAGGCTGAGAAACCGGCTTCAGCAGGTCAAGAAAGACGCCCGGCCCTCTTGCAGATGGAGGAGAAAGAGTGGAAACACGGGCGATTATTGGGCGTCTGCGGTCTGGACTGGCTTGGGTCTCCAACATTCGCCCCATCAAGAATGAAGCACGAATCGATGAATAGCAGAATTGGAGACTTTGTGATGTTCCTGCATGATTTCGATTTTTCGTCTCCATCCTCTCTGTCCTGGCGATGCTGATCTTCGGGTGATTTGCGCTGGCGGCAAGGCCCAAAAATCCTGAAGAAGCAGAACAAAGTGCGCTTACAATTGGGACTATTGACTGGGATCGTCTTTGACACTAATTTATTCGCCATAGTTATACATTTTGACGACTGCGTTGGATTTCCTTGTTCTCTGTTTCGCCCTTCATCCTTCACGACGAGCGAGACAACAGACTTAAACTGTTAAAATCCCTCATTATATGCTTGGCAATTTGCTTTTTCTTCTTTTCTGTATTCATCAGATTCTTCTTCATCCTGTCAGGTCGCCTCATTTTTTCTGGCCCTCCAAGTGATTCCGCCTATCTCGTGTTAGCCCTTGCCGACATGCTGCAGCTAAATAGCCGGTCGATCTCAATATGAGCACTCACCACCACTCCACAAAGCCTACAGTCCGGACATCAATCCCGAGGTCCTTCAGCACCTGGGTCGAAAGGTGAGTGTCGTATGGTCGTTGCACGGACGCATTCGGGTCGTTTCCTTCTTTGTTTCGGATCATCCCGTTCAAGGGCACGTCGAGTATCTCTGCGAACTTCTCGCACATCTCGTACTTCGTCATCCGGTCTTCAGACGAATATTGGAGAATCTTGGGAAGCTGGAGGATATGGCCCCGCTCCTTGAGATACTTAATCACAATGTCGCGGAGCACTCGCGCGACATCCTCGGTGTTAGTAGGGTACCGCAGTGCCCAGTCGTCCATTTTCACTCCCGCCTCCCCGTCCTGGGCCTTCCACACGGAATCGACCAGCGTGTTGACCGCGCTCTCCGAGTTCTCATTCGCCGTGCCGTATAGGACTGGTACACGGAGGATAATACCCATCCCACTCTGCTTGGTCGCCTCGAGCACAACCAGCTCGCCGTCCCTCTTCAGCTGACCGTACAGGTTTGGAGGCTTCGTCTCCGCGTCGGCTGCGTAGGGCGCATCTCCCTCGGCGCCAGGGAAGACGTAGTCTGTGGAAATGTATACGAGGAGTATATTCCGGGCCGCCGTCAGTTCTGCGAGCGTGCGAGTGGCGTCGACATTAACTCGGCGTGCCTGATCGGGGTTCTTATCGCACAGATCAGGAAAGCGATTGGCGGCACCTAGATAGACAAGACTGGTTAATTCTAAGTCCCCAATACGCTGAGTTCCCCGTCTGTGTATATGAGTAGGAGGCGAACGTACAATGGATAACGATCTGGGGCCTAGAAGTGGGGTATACATATTAGCATGAAAGTAATCAAAGGCTCAATGGCACTAGTTGCAGGCTATCTCGACTCCGAGGCCCCAAATTCGGAAATCCGGCTACATACTTAGCTTCGTCCAGCAATGCCTTGATCTCATCCGGGTTTTCCAGGTCCGCTTTGAGGATTGTCGGCGGGTTGGCGCGGGAAAAGCCCTGTCCGACTGTGAGGCAGCCTGAGCGCTTGAATCGATCAAAAACCTGTCGACCCAAAAGGCCAGTGGCTCCTGTTACAAGAACTGTAGTCGCCATTTCGTAGAAATCAAACCGAGACGGCAGACGGAGGAAAGTTGTAGAAGTTGAAGCTCTATTTGAGGAACTTTAGGCTGGCGGGGCACTTGCATGACGTAACCATAATATGCGGGTCCATGAGAATCTACAAGATTCACTGCTTTCACAGACTGCATGTCTTCATTGGAATGTACGCTATTTGTGATCGACTGGACACAAGGACCAGAAAGTTTGCAATCAGAGTCATCGTCCTATTCCACTGGAATGCTCCGGCTTCGTCCTCAGAATAGCAAGATTATGGCCGGCAGCCCGAGCCACAATAGGGATTGCCCGCCATATCATTGATGGAATACTGTTACAATTCCTCCAACGAGGCAAAAATAGAACGTACGAATCAAGCAGAAAGAACAGTCGCGTCATTAGCTTTATGCTCCTTGAATAGTCCCGGATCACAGCACTCGTGAACCTGGCATCTTCAAGCACGTCCTTAAGGGCCCTCCGATAAAGTATTCGTTGGCATCATGGCAATCTCACTTATTCATTACATGAACGTCAACACCAACTCAAGGCAGCAGTTTGTCGCGCTTTGATAATATGGTGGTCGATGAAAATAGTATCTGCCATTTTTAATCCGGATTTGCTTGTAGATGGGGGCGCAACGTACGCGAGGCTGCAGCCGGCATCACGAACAACAGTGCCAACTGAAAGGTCTACTTCTCCAGTATGCGGGGAACCTTGCCTGTTGGGAAGGCCCATTTTTTATTCTTGTGGAAGCCAAACTGCTGCGTAAGGTGCCTACACGTAGGATGGGCCGGTATCTATTAGTAGCGACGTTGTTAAAGTTGTGAATACACAACTTAACAGCCTAAGGATACAAACAACACGATGTCCCAACACCTCTCATCACCCTAGTTTTCTTGACCATTATTTCGTTATATTTGTGTTATCTGAAGGGAGGTCCATCCTTTTTTCTTATTCCTCCCCCCGCTTCCTTGAGTTTCTCTTGCATATCGCAACTGCATCAACAATGGCTTCACCTTCGGACAAAAAATCCATCATGGAACCTTCTGCTCCCCACAGTTTTATAGTTATTGACGATATCCCCGAGAATGAGGTGCAAACCGAGCGCCTTTTGTATCGAGTTATGCGGCATCTCACCGTGAACATTCTGGTGTGTTTTTCGGATAAGGATCTATTTTCCGATTACCTCTATGAATACGAGGATGAGGTGCAGTACGAGAACAGAAATGCCCTTGTTGAGGAGATCTCTTCAATTATAGGCATTTTGGCAACGGTCGAACATGTTGGATGTCTGAAAATCTCATGGTTGGAACCCAGGGAGCAGAGTATACTGCACGAAGCCATGGAGACAATTGTTGATAAAACTTATATCAACAATTTTCTGAATAGAACATGGGAGGAAATCATCCAGGCACGGCACGACAAATCGGTGCCACTTGGCTACACATGTCCGCCAATACTTATTTCCATGGGACCCGGAGATTGCGAGGAGGTCCAAAAGTCCGGGCACCATCATCTTGGAGCATTATATCCATTCTGTGAAAATTTCATTAGGTGGATGAACCTGAATTTCGGCGCGAACCGGGGTTTAGGGCCGCATCCTCAAAAAACTACTGGATGGAACCCCAAACCCAGGTACAACGTGCCCGGGTAAAACGTACCCGGGATGACTTAGGCTCGTCTGCGGGCCAGCTAGAATACCACCAAGAAAGGAATCAAAAAAGGCCCAAAAATGAGGACGAAACTATATTATATTTTCGGATGTATCCGCAGATGAGGCCACAGGATCCTAAAGAGGATGCAAGTGATACTCCCCAACTAATTTGGTGCATACAATAGCTAACGTCTGTCTACAGGATTTGTGGAAGGTCTTCCACAAAGTTATATTTCCGGACTTGGGCAATGTAATAGCCAAACTAGCAACTAATTTGGTGGAAAACGATCATCCCCAGCTGCGACATATTCCATACAAACGTATAATCAACGCTTGTGGTGGACCTCAAGGGATTGCCAAACAACTGTTGGAATATGTTGATCCGTCCATTAAGTTACTAGACAATAAGGAAGTCTCCATTAAACGGTACGTTACAGGGTCTTTAAAGACATTTATTGAATAAGCATTACTTAACTAACAATAATATTACTATAATCTAGACTGGACAAGATCGGAGAAAATCAATTCTATAAGGGAAACCAGTGGCCTTCAAATAGTGGCTACCTTGATTATGTCACAGACGATGGGGATGAAAAATACTGGAGAGCCTATGTTGGACAATCCGTGCAACCCAAGAAGCGCATAGCCCAGCATTTACGGGCTGCTGCCGGGTCAATGCCTCAGACACTTCATCACTATATCATATGGAAGGGTAACGGAAGACGCTCAATGAACTTCCTGAAGCTTTGGTCCATACATGATATTGACTCTCTTGATGAAGAATCCGCAGTTATTTTTCCTAATATTCTCGAGATGTCTTTTTCAGTGGCCTTTCAATCGTTACCGTTGGACGCGGTCATGAATTTCTACGGGTTAGATGCAAAGAAATACTCGAACATGGGGTTGAATGTCTTGCCACCTCTTTTCCAAGGGATTAATCTGAAATCCCATATCAGGCAAGCATATACAACTCCGGTTGCTGATTCCCCAGATCCTCAGATCAGATCATGGCCATCATACAGGGAAGAAAACAGGGTCCCAGACGCAACTGTTCAGCAATGGTCTGGAAGTCACGATATGACAAAATGGAATGACTATATACAGTTATTCCAATCTGTTGTAGGTGATGAGGTAAGTTTTACAGGGAACAATGTATTTGAGGGGCCCACCACAAGTGGTACATCCGGTACTGGGAGTATGGGTTACATCCTCGCTCAAGAGCAACTTTTGGTTGCCATTTCTCAGATCACGGGGGAAGAAATACACCTTAGTTACCCTGTTGGCGACTTAACATCGCACATCGGGGTTATTATCTCAACATGTGCAATTGATGTTGATGACAAGGAGAAACATGTACCATGGGGGATTCGCGAGAGCGGATTTGATGAAAGAAACTGTCTCCTATGGTTTGCTGACCCTCGAAAGAGAAGCTTCGCTTGTTCATCACCCACGGCATCATCTGATATCAAAGACGCGCTCGTGCGGTTTAATAAGCAGGTCATTTGCGACAGTGGCCTAAAGCTGATAATACTTGACGGAAAGGGCACTTCTAAGTACATTCTTCCAGGGATACCAACAGAGTCACTCAATCATTTTCAAATTCCTCTATACTGTGGCAAGGTTTCTGGCTTTTTTGAAAAGGAACAAGGGAAACTAAAGAGGGTATACTTTGAGTGTCCCTCTTCGCTATTGAGCCTTTGGGCGAATCCAGGACCGTCTGCGCAAAGGATTTCCGAGATCTTTAAATTTGCAGCAGCATTGACAGGCACGCATGGCATTCGGCCGTATTTTTGTAATACGGCATCGGCTGTATATCATATTTTGCGGATCTACAGCGAGGAGAATAATGGCGCCGCAATAATGACTGAGTCCGACATGAATCCGATCATCCAAGCATTTCTTTTTAGAAAGGGCTTCCGCACATCTGAGGATATACTTTGTCTTGCGGAAATTGGAGGCTCCTTGTCACGGGGCCTTCTTTTACTACTGTTCACGTTGCGAAGAAAGCCAAATGAGTTCGCCAATGCAAGGCCGCTAGAGCTATGCACGGCAAATACCCACAGGAAGGCTATTTTCACAAAGTACCAACTAGAAAAAGCGATGTCGCTGTATGAGGCCGTTCAACCCACAAACTACAGGCTTTGTGATATAGTCTGCGAGTCTCTTGGCAACATAAACGATCATGAAGCAATGCAAGTGGAGCAGCTTGCGGTCAAAAAGTCGAACAATATGAAGACAAGCTCACCACAGGAGAACCATTTCTTAGATATGGATGACGTCGGTTCCGATATTGCCTGCAAAGATATGTTCCCAACCGACATTGGGTTTGATATGGATAGCTGTCCTGCTAGCCTAGTCTTCCAATCAGAAATTTCACGAAGAAAAGTAACTTCAAGACGCCAGGCACAGCGGAAGCGTAGTATGCCTATTTTGGGGGAGGAAGGATTGAAGTACACCGGGACCTGGGGCACAAGTACGAGAGCAATACAAGTACATGCCCCTCCAAGCATGGCATCTATCATGCTTGCTCTTCCTGGCACATCCAAAAAGGACCTGCCATGCGAGGTAAAACTTAAAGCAGAGATCTATTCTGGAAACAAACATCCTAATAACTGGGCGCTGGATTCTAGGGATACTGATCCTGGAGCTAAACTTGCGTTTCTCGCTTCCTATCTGGGTAACGAAAGGTACATTCAGAATTATGGGGAGACGAATGCCCGCAAGGCCAATACCTTCATGGACTGGGTATCAGGCTGTTCGCTCGAATTAATGAAACTACGACCTCGGCGGCACTTCGATGCTCATGAGTCCGCTGTGAGGCAGGTACTTAACGTCAGTGCCGAGACCAAACCTAAGACTTATTTCACTGATGATAGCTGCCAACTCTGGAGATCAGATGGAGTGTTAATATCAAGAATGGAACCATGATTGCTCAACTTTATGTCTACAATTCTAAATTTCATAGTAGTTATACTGATTATACATTGTTGTTTGAACGGATGCATGTGGTGGAACCAATATATACTACGGAGTATACAAATCGCCTGACCCACTAAAAGCGCAACTAAACGGTGAGAGGTTATCAATTTATAGTGAGGGGAACCCTATAACCAAGTCAAAAACCACGAGTGGTTGCCTATTAGTATGATTTGTAGGTACTGTGTATTGGTTTTCGACTTCAATTTCATCCGGCCTGGAGACTAGAAAACAAATAATTAGGCAGCTGAACGAAATATATGATCGATCGTCGTGATATGACACTTTAGAAAATACTGGTAAAATTAATGACATCAACAGCCCGGATGGTCTAGTGGTATGATTCTCCCTTGTGAGTATCTCCGACGTATAATATTACCGTAAATATCAACTAACAGAATTGAAGCGGGTGTAACAATCCTGGTGCAAAACCTAAATGGGAGAGGTCCCGCGTTCGAATCGCGGTTCGGGCCCAATAACTACTTTTTTTTTCTTTTTCGTATTGGGTGTTTAATTTAAAACATCTGCAGGAACTCTAGAAATAGAAGAGAAAAAAAAATTAATCTCTACGTCGATTGACCACGTTTTTGTAAATAATAGCAAACTACCCTTGCCTTACGGTCTGAACGCGTTCTTACGCCCTATGGTAGTCGCTGAGCTGAATATAGATGTACTTAATGTACCATGTATGGCCCGATATCTCCAATTTCTGCGGAGCCTTCACTCTACTGGGTACAGACTCAGTTCCATGGAGGAGCTGAAATACTGTGGAAGGTCCCTGACGCTGGCGAGAATGAGCATGCTCAACCCCCCACCTTTGACTCTTCCATGACAACGTTGGAGCAAAGGAAAGAAAACAACGCCGTGGGAATGATCCCTATCCGCCATCTAGGCGGATATTTGAATACGAACAATTACGAGATTTTCCATATTAGCGTGCTATTATTCGCGCGATAAAGCTACAGGCGGAGGCATCTTGTACAGCCCGATACCGGGCGGCTTCAGCGGGCTGAATAAGCGAGTGTTCCGAGCCGGCCCCAAACTGCATCCAAGCTTTTAAAGGTCCTCGTCGCCTGCAATATCAATTGTCACCAATCGCGCCATGTCCGGGGCTAGGAATTTCTCAGCCGCCCTTCGGCGGGCTCGCCTGCCAAAGCCGCGTTTTCTTGGACGGCCTCTTGTCTCTCAGATCGCCCCGGTGCCCGCCGTTCGCAACTTTTCTCAAGCTCCTACATTACGGGCAACAAAAGAAGTCAAGTACACGAGCGATGCTTACCCTACCCTCAAGAGAAACCCCAACTTCGCCGAAATCACCGCGGAGGATGTTAAATACTTCAAGGAGCTCCTCGGCTCCGAATCAGCTGTGATCGATGGCGTAACGACCGATGCGACGGATGATATCGAGCCCTTCAACGGCGATTGGATGCGCAAATACCGTGGGCACACGAAGCTTGTCCTCAAGCCTCAGTCGAAGGAGGAGATTAGTGAGATCTTGAAATACTGCAATGGCAAGAAATTAGCTGTTGTCCCGCAAGGTGGAAATACTGGGTTGGTAGGGGGTTCCGTGCCGGTATTCGACGAGATCGTTCTCAATACCTCGCGGATGAACAAGATCCGCTCGTTCGACGAGGCTTCTGGTGTTCTAGTTGCAGACGCTGGTGTTATCCTTGAGGTGGCGGACCAGTACCTGGCTGAGCGACACCACCTCTTCCCTCTTGATCTTGGTGCCAAGGGCTCGTGCCATATTGGAGGGAATGTCGCCACGAACGCCGGAGGGCTCCGCTTGCTACGATACGGCAGTCTTCATGGGACAGTGCTTGGCATTGAAGCTGTTTTGCCGGATGGGACAATTATGGACGGCTTGTCAACGCTGCGAAAGAACAATACCGGTTATGATCTGAAACAATTATTCATCGGTTCTGAGGGTACCATCGGGATCATTACTGGTGTCTCAATTATTTGTCCTCCTCGACCAAAGGCCGTCAATGTCGCCTACTTTGGTATTGAGAGCTACGAACAGGTCCAGAAAGCGTTTGGCGAGGCTAAGAAGCAGCTATCTGAGATTCTCTCTGCGTTTGAGCTTATGGATGGCCGGTCTCAGCGACTCGTCCACTCAAGTACTGGTAATAAGTACCCTCTAGAAGGCGAATACCCATTCTACTGCCTGGTGGAGACCAGCGGATCCAACGCTGACCACGACATGGAGAAGCTGGAAACGTTCTTGGAGAGCATCATGGGCGAAGGAATCGTCGCCGACGGTGTCTTGGCTCAGGATGAGACTCAGTTCCACAGCATCTGGCGTTGGCGTGAGGGCATCACAGAGGCTTTGAGCCACCTCGGCGGAACCTACAAGTACGACGTTTCGATTCCTCTACCCGAACTGTACCAGTTGGTGGATGATTGCCGGGAACGGCTGACAAAGATGGGGTTCGTTGGAGATGATGACTCCTTCCCCGTCCGCGCCGTCGTCGGTTACGGCCACATGGGCGATTCCAACTTGCATCTTAACATTGCTGTCCGACAGTACAGCAAGGACGTCGAGAAGGCGATCGAGCCTTGGGTGTATGAGTGGATCCAGAAGCGGAATGGTAGCATCAGTGCCGAGCACGGTCTGGGTGTTGCGAAGAAAGAATTCATCGGTTACAGCCAAAACGACACTAACCTGAAACTTATGAAGCAGTTGAAGGGTTTGTATGATCCGGTGAGTGCTCCCCAGAACGAGATTCCACGATAGACACTAACAATCAGTAGAACGGAATTCTGAACCCGTACAAGTACATTTAAAAAGCTACATACCCATTTGCATATAAAATACAGCCCTGTTAGACGTTGAACAATATCCATATATAGTTTGTAGAATATATATGCCTGAGGCACCTACTGTTCGCTGGTGGTGACTAATCAATAAGCTAGCGCCCGTGGTTGCCATGCACTACGGCCTCTGTTGTTCCTCCGACCCATGGCTCCTCGGCAGCGTCATCCATTGGATGCGATGGACTATTCGGGGCCCCTCAAGTAAAGATTAATTGATTTACTTCGAGTGCCTGTCCCGCTGCCTTTCCACCTCTCCAAGTTGGTTTATTTGACCTGTTCAGCTCAGCGACAGGCTCTTGCTGGACAGGAATCAGGTAGCTGTGCGGGTCGCCCCTTGTTTTTGCTTTTCAATCTTTTCAGCATTCTCTCTGCTCCCCACCCCGAAGCTTCGAGCAAGCTTCAAGCTTCAAATTTGGCAGAGATGTCGCGAACAATGGCGGGCGATATGGCAAGCCAGTACCAGATGATGGAGGAGCTGGGAAGTGAGTGAAAACAAGACCTTGCTGGGTTAATTGACTTGTCTGACTGGTCGTCGCATAGGTGGGAGTTTCGGAACGGTGTACAAAGCAATCGACAAGTACACGGGAGAAATTGTTGCGATTAAACATGTAAGTCCTCCAGTGGAATGGCTTCGCCTCAATTTTGGCCACCCAATTGACGCTCGCATCCTTGTCTAGATCGATCTTGAGTCGAGCGAAGATGATATCCAAGAAATTCAGCAAGAGATCTCGGTTCTGGCGACGTGCGCAAGCCCCTACGTTACCCAGTACTACGCAAGTTTCCTTCGAGGACATAAACTATGGATTGTGATGGAGTACTTGGGTGGCGGATCGTGCCTTGACTTGGTAATAGCTAGCTGCCTTTTTTTGTGGTGTGCGGAATTATGGCTAACTTTGGTGTAACAGCTCAAACCCGGAGTGTTCAACGAGGCGCACGTTGCGATTGTCTGTCAACAACTTCTGCAAGGGTTGGACTACTTGCACTGCGAGGGAAAAATTCATCGTGACGTCAAAGCTGCCAACGTTCTTCTTTCTCACACCGGCAAGGTCAAGTTGGGGGATTTCGGAGTTGCGGCACAGCTGACCAATATCAAATCGCAACGCAATACTTTCGTCGGAACCCCATTCTGGATGGCCCCGGAGGTTATTCAACAGGCTGGATATGACTACAAGGCGGACATCTGGTCGTTAGGTATTACAGCCATGGAAATGATTAACGGAGAGCCACCGCATGCTGCCACTCATCCGATGAAAGTTCTATTCCTGATCCCGAAGGAACCTGCTCCTCGGCTGCAGGGCGATGGATATAGCAATGCCTTCAGAGACTTCATCGCGCAGTGCTTGACCAAGGACCCCGAGCGTAGGCCTAGTGCGAAGGAACTTCTGCGACACAAGTTCATCCGAAACGCTGGCAAGACGGAGGCCTTGCAAGAGCTTATCCACCGCAAGCAGGACTGGGATGGTGGACGAGGTGTGTCACGAAACGTGAAGTATTATGCGGAATCTCTGTATGTGACCTTTGTCCAGTTTAGAGACGCCGACGACTGACTGCTTTCGCTACCTAGGAATACTATCACACATTTGAAGGACGATGATGACTGGGTCTTTGATACCGTCAAAGCACCCACGATGATCATTCGCGAGGACTCCGATAACTCCGATAGCGGATCTATTATTCACGATCCTCTATACGACGAGTCTTCTGAAATGATGGAAAACATACGCATTTCTAGTCCGCCGCCCCAGCCAAAATATGCAAACAATACCGCTGTGCGCCGCGTTCCAGCACCGGACCGCAGTCCTTCCTTGCGACGACCAAAGCGGCAATCGAGCGGTGTCAAGCAACCATTAGGTGTGGACTTGACGTTTGGGAACAGCCCCTCCACGGTCCGCCAGTTCCGACGCGTATCTGATAAAGCTCCGGCTGAAGATTCATTCTCCTCATATCAGTTAGCTGGAGACGAAAATAGTCCCAAGTCTATATATTCTGAAAGCAACAGCAAGGAGGCTCAATTAGGCCGTCGAGCATACAGCAAAGCCGTAGGCCACGCTTGCCAGGAGGTGTTGGGCACCACAGCAGACCAGGAGAAGCGGGAAGCGATTTCCCGACTTGCGGAAGCCTGGAGCGATCTCGAGATGGCCGACCCCGAGGGCCTATACCACATCCTCAAAGCCACAAATGAGAAACTCTCTAGGTGAGTACAGCGTCCTTAATTTACCTTCGTACTCCATATGCTAACGGATCTTGGGTCAGCGATCCGAAGCTGTCAGGTCTCGTCCCACAGGCTCCACCACCCGAATCCCCACAAAGGCCACGCCTGGTTCTTGCACAGAACAACCCACACCTGAAAAGCCACCGTCGACGCCAGTCAGCTGTGGTCGAGCCAAACCCGCAGCCACAGCTCGCCAACCTCCCCAGCCAGCCGGTGCCGGGCATGGAGCATATCAAGCAACTCTCTGATGTTCTCTACCAACGGTGGTCCGATGGTCTTCGCAACCGATGGCCCGGAGTATAAAGCATACATTTTGTTTCTTTTGCTGTATAAAACGGACACAGGCGTTTAATACTCGGTTTCTGCGCTTTCCCGACGCTCGTTTCCTAGCTCGACATAATACCCTCACCCTTCGACATAACATCGAGGCTTTCATCGCATCCCGCGTCATTGCGTGAGGGCAGCTGTGATCTCGATGCTGTTTTCCCTCTACACTGTTAATTTGCCCCTATCTTGGCACTCCTCCAGAACTGGGTTCTGGGTGGATTTTCGTGATTCCATTCTCCTGAATTTTTTTTTCCACTTTGGGCCTGTGATTACCAACCACTGTTTCTGAGACAGGGGCATCCTCATTTTCCTTCGTTGCGCATTTTGGACTACTTTTTATATTGTGAGATACATAGGTGTTGGTGTTTATAGGCACTGCGATTTGATTCTTGTATATTTAGATAGGAGTTACCTCGATTGGCACGATGTATAGTTAGCCAGATTATAGCAGATAATAGTAGATATTCTGGTATTTGATAAGTGAGATGATCGTCGACAATGACATTATTGAGCTCGTGGGCCGCAGGGCTATCAACCACGAGTTCCCCTGCTTCATTAGTCAATACTCATTTCTTCCTCCTCAATCTCCACAGAAGCAGAGGGGGTTAATCCTAGAAAATAGAAATGGAGAGCCCTTTACCGCCCTTAATATTACTTGCTTCAGCCTGTGCCGATCGGCCCCTGAACTAGCTGAAACGGAAAGGATACGCGTGGCTGCTAATATTAACCAACACTAATTTAACGGCAGTCTGGGCTTCGTCGGCGATGCTCTCGTTCTCGTCCTGCTCCTGATTCTTCACCTCCTTCATTCAGCTTCATCTCCCTCGTTGTTCCCCAGTCCCCTCGTCGTCCTTCGATACGCCCACGCTCTTTTTTGTATTACTCGCTCTTTAACTCCCGCTGCCCCGCCGCTGTCGGTCCCTCAAGACACCTCGTCCTTCATTTCTCCGCTTTCCCCTGCGTAGCTGGAATGTCATGATTGTGGAATTGCCGCCTTGATAAATTCTTCTTGTTTTTTTGCTGCTTTGTGCTATTCCGCCATGGAAGAGTCGCCGGGAATGGATCGGGCGGAACCCACGCCGGAAGCGTCCCAAACTGTCAGGGCCTTGACCGACTCTGCTCCGAATAATGAGTCCCTACCGCCCCGGCGTATGCCATCCAAGCGAGCGTCTCTCCCTCCTCGTCCTCACGCTGCTGCCCGGCATACAAAACGCTTGACCTTGAATTTCCCCATCAATATCCCCCAGGGAGTTACTTTTGACCCGAGTGCAACGTCCTCCCCGTCAGGATCGATGACGCCCGTTACCCGATCGTCCGCTCGACAATCCCCCGCCCATACCATTGCCACCCCTCCCTTCGACGGACAAGATGATGGCACGAGTCTGTTGACGGCGATCGCCTCGCAGGAGCGAAGGGTGCTGGAGTTGCGAGAAGAACTACACCGGGCGGAGACCGAACTGAATTCGTTGAAGAAGCAATGGACGTCATCGGAGAAGACAAGGAAACGTACCGAAGTCACTCATCGTGCGGAGGCTATGCTACCTCTCAGATCTCCGGACGCAGTGTCCGGTGCGTCTCCGTCAGCTGCGCATAGCAGGGAGCCAAGTACCAGCGGCAGCGCGAGTCCCGTGGTGCCCCAAGTCAGACTCAGCCGGGAGCTGGAACGGCGCCAGACCATGCTCGCAGCTGCAGCTGCAAGTGGAACGTCTGTGTCGGCGAGTGGGAGACGGGTGTTTCAAGGGTCTCATACGCGAGCCTTGTCATTGCTTTCTCCAACAACGAGTTCTGTGAACAGCAAACAGTCAGGTTCTGAAACTGGTTCCGGCGAAGTGGATGGCGATCGTATTGGCCGGCCTCCACGATCAGCCACCATGCCATCCGTTGATCGCACTCCTCCTGCGCCTGCAATGAGTCCGACCCAGGATATGGTTTCGGAGTGGCGGAAGACGATGCCGGTGCCGCCTCCTTCGCGAGACTTACTCATGCGGACTGGAAAACAGATGGCGTCGGATCTAAGAGAGGGGCTCTGGACGTTCCTGGAAGATATCAGACAAGCAACAGTCGGAGATGAAGGGATCAACGCCACTGAATCACGAACAATGCAACCTTCCCGCAACCGTGATTCGAGCTCAACCTCGCGAAGCAGAGACCGACTATCTGTTCAGACCGATAAAGCGTTGTCGCGCTCGCCCTCAGGGAGGAAGAGTCCGGGAACAAAAGCAACTGGTAATGGCTCCAAGTCGGCGGACATAGACGCGTCGTTCTGGGGTGAATTCGGCATTGATTCTTCTGGGCAGAAGTCCCCAAACACTCACAGAACGCCTACTACCCCCAGCGGGCCGAACAATCACAAAGCCGAAGATCCCAACAAGCTCGACGTGGACGACACCTGGGATGATTGGGATACACCGGAGCCAAAGAAATCGCACACGCCATCTTCGAGCCGATCCACCATCGAGTCGAGACAGGACCAGTCTCCGGTCACACAGACGAGTAGTCCTCGTACTAGCGCTAGGTAGGTTTGGGCTGCGAAGCGTGATTACTCTCGTTTTCTTTATTGTCACCTTGTGAAATTACGTCGCTAATAGCGTTCTTAGCCTCGATTGGCGCCGTGATATCCCCGACCCCAGCATGACGGACGGTATCCCCTGGCCTGCAATGACACAGACCACGCCGTCAAAACTCAGCAATCTAATGGCCGAATGGGAGCGGAGTTTGTCCCCTTCACCAAACCGCAGTCCCCTGGCTTCGCCGCCGCTCGACAAAGATAGCAAGAAGGACTGAGCGCCTCAATCACTAACTCATAATTTCTATTGCACACGACTTCCCTTCTCTCCCGTTCCGGACTCAAACTGGACTGCTGTATATATGAACATGAATCTGCACGACCTACTGCTTTATATGTCTGCTCGCGACCGGACTTGTTATTTTTGAGTGTCACAAGAACAAGAATATGTATGGCTTAACGCAGGGTTATGACTCGGGTCGCGAGACCCTTACGAGTGTTTTCATTTCTTTTTGACCGCTAATTTATTTTCGATTCTGGAGCCCGCTTTTCTGGGCCGCACTTGGTCTATCTATACGTTCTTTAACTGAAGTATTGATAGCCAATTTAACGAAGATGAACCACTTTTGCCTATTATAGCCTGCAAATACCACCAAGCTCTTGTTTCAAATAGTACAACTATCGTAACAGCCCCAAAAAATCATGGCATAGCCTCAGGAGCATTTCCCTCCAGTCCTCAATACGAAGAGCCGCAGGTACGTAGCCAAGCAATGCAGCAAGGCTGATTCCCAGGCCAGCCTTGGCTGTGATAGGCTGTGGTTGTGTTCAAGGTGAGATAGTCTTGCCCTGCTCTTTGATGAGGTCTGGTGACCTTGCAAAAGAGATCCATCCATATAAACCCCTCTTTCCTCTTCGCCCTGGGGATAATGCTGCCTAATACCTCATTTCCCAGGTTTCAGTTTGAACCCTCATTTACAACCTCGAAGTAGTCTACACACTCACGCGCAAGGATTACATTAACCTACCCAAGCCCTCACAAGTCCTCGAACCGACCGACCCTCTCCAACTGAGCCGAACGAAACTGAATTCGGAATGTGCTACAAGATCCACGCAACGCCCACCCGATTTCCGCACTGCACCCAAAAACATACCAGGGACTGTCTCCTGCTTGATCCCGAGCAGGACTATATACAGAGGTGTGGGCGGGCTGAAGAGAGCGGGAGAGTATGTGCGGTTGTGGTCTCCACGTCGATGGGGTCGAGTACAAAGAGGAGGATTAATTGTCCTAGACACCGGGGCAGATCGAATCTCCAGCTGCCTGGATTCAAAAGGAAGGATTTTGGGGATTGGGGGAAGGGTGTTTGTATCAGAGCTGGGGCTTGATACGGATAATGAGGCCGTGCCTATATTGCGCTGTGTAAGATGGCTGGCTTGTTGGTTGCATTATTGCATATTGATTGTCTGGAGGCTGCAGTTTTGGTCGCTTTATCTCATCCCTCTTAGTCTCACACCGTGGCATTCAGGGACACAATAATCAACTTCTTCGCCTCTTTCAACAACTTCGCGCGTATGTCCTAACGCCAGACTCATAACAACAGCAACGATAGTACGCGAAGCCAGAAAATGAAACAGATATACACAGAAATCGCACCCAGCGCCACCGAATCCCTCCACACCACCACAACAGAGAGACGATCTGCAGCATCCGATGCAGAGACTACAACAAATATCCGGATAGTAATATCCGCGCTGACAGAACACCTTCTGGAACTTGCAGCCCATATGAATCTGGACATCCGGAGACAATAACCAGACTGTTATGCTGCTGCCAACAGATTTGCACCGAAGCAACCGAAATCTTCTACACAGCGAGCACGGACTGGAGCGAAAATGCCCTTGGGTGGTCAGAATAAAACACCAGGAACTTGCTGCTTCTGGGGGAATATCAGAGTGCCCCCAGAATTTGAGGTCAGCATTGTTCTGTAAGAGAGCCATGGACTACTGGCAGCAGGGCATTCTTCGAACGGTAGTAATCGGCATGCAGCATATGATTAGTCAACGAGGCGTCCAGAGCTCCCCAGGGGCTTCGTCTGACAGTGATTCAGTAGTCTCTGCCATCGAGCGCAGAGAATGTTCAGTGTATCTAGCAAAATGTGGCTGCGAAGCCCTCTGCTTTCCTTTCTCGTATTATGCGTAATACCCTTCGTCCAACTCAGCAATGGAGCTGCCACTGGGCGGCCCTACTCGGCTCGAATGGCCGACAGCATCATTTTGCGCGGACAGGCCATTGTTGAGCAAGAAGGTGACTCATCGTCGCTCATGCAAGTTGGGACTTTCCAGACTGCCCTCTTAGACCTGTTAGAGTCGCCCTCTGGACATTACTTGGAAGAAGACTGGGAATCCTACCTCAGTCGAAGCGCTGACAGCGTTGTTGACGTCGTCAATAATGCAACGAAAGATACTGAGCTTCCCCTCGACCGTCTATCAGCAGGAAAGGGGTTGTTTTACCGGTGTGTGTTTGTTCATGGGATTGTAGATCGATCCTCTAACTGAATTTGATGCTAGATACGATAAAACAGAAAAAGGCATCTACAGGGATACCCTCTCTGCCCTGCGCACCTCGATCGACCTACAGCCACGAAACAGATTCGGTAAGTATCAAGTCATTCTCTTCATGAAGTTCGTGCTGAAACTGATATAGGCGGACTCTGGTACTACGTCTACCCAAACTGGAGCTATCTAGACGGAATGTTCTCCCTGCTATCATTCTACCCCTTATACACCTCGCACTCCGATATCAACAACACAGCCTCGGTCAACAAGGACCTCTTCCATCAGATCAACCTTCTATGGGGGCATTGCCACAATGAAACAAGCGGCCTTCTCTTCCACGGCTACGACGCCACAAAGACAGCCTCTTGGGCTAACCCCACAACCGGCGCCAGTCCATTCGTCTGGGGTCGTTCCCTGGGCTGGTTCATGATTGCACTAGTTGACTTTTTGGAGCTCGCGCCCATTGAATCGGACTCTGACTCTCAGATAGAAATTGCGACATGGCGCGCTCGATTCGTCGACCTTGCCAATGCCGTCGTTGAGGCGGTTGACCCGGTCTCTGGCGCCTGGTGGCAAGTCATGTCGGCACCTGGACGGAAAGGTAACTACATAGAATCTAGTGCGTCGGCGATGTTCACGTATTCCTTGTATAAGGGGGTGCGAATTGGGCTTCTGGACGACAAACGCACCAATCCCAAACACAAGGGAAATGCAAAATACAACTATACCGACGTCGCGACTCGAGCCTACCGCTCGCTTGTGGACAGGTTTGTCGTGGAGAATGCAGACGGAACACTGAGTTATAATGGGACTGTGAGCGTTTGCAGCCTTAACTCTACTGCTAGCTACGAGGTATGTTGAACGAACGGAACCGATCTTGAGTAATTTTAGGAAAGGAAGGCTAAACGAGTGTGCAGTACTATGTTACGCAACCACTGTTATATGACAGCGTGTTGGGCTCAGCAGCGTTTGTTCGCGCCAGTACGGAGCATGAGTTCCAGCACTAAGCTTTGATAAGGATGTATCATTTTGAGGCCATCTTTTCCTACTGAGGGGGCAGGGCCTGTGGTGTCGACGTGCCTCTGTTGGAGGTTGATAGGGCATATTTAGCTTGGTGGTCTGCGGTGTATCCGAGCCCTAGATTGGGTGTAGAATAATTATTGTTATATTCATCTCCCAATGACTGTAAACTGATAACTTAATGCTATATCGAAGCACGTCTATTAGTCTCCATACCAAGGCAAGTATCAAAGACGGTTCCCAAAGTAAGAATAACCCCGGTCTAGCAAATCCTTCGCAACCACAGTCCGCGCATCCAGATCCTCTTTTGGAAGACCAAGCAAGTCATTGACCAGCGCATGGTTTCGCCCGTGGTTTCCATCTCCAGTGGGATAGAAATTCCGCGAATACATAGCCAACGCCAGGCCTGAGCGGTCTGCTTTCCCCAAAAGCTCGAGCCCTCGCGCATATCGCTCAGTCACAGGCTCAGTCGCACGAGTCCAGTCCTCGTCAGTATCTCCAGTAATCCGCTTCCAGCTCTCATACATGTCACGCTGGCTCACTTCAAAACTGTCCATATAAACCGGTTTGTTCCGCCAGTTACTCAACGCAAGCTCGTTGTCGTTCTCATCCTCAGGCAGCTCCTTCAAACTGAGGAGCTTTGCAACCGCACGCCCACACTGCTCCCATGTACTGACATTAATCTTCGTCTCTCCATCATCAAAGAACGTAACCTTCTTCTCCTTGAAGTCAAACCCAAACCACGGCTCCCCATTCACAAGACTAAACTCATACCAAAAGCCACAGACTAGCGCAACCCACGACGACACCCCGGCGGCTTCAATCTGGGTGCGAGCAGTGTTGAACGCCTCCCCAGCGAGGGGAATATCTTTCGCAAGCCTTTGATTCAGAACATCCCAGCCGAATGAATTGGGCATAACGTAGGGGACGCCAGCGCGTGCAGCGGCCCGGATAAACTTCGACTGTGTATCGTGGGAAGCGGTGACAGCCAGCGTGATGATGAGGAATTGCTGGCCTTCCAGGGCTGATACAAGAGAGTCTTCATCGTCGTAGTTCACACGCACGACCTTGACACCATCGGGGAGGACACTGGTGCTGTCCGTCCTAGTCAACGCGGTAACGGTATGTTGTCCGGTCTTGAGCAGCTCCTGAGCAATAGGTTTGCCGATAGAGCCACCGGCCTGGAAGTATGTTTATGTTAGTACAAATTAAGAGAGCTCGAAATAAGGTGGGGAGTGAGAATGTTTAACATACGCCAACAATAGCTACTCGCTCGATGCGGTTGGTGAAGCCAGATGGCTGGTCTTTGGCGTATTTTTGGGCCATGGTCTCGATACTATTGGAAATGTTGCAGGCTGATAGGGTTGAATTTTTGAATAATGCTTGATGGTTTTTGCTGTAAGCAGCTGATGACGAAGGACGCTGGCTTTATATGACATGCAACCACGAGGTCACAGACGAGGAGGCCATTGACAATGTTATCTCCGGCGGCGACCTGCTCATTATTTCCGGTGGCTTGGGGATTTTCGTCGACGACGGGGAGTCGGGCATTAAAATGCCGATGTATCTGGGAGAACCAGTTTAGATAATACTCTTTAACAATTTAACGGAGTTAACAGTGCACAGGAAGGTCGTGGTGTACCTGAGAAGAGCAGTGGAGATAGACGGAGTTAACAACCCTATAGTCCATTCACCCCTCCTGATCCTGAGCAGAACAGAGAACTGAGAACTGACAGGGCAGCAGCTGCTTACAAAACACATATAATAAGTTAACTAATTTGAGCTGAAAGACGTGTGAGAGCTGAACAATAAATATTCCTCTGCGATCGGGCTAAAATGGCCCGGTTGCAGGTATGATCCCTGCTAAGCGGTTGTCATGGTGGGGTGTACCATATTGTACGTGAGGCCCGAGATATAAGAGTGCTGCAGAAATTGGATGATGGAGACTTTATTCTCAGCTCTATCGATCTGACTTTATCTTCATGTTCTACTCGAGGCAGCCGAAATCAGCCTCAATGCGCAGTTCAAGCTTTTAAAATGGCCCCCAATAAATAGACGAGCTAATAACTTAATGCTTTTGATCCAACGAGTAACAAGGATGAATGACCTAAACGTTACAGATGAGTCATTCCATCTGGTCGTCAAGGCTCCTTCATGCACAGCCCCCTCATAACAGGCTGAAGCAAAAACTAGGGAGTCATATAGCAGCTCTTCCCTTCGAAGCGCCCTGAACAAAACATCCAAACTAATCATTATTCATCAACTCTAAGAAATCTCGAATAGTACCATTTCCACCACGATGGTAAGCCGCCCCGGTAACTCATCATATCCCTGCCTAATACTACCAACAGAGCCAACCAGGTACATGCGGGCAAGTCAGCCAAGAAGCAAAGGATATCATGAAATCCCTTCAAAAAGACCCAACCGGGATGGGCTTCACTCACCTCGCCACCGACGGTGTCCTGCGTGCCTTCGACGGAGACCGCAATGTTGTTGACTATAGGAAGCTGAGCCCCGAAGAGATTAAGCTCGTGCTTGAGATTTACCCCCCTGCGTATCGTGCGCAGCTCAACGATAAGTTTTCCGGGGTCGATGGGCGCAATGTTACAGATACACAGCAGTGCCTTCACCCGGATGCGAGCATTATGCCGCCGGAGAGGTCGTCGGAGGGCCAGAACGTGTCGCCTGCCGATGATGCTTAGGAAATTCGCAATTTTTACTTGTTACGATCTCATATTGAAGAAACCTTGCAGACTCGGGCAGACGAAATTCATCTTAGTTTATCGTTTCATGATTAGTCGCATGTTCCAAATTGAATACATCAAAGTGCTATATACCGGGCTATATCTACTATCATAACAGTCAAATTGGAGATTTTGCAAGAATCGGAGCTGAATATCCTGTTGTCACCCTTGAAAGATCGACGGCGTCCCGATGAGATGTACAGTATAGGTCGATAGTTTACTGTCGAGTTACAGGCGATAGAGCTCGTTTATGACAAAGAAACAGAGGATTCAATTATTCTTGCCCCATATAAAGCACAAGATTCAATCCTCCCCTTCCCTCCGTCCATATGGATTGATTCCTTTTTAGGGCTGTGATATTGCATAATTACATAATAATTCATAAATGGTGATAATCCCGGCTGCACGTGGTATATTGCACTAGTGGTCTCAATCGGCAACCGGGAATAAATTCTCTCCGCATCAATTCCGGGGTTGAGATTGCCACGATATCGACTCCCTCTCAACCTTTCCCCCCAGTCCTGGTTTCGGTGGAGAACGTATAGCATACCGTGAGCTGTACTCGCGCACCATCTTTCATTTATCTTCTTCAAATCATATACCCCTTACTTTTATCATGAACTTCCCCGGGACGGGCGGGTCCTCTGCCGCAGGCATGACCGGCTTTGGTGGCTTAGGAGGCGGAAATACGGCTGGAATGAACGAGCAGGAGCAGGCTATGGTTAAGATGGTATGTATCTGCTGGCCCAGGGACGTGTATTGTTTGATTTAAATTGCTAACCAACGCGTGCTCAGATGCAAAACGCGATGGAATCATGTCCCCTCAAAACCGTCATCTCCGGAACAATGGGTTTCGGTCTCGGTGGTGTTTTCGGTCTGTTCATGGCTAGTGTATGGACCATTCCGCAATATCTCTCTAGCGCTTGAACTTTACCTAACCTCTTATCACCATCTAGATGTCCTACGACTCCTCCTTCACCCCGCAAGGCAAAGCCATCTCCGACCTCCCCTGGCGGCAACAAGTCCGCACCGGCTTCAAGGACATGGGATCGCGCTCGTGGTCATCAGCCAAGAACTTCGGCATTGTCGGCGCGCTTTATTCCGGAACAGAATGCTGCATCGAGGGCCTCCGCGCCAAGAACGATCTCACGAACTCCGTCACGGCAGGATGCATCACCGGTGGAATCCTAGGAGCCAAGGCTGGTCCGCAGGCTGCGGCCTTTGGATGCGCCGGTTTTGCGGCGTTCTCTGCGGCTATTGATGCTTACATGCGCATGCCCGAGTCTGATGATTAATGAGTAAGATTACTCTTGTCTTACTCTGGTGGTAATATGGAATGAGCTGGGGATGTGGATTTGTTAGAATCGCGTATTCCTTGCAAAGGCGTTTGGGATAGATGGGTTGCATATATGCGTGGCGTTTGATGCTTTTGGGTTTTGTGGGTTACGACTCGCTGCTCCCTGTATAATACCTACTGTATAGATTAGATATGTATGATCTATGATTGCAATATTGCTTCGTAGTATGATAGTAGCCCGGCTAAATTTCCTCCCTGTATATGTCCGGTAAGGAAGGTACCTGCCATATCCATAAATTCTTGGTTCATCGCACCTTCCCAGAATCCCATGCCATTGATACCCTCAAAAAGGAAAGCGCGATGGGCCGCCCATGGAAACAGTTGCCACTTCCCATTCTGGACCTGGCCCTGGTACGTGAAAGGAAAGTGCGATCCAGACTGCGTTATCTATCTGGAAGGAACCAGATACGCACATTAATGCAATATGCATTGTAGCCATTACTCTAGTAGATAATATACCAGAGCCCAGCAAAGGAGTAAGGGAAGAAGAGCAGAATCCACGGCTCAACCTGGATAGCCCTAACCACGTTCTCCAACTCTGTACCCAGCAACGCATGGGGGACTATAGACTTTTGTCCCGTCGTCACGAACACCCTTGTTAGGATGGACGAGGCATAGCGGGGACTGAGCCGCCGCGTATCAGAACAAATATCGCATTGCAAGTGCCAGGCGGCCGGATGAATTATTCGACCAGTTCTGTGCTGCAGGATGATACTGCCCACGACGGTGTCATGGTCCAGATCGTGCAGGAGAGACTGATATATCGACCCTTTTGGTATTCTTTGGGATAGGGCATCAACATTGCCCCTTCCGCTGTAGGGTAGAACATTATCGGCTCGACGCCATTCAGACTGTAGCCCCCCCGGCATCCAACAGACAGCGTGAAGCATTCGGCGTAGACTTGCAATAATCATCACCGCCATCCGGATTAGATTTCTCACCGGGGGAACCATGAGACAAGCGGTTCCAGACCAACACCTTAAGACAAGCGAGACGCGAGAACAGGCTGACGAAAAGCGGTTTGAGCGCCGGCACCGAGAGCGCGATTAGGGTTCCTGCAATCTCGGCGTTCTCGACGGCAAGCATGGCATTGTAAGCCCAGGAGCCATCGTCTGACCACTGGCCGACGACAACTAGGTAGAGGCGGGTCGTTGAGATAGCGACGACTAGAACGCCAGGGAATAGAAGGCAGGAGAGCTGGAGCTTCTTGCGCGCGGAGACCCGGAGGCCCTTGATCATGATGGTGGGGATGGTGAACATGACGAAGTCGCAGACGAGGGAAATCGCGGAGATGACTGAGTAGACGAGACCCCAGCTAAGGCATCTGTGAGAGTTATACTCGTCTTGCCATTCGTACGGCCAGAGATCGGTGACGGGGATACAGTGGAAGATCAGCAGGAAGAGCTGCGTGAGGTAGCAGGCGATGAGAAATACGAAGGCGGCGATGATGGCATAGTAGAGCTTGGTGCTGAGGACCGCCACACGATGATAGAAGGCGAGACCGGACAACCGGGCAAAGAGAAGAGCGTTGGCGTATAGAATGTGACAGGCGAAATCGAGCACTTCTGTCCTGCGCACTGTATCTCTGGGGAGGACATATTCGATATACTCGAAATGACGACCACTGCCCATGTGTATCAGGACAATGCACAGCGCAGCAATGGGGATATAAACCAGCTAATCGACAGAGGTGAGATGAGTCAGGAATCAGGCTTATAAGAATACATACCATCGCCAATACCATCAATAGGTCATCGATTCCAGTGCGCTTCAGCAGGACGACACGAGCAAAGCATCGTAGAATCAACACCACGAAACTGACAACCACCAACACGATAATGCCTATAATAGCTTCCCTGTCGTAGGTTTCAGCGAGGTACTCCAGGCTAATTTCACTTGGAATCTGGCCAGCAGCGTCAGCCGCCAGGATATCAGCCGGGATAGATACCATTCTCCCAGAAGGTATAACCATGCAGTAGATCATCAACAGCAAAAAAAAAAAAAAAAAAAAAAAAAAAAAAAAAAAAAGAGAAAAAACCCCGGGACCAGGGAAGTTCCGGATTGGAAGAATCCAAAACGGCAGCATAGCGGGCCACGCGGAGACCACACCTTCCATACCCGTCTAGAAACAGTCTGACATCATGTCGTAATGAAGAAAAGAATAGGAGACCAGAATTCTCGTGAAAAAGATGCAGCAAAAAAAAAAAAAAAAAAAAAAAAAAAAGAAAAAAGAAAAAAAGAAATCTTAAAGAAAGGCGCAAAGCCCAAACGAGTGTGCAGATAATAACCGCAGAGAATAAAGTGGCCTGGGCAAAAGCTTTACTGCGGTGGTAGCATAAGGAGTTTCAACCAAGCAGCTGTGAAATAAGTAGAGGCAAAGATGACAAACTTTGCTGAACTTCGCAGAAGAGCCTTGGGCTATTAACCTGCTTCAATTCAGGTTCCAGATTCAGTGCACCGGAATAGGAAGGGTGAAGTAAAGCTCTGCTCTATGCTCTTTTAGTGACCAAGGACTAGACCGTCTTAGAAGCTTGCGCCATTCCAGGAAACGAGCGGGCTTTCAAGGCTGGCCAGATTCAAACTGTTTCGTTTTCCAGTCGGCGATCCAGAGATATCCTGAAATACCCGACTTGAGCTTGCTGAGGCCCCAGATGGCTATTTTACATGCTTATACGGGTGCAATTCGCCCTTGATGAGGCTCTAATGCAGGTTGACTGGACACTGTTAATACCTCTTTATTCATATTATTGATGGCGAACTTTCTCGGTATACATCGGTCCACTCCTAGGCTCTACAAACATCCATATTCTACAATGCGTGAAAGGGAAAGGAATAGTTCTTCCCGAGATCTCGCCGATAATCAGTCTTTCAAATGGCGTCCACGGTAGCAAGACTTCTAGACGGCAGTACAAATCCATGCACGTTCCACTGGTTCATCGTGGTGGTGATGTCGTGGTGGGTCCGTAAACCTTATCGTGATCGTGTTCGATGCCAGATATGGTCCACGGCGAACCGAATTTGCCTTGCTTAGAGGTTTACAGAATTGGTGGTAGCGAAAGCATCTATTATTAGTGAATATTATTATATTTTTTTTTTTTTAAAAAAAAGTCTATCAAAGAGGGACAGGCAAATTGCGAACCAAATACCCCCTCCATTCAGGCAAACTCCTCTGCCACTCAGTGCCGGTACTCTGCTGCAAATCCTCAATGGCACTGGCCCATTTCACCAGTTCAGACTCCGAAAATGCAGTATTGAGAATCGCCAGTCCATACGGCATCCCGGATTCCTTACTCGTACCAGCCGGCACAGTAATCGCCGGATATCCCGCCTGTGCCGCAATCTGGATACTTTGCGCCACATCGGGAGGAACCAAGAGCCCATCCAGGGCAGCATTGTTACCCAGCCTGAGTGCAGCATCGATGCCCTCCTCGCGTGTTGTGCGATGGCAGAACTCCAAGGCCTGGTAATATGTTTCATTCATGATTCCTTTGCTTGCGAGAGAAGCTTCGAGCCCGTCCTGCCCCGACGCGAAGGCTGGATGGATGGACGGGTATCCGCCCTCGGATCCGGAGTTGTCCTTGTTGTACTGAACAATGTCCTCGAGCGAGCGGATATCTGTGTTGTCGAGCTCGGCGAGGTAGGCTTTGATGTTGTTGTAGAAGTCGACCTTGATATAGGTGTACTCTGACTCGTTGGGGAAGCCCCGAGTAGAGCCATAGTCCCAGTTCCAGCCGTCCGGGGAGACGATGGTCTTGTAATGGGGGAGTTCTGTGCCGTTGATAATGGTTGCTCCCGCATTTTCGAGCAGTTTGACGAGTTCGACCAGCTGTGCGATTTGGTCGCTGTCGCCCAAAGCCCAGAAGGATTCCCAGGGTAGACCGAACCTGGCTCCTCGGAGGGCAGTCTTGTTGGCAAGGAACTGGGTGTAGCCACCAGTAGGAGTCTTGCCGATTTGTGCAAAAGTCGCATTATCGCGCGGGTCAACACCATAGATGGCATCTAGGACGTAGACTGCATCACGCACTGTCTTGCCGAAGCAACCGACCGTGTCCTGGTTGAGAGACTCGGGGATGACGCCGTCGCGAGAGGTCAGCCCCACAGTAGGCTTGATTCCAACAATGGCATTGCGCTGCGCAGGGTTGATGACGCTGCCATCAGTTTCGGTCCCCACCGCGAAGGGGACCAGGTTTGCTCCAACGGCGACTCCAGGCCCCGTGCTGCTGCCTCCGGGGTTGACTGTGAGGTTGTAAGCGCTACGGCACTGGCCTCCACGGGCTGAGTAGCCCTCGGAATAGTCGTTGGAGCGCATGCTAGCCCATTCGCTCAGCGCAGCTTTGCCTAGAAGCAGAGCACCGGCCTTGCGCAGACGATTCACAACGGAAGAGTCGCGAGGAACCACCGATCCCAGGAGGGCCCAGCTACCGGCAGTCGTCTCCATGCGGTCCTTGGTTGCGATGTTATCCTTGACAACGAAAGGAATCCCATGAAGAGGGCCGCGAACTCTGCCACTGGCACGTTCCTGGTCTAGAGACCTGGCGATCTTGAAGGCATCGGGGTTATGTTGGATGATGGCACTAAAGTTCTGTGAGCAGTTTCGACTGGAAACTGGAAAAGGAGTGAGACACACTTCAAATACGAGTCTGTCTGGTAGATGCGCTCCAGATAACACTGCAGCAGATCGACAGTGGTCAGCTTGCCAGCAGAGAGCAACTGCTGGAGGTCGTCGATGCTGGCTTCTAGCAGCTGGTGCCCCTTGCAAGGGGGCATGGGAAACAAGTCCGCGCCATTCGTGTCGACGGGAGGGAAGTCATAGGCATAGGGGTCCATTAGGATCTGCGACATAACCAAGGAATCGACATCTTGATTGCTGTTATTGTTGTCGATGGCCAAGAGGGGAGTGGCAGCAGCGAGGAATGCTGTGGCCCCCGCGAGAAGCCCTCGTGTCATTATTCTGGGTCGCAGAATCAACGCCTTCACACGATGACAAGGTCATTGACTGTCAGTAAGGAGTGAAGGAAGCACTGAAGAGGCAAATCGATGATAATGATGAGTTCACGCGAGAAACCAACTCCTGCTGGTTGCATTCTTCTCGCAGGAAACCTCCGACCGGGCCCACAGTAGTATTCACACAGCCAATCATCGCCAGTCAAGGTGCGAAAAGAGAGGAGCTGTTGAAGTCCAGGGCATGTTGGAGTGGCCGATTATTGTGTCTAGCAAAATACGTCTTTATCATGTTATGCTGGGGTGTGTTTGCAGGAGTGCACACACGAAGAGCAGACGTCAGGGATGTTTCAGTTAAATCCATGAATTAGTGGCTACCATAGTTAGGGCTGTACACCGTATACACCGTACAATCCATGCCAATTGTATACTTATCCCCCCACTTCAGATAAGGAATATGAAGCTTTGCCAATACCAGTGCATTGACACGCCGATCCATGCATAGAGACCAATACAAAGATCGAATCCCGCCTTAGTCTCCAATAGCTGCGGAGTTGATGCAACATGAGCGGCAGACCCCCGCTTGGAAGACACTCTTACACAAAGACAAGGAGACCCTCTTCTGGGACACTTTGCATTGAACAACTGTTACTTTCAACTTCCATAGTTATTGAGGGGATACCCTGCTCCTTCCGACCAGAATAAGCCGACATTCTTGTGAAGACAAAATGGCAAACATCGCGAATACCGAACCTGGCCCCCCAGCAAATATACACCAACCGGAGCACGGAGAACAAAAGACAGAAAAATATAGACATGATGCGGACGAGGCCATGAAGGCCTTTGAGGTCCTCCAAGGAGAAACGATCGAGCTCGATGAAGCGACAAACCGTCGGCTACTACGCACTGTTGACTGGCATATCATGCCCATCATGTGCTTTGTCTATGGCATGAACTACCTCGACAGTGCGAAAGACCCGTCCCTGCAATATCGTCGACATATAAACAGATTAAACTGATAATAATATAGAGACGGCCTTGTCTTATGCGAGTGTTATGGGCCTTGAAGAGGACTTGAGTCTCCACGGAAACCAGTATCAATGGCTAGGGAGCTTGTTCTATATTGGTTTGACTATTCCTCTGTATTAATTCCGGATAGGTAGATATCGACTTACATGGTGTATTACTAGGCTATCTCGCATGGGAGTATCCAACAAATCGCCTGCTGCAGTGGCTACCATTAGGCAAATACTCGGCAGCGTGTATCATGATCTGGGGCATGGTTCTCGCCTGCTTCGCGGCTGTGGTCAACTACCCTGGCGCAGTTGCCATTCGTCTTTTCCTGGGGATATTCGAGGCGGCTGTTACACCAGGCTTTACGCTCTTGACATCTCAGGTGTGCTCGCTCTATCCCTGTTAAATGTTGAATGCCTGGTGAACATGGGTTTCTAACAATAAAATTCCAACTCCAGTGGTACACAAAATATGAGCAATACAGCCGCGTGAACATCTGGTTCAGTTTCAACGGAGTCGGCCAGATCGTCGGAGGCCTAGTTGCGTATGGCATCGCAGTAGGCAGCGAGAAGAACGGATCGGCCATCGCACCATGGAAGGTCCTGTTTCTGGTCACCGGAGTATTAACAATTATCCTAGGCCTCGTGTTCTTGTTTATAGTGCCAGATAGCCAGTTAAACGCCTGGTGGCTGAAAAAGGAGGACCGGGCCCTGGCTGTTGCTCGCGTGCGCGTTAATCAACAGGGCATCGGTAACAAGCACTTCAAGCTATATCAGGTCAAGGAGGCACTTCTGGATCCAATGACTTGGGCTTTCTTCCTCTTTGCGCTTATATCGGATATCCCTAATGGCGGCCTGACCAATTTCTTTAGCCAGCTTGTACGGGCCCCCTTACCTTTCAGTTGCTGCTTGAGAGATTGGTTAATCGATTTACCTTTATAGATCCGGAACTTTGGCTTTACTTCCCAGCAAAGCCTGCTCTACGGTGTCCCCGGCGGCGCAGTAGAGGTTATTGCGCTCCTGGGAAGCGGCTACGTCGGACACATCACCCGCGAGTGTCTCATGAGCAGTCTCGGCGGCGAAGTTACAGCGATTGTGGGGATGGTGCTCATTGTTGCGCTGCCCTTGTCAGACAATATCGGCCGACTGATCGGGTACTACATGACGCAGGCGAGCGCCACGGGGTTTGTGGCGCTACTGTCCCTGATTTCGTCGAATGTGGCCGGGTACACGAAGAAGACGACCGTTGCAGCGCTTTACTTGATTGGATATTGCACTGGAAATATTATCGGTGAGGCCATAGACCAGGAGGTTCTAAACAAGGCAAAGCGTGGATTTCTAGCTAACGCTGAATGACTGAATGGATAAGGCCCCCAGATATTCCTCCCCGAAGATGCGCCGCGCTATGTCCCTGCCGAGATCACGATTATCGTTTGCTGGGGCATATGTTGTTTTCTTCTTGTGGCTATTCGGTTCTGGTACCGCAGGGAGAATGAGCGCAAGGCGGTTCTGCGTGCGGATCCTGGCTATGTGAGGCTGGAGAATCAAGAGTGGGTGATACCATGTTACTTGGATCTGTGCCTGCTAATGTTTTCATAGGTGGCTTGACCTGACAGACCGGGAGAACCTCGATTTTGTTTACTCGCTGTGAGGGGCTGCGTTTGTACTCTCAAGTTGGTAGGATACTGAGCCAAGGACATCATATTATTATACATATCGACAGATTTATTGACGCTTTCCTATGACAACCTTGAGACTAAACTTTCCTGCATGCCTCCTGCCTTTCATTTAGCTGTCATCACCTTGTCACATATATATACGGTACCATGCTAGATATTATACTGCTGCTGCCTTCTCATTTGAGAACTGCCTTGGTTGTACTTTGCGTTTATGAACTGGGTCTCGGGTCCTGAATAGGAGGTAGCAACTGTATTTATAGACAGCACATCGCACTTGCCTTCCTATGTTCTCGCCCGCTTTCCTGTTTAGACCTGACCTTCAATACCTGATGGGAAGGTACGATGGAGAGCGAACAGTATTCTCGGATTTGGAAGGAACTATAACTAATGATCCGGAATAAAATTTCGATAACTAAACATTCTCTAGCTCAACCCTCTCTTCGCCCTTATCATCTTCTATCTTCGCCTGGTAACTAGCAAGCGCGTCCCTGTTGATCCCTGTGCACTCATATTGCTTAAACCTCCAAGCCGGAAGCCCCGCAGCAAATAGCTCGTCAACATCTTCCAAACTGCGTCCCTTCAGCTCAGGCATGAAGAACCAGACCCAGATAGCGCCGACTGCGGCACAGCCTCCCCATACGTAGCCAAGTCTGGCGCCGAGGTTCGCACCGGGTGTTGAGAGGAGATAGGGCGTGGAATAGACGACGCCGAAGCCGACGACGACGTTCCAGGCGGTCTGTTGTTCCAGTAGCAGTATGTCAGCTATCTAGTCTAAATGAAGGGTTGGAGGATGTTGTTAGAGACGTACCGATATAGCCATTGTTTTCTCACGCAGGGTGGCTGTTCCAACCTCTGCAGCTGTGATATATGCTGCAGGGCCCAGGGTGGCGTGCAAGATGGCGGCATAGAGAATGAAAGAGGCTACCATGCCGTTTGTTTCGGATGTAGATCGACTGGACTGTGCTCCGAGTCCACCGATTAGGCAGAGGAAAAGAGCCTGGCCCCAGCAGCCGTGGAGGGTGAGGTCGCGGCGGCCGAAGACATCGAACATATACATCCCGATGAGTGCAGTGACAACAGAGACGGCGTTGTTGATAGCCTGTTGGTGAATAAGATTCTGTCATAGTGTGTGAGAAGGAAACATTTGACTTACAGCATATGCAAATGCCTTATCACCGAGTCCAACTTGCTTGTAGAACGTTGGGCCATAGGAACTACTGAAGGTGACGCCCGTCAACTGCTGCAAGGACATGATCACCAGTGCGATGGAAGTGCGGCGCCGATTGGACGCGTTGAAAAGAGCCTTCCAAGATGCCTTTTCTTGCATGTTGTCGGAGTTCTCCAGGGCAATGATCTCCAGCTCACAACGGCCGTCTTCAACCTGTTGTTTAGGTCGAAATACCTTCAGGGCCTTGAGGGCATCGGATCTCCGGTTCTTTGAGATTAACCAACGCGGAGAGTCTGATAGTTTTAGTGTCTGTTCATAGTTTGCTATAAGAAAGATGAGGTACCTGGAGTAAAATAAAGCCCAAGCAGGATGATAAGAGCTGGGACCATCTGAATACCTGTTGCAACCATCCATCCGGCATCAGTGTCGAGTTTGGATAGGCCCTCATTCACGACACCCGCAATCAATGATCCAAATGTCAGGAAGAGTTGGATAGATCCCACACAGAAACCTCTTAAAGGTGCTGGGCAGATTTCCGACTCGTAAGTTGGCACGACCTGTGGATATTAGTTAGGGCTTCCTCAGACGGGATCACGTTGACTTACGTTCTCTACTAAGCCGACTGCACCGTAGATGAGCATCCGACCGACGATGAACTGTGCTGGTGTATGGCTTGTTACTTGGACTAAAAATTGTCAGTATAGCTCTCCTGTTCAAGCTTGGTGCGTGGCTGAAACTCACTAACTGTCCCTACCACCTGAACACAGCACGTTATCGCCATGGACAGGCGATGCCCCCATCTCTCAATCATCGGTCCGATAGTGACAGCCCCAAGAAACTTTCCAATCATAGGTAAACTATATATTCGTCAGATACGTTCAATTCCAGACCGCAAAAAGCCCAAAGGCTACTCTACCTGTTCATCATCGAGACGATATAGGTCGGGATTGCATAATCCTCCTTCTCCTCGCTCCATCTTCCAAACTTCCTCAGAAACGGCCCAAATGTCTGAACACCTCCAAAGGAAGCTCCGTCACTATTGAAGTTATTGAGTTAGGAGTGCCCGATCTATCTCCGCAAATCGGACAGGACATACTAGCCTTCGGAGAGAACGCCGTCAGTACGAAAACTCGTCCTCATTGAAACCACAGAAGTTCACTCACCAAAGAAGATACTTCCCATAGAGTAGAGAATACAAATCAGTATCAATGGTACTGTGCAATCCGCCCAGGCCTCTTTGGGCACATAGAGCTTTCCTCCCCCTGCCATCTTGCCGGTTGAAGGACTGCTAGGGCAAACAAAGTCAATGGAGAGTTTGCAAAAGGAGCGACACTGCAACAGTTGGGATTGGAAAATAAAATAAAATGAAACAGCCGTATTTAAAGCAAAATCCACCGGGTTAATCCTTTTTTATTCTCGCTTCTCCGCGATTCATGAACCGTACTCCAACTCTCGGCGTGGTCTGCAGGTTCCGTTTAGTGCCCCCACGGGGAACCCCAGTTTCAACTGTGCTGTCCGGCATGCTGACCAGGTTCAAGGCTCGTCTGTTGAAATCTGACGGTTAAACGGCGGATAAACGTTTTGCTGTGTTTTAATGCTATTAGAATTCAATAGCACGTTCTCAATAATCGGCTGCGAGTCCTTACCCTTCACAGGTGTGCAAAGGCTACGAACGGGGTAAACGAAGCGCAGAACTACATACATCGCACATATATTAAGATCATATGCTCTGACTATCCGAGACTACAATTGCATTATAAAACCATCCCATGGCAGTTGCTCCAACAAGAAGCAGTTACCATTTCCGGGGTTGGGGCTACCACGCGGAGCCCTAACCCTCTCGCGTTGGAGTAGCTGACTCTCCGAAATTAGGCTCGCAGACCATCCTTCCCGGGGCCAAATCGATTCCTATGACGAGATATTCCTGATTGCCTTGGAATTTTGCTTCCCAAGCCTGAGTCTTCGCTTTCCCGGTCGGCTAAGCCATCATCCAACCCACAGTCTGGGGTAAGCGTATTTCTGGTGTATGGCGAGTTTCCCCCGCTAATATCTTCAAATGCGGTCTCTTCAGGATCAAAGAGTACTTTGAGGTATAGCACACATTGAGAGCTTAAGATATTGTAATCATGCCCAAGTTTGATATCGCGGTATATGGCTCGACTTCGGGCGCCGTGGCTGCAGCTATCCAGGCTGCACGGCAGGGACGAAAGACCGTCCTGATTTCTCCAGATGAGCACATTGGTGAGCCATTGCTCTTTCACCTTCCTTAAAATTGTGGTTAATGTTTTACCAGGTGGAATCCAGATAGAAGGCCTGGGCTCAACAGATATCGACAACCAGGTTGAGTTCCAAAACAGCACTGCGGTTGGGGGCCTTGCGCTGGAGCTGCACCGGCGACTCAGTAAACACTACGGACGGTCTGAGCACCTTGAGGATGTGCTTTCCAGGCGGCTGAAGGTTCCTGAGGTGTGGAAATTCGAGTCGTCCGTGTTGGAGCAGATCATTTCCGACTGGCTTGCAGAGTATCCTTCGCTAGTAATCATCAAAGTCAGCTCCCTAGACTCCCCTGTGGCTTAACTGATCTGACTTGAATATGCAAGGCATCGCTCATTGAGCATCCCTCGGCTGTGACAAAGAATGGCCCTGCTGTCACTTCAGTGCAGTTGACAAATGGGCAAACCATCGGTTCTCAGGTAGGTTGAACCCACGGTATTCCACTTGGGACATTCTAATATCACTATAGTACTTTATCGAAGCCACCTACGAAGGAGATCTTCTTGCCGCTGCGGGGGTGGCCACTACTGTAGGCCGTGAGCCCTCCAGTCAGTACGATGAGAGTCTCGCCGGAGTTCGAGATGACACGCGCTACACCCAGTTCGACGTCCCCGTCGACCCCTACCGTGTCCCCGGTGATTCATCCAGTGGGCTCCTCTATGGAATCTCTCCCGAGCCCTTCGGCGAGCCTGGGAGCGGAGACCAGCATCTTCAGGCCTATTCCTACCGACTCCCTCTAACAGACGTCGAAAGCAATAAGCTTCTCCTCCAGAAGCCCCGGGGATACGATGAAACTCACTACGAGCTTCACCGTCGATACATCCAGGCTGGCGGGAAACTATACAGCCCTCGTTTTCGGGGTATTCCAAACCGGAAGACAGATCTTATCGGATCCGAAGGCGTGCTCGCTACAGACTTACTGGGAATGAGTGACGACTGGCCGACTGCGAGTAGAGCTAGAAGACAAGAGATCTTAGAAGACACCACGCGGTTCACACAAGGACTCATATGGTTCTTTGCCAACGATGAAGCTGTCCCCGTAGGCCATCTGTCCCCAATCCCAGCCCTAATCAACTACTAACTACTCATGAACCCTTCAGTCCTCCATTCGAAACGAATGGTCCAAGTTCGGCTATTGCCTCGACGAATTCCCAGACAACAACCACTTCCCACGCCGGCTGTATGTCCGCGACGCCCGCCGCCTCGTCTCCGACTACATCATCACCCAACATACGGCCTCCGAGCACGATGGCGAAGAGCCAGACCCTTATCCTGTTGCCGTAGCATACTGGCCCACAGATACACACTGCGCGCGACGAGTCGTTCGAAACGGCCTAGCCTATAATGAGGGCTTCGTGTTCAAGGAGAAGCACGAGTGGAGGCCGTTTGGGATTTCGTACCGTGCTCTTGTTCCGAAGGTCGGCGAGGCTGTGAATGTTCTTACAGCGACTTGTCCGAGTTCGAGTCATGTTGGTTATGGTATGTTTGCGTTTTTTTTTTTTTTTTTTTCTTATCTTAATCTGCCATTATAAACAACTATAACAATCGCTGACATCATTCGTGTCTGTGATACCAGGCGCCGTCCGCATTGAGCACCAGTTCTATGCGCTTGGTCAGGCTTGCGCGAATGCTTGTGATATTGCGCTCAGCACGATGGAATCTGGAGATTCAAGTCTGGTTAAAGTGCAAGATGTCCCATATGCAGTTCTTAGGGAGAGGCTTCTTGCACAAGGCGCTGTGCTTGATGCGTCGCTGGTTGGGAAGCCGGATTTTAGTCTCTTGCATGGATAGGTAGGCTATCATCCTTTTACCAGGACTATGAGATTGGATGAATGCCTTATTTATGCTGTTTTACAGGCAGGTTACAGGTGGTAGTGTCATAGATCATCTTTAGATTATATAGAAATGACGGCCATTGACGGCTTTTCAACCCTCGTACTGCAATCCAGGAAATCAGAGTTAAATAGCAAGCAGCAAGAAGGCTGATTTAAGGATTTCAAAGTAAATAATAATACTCCCTAGTTAGAGCGATATTCGCCCGTAACTGTGGTGGCCCATACATGACGTCAGAGGACAAATATATATGTAGAGGCGCAGATCCAAGTGATCTCATACACCAACAAGACCAGTCAATATGAGCTGCACAGTAAGTTTAAACAAGCCCCGTCTTCAAAAGCCGACTTTAACATTAATAGAATACAGAGTACTCCATAGAAGCCCCATTAAACCGAGAACCGTCGGTGAAGGAGCTCGTCTCAAAGTATGTAGATACAACCAGCGCATGTTTCATCGTATAAAAAGCCTGCAGCAATTACTAAAACTCTGGATAGGTTCATAACACCCAACTCAATATCCTACGACCGCAATCATGGCCCAGTCCCGCATCTATCCGCCGACACCCATACCGTCCAAATCGACGGGCTCGTCGCGAACCCCATCCGTCTAAGCGTCCACCAACTTGCTACCGATTTCCCGCAGCACGAGGTCTGGTGTGCGCTCGAATGTGCCGGGAACCGACGGCATACAATGCGCACAATGCTCAAGGAAGTCGAGGGGATCGACTGGGGCGATGCGGCGGTCATGAATTGTAGATGGAAGGGGCCGAGGCTTAGAGATGTATTACACCGTGCGGGTGTGCGTCAGGACCAGGCACAATCTCGAACTGAGGCTGGGCGTCCCTTGCATGTTGCGTTCTCGTCGTATCAGGTTCCATGTCAGGATGATAAATGGTTTGGAGGGAGCGTTGAGTTAGAGAGGGGGTTGAGGGAAGACGCAGAGGTGATTTTGGCGCTGGAGGTTCGTTTCATCAAATGCATTCATGGGATACTTATTATACCTTAATTGTGGTGTGGGTAGAACGGATGGACTGACAGGATATATAGGTGAATGGTGCACCGCTGCAGCCAAACCATGGCTACCCTGTCCGTGTGGTACTCCCCGGAATCGCAGGCGCGAGATGGGTTAAATGGCTTGACAGGATCACAGTCCAAGACGAGGAATCGACGAACTTCTACCAGCGCCGTGACTACAAGGTGCTTCCGGAGGAGGCGGTGGACAGGGATGCGGCGGAACAGTTCTGGGATCGGACGCCTGCGATGTCTGAAGTGTCAATTAACTCTGTTGTTGCTGTACCCGAGTCCGATGAGACGGTTTATCGATCCGATGCGGGGAAGCTGGAGGTTAAGGGGTATGCGGTTCCTGGGGGGTCAAGTGGGCCTGTGGCGAGAGTGCAGGTCTCAGGCGATGGAGGGAGAACGTGGGTGGATGCACAGATCGGACAGTCGGATCCGGATAATTTACTTGGAAATGGTGCGAGGAAGTGGTGTTGGGTTTTGTGGAGGGCGGAGGTTGAGATTGAGTCTGGAGCTGGGAAGCAGGTTGTGAGTCGAGCTGTTGATGCTGGGGGAAACCAGCAAACAGAACACACGCAGTGGAATCTAAGGGGGGTTGGGTATAGCGGATATGGGAGAGCGAGGAACCTGACTGTTCGATAGTCAGAATCCGGCTTTTAGTATGGCATGTATATAATTCTGAGCATTGCACATTGATCTATAACAGGACAGCATAGTATTTACAGTAGCGGTGATTATGGAAGAACAATGTATTTCTCCAAGTGCTTGGGAATTGCGTTCCTCAAGCCCTTGGTTTCAAGCCATTTGTTGGAGAACAGCCTGTCTGCGTATCGGTAGGCACCGTCGGCAAGGATGGTCACCACTGTGCTGCCCTTACCAAGCTTTTCGGCCACTTCCTTCGCCGCAACAACGTTGAGAGCCGAGCTAGCACCGAGGTAAAGACCCTCCTCGTCGAGGCAGCGGTAGATCATCTCAATGGACTTCTCATCACCGATGTTCACAGACCCGTCCAGTGTGCCGACATCAGGCTGGAGGTTGTCCGTGATGCGACCCTGACCAATGCCCTCAGTAATACTGCTACCGGAACGCTCGGTCAACTTTCCGCCGCTCTGAATATAACTGTGAAGAACACTGCCGGGAGGATCCGCGAGGAAAGACTTTACGCGGTTGTTGCTAATCTGCTTGAGGTAGTAGGTAATTCCGGCAAGAGTGCCTCCCGTGCCAGTCGAGCAGGTGAACGCATCAAGCTTTCCTCCAGTCTGCGCCCAGATCTCCGGACCTGTGGTTTCGATATGTGCTCGGCGATTGGCTGTGTTGTCGAACTGGTTGGTCCACACAGCATTGTCCAGTGACTCGGCATGCCTCCGCGCCTTGTGGTTGTAGTTCTCTGGGTTGTCAAAAGCGACTGCTGGAACCGGGTACACCTCCGCACCGAGGAGACGCAGAAGGTCAATCTTGCCTTGCGACTGTGTGTTGGGCATGTAGATGACCAGCTTGTAGCCCTTGGACCGGCAGACATGTGCGAGACCAATTCCGGTATTTCCTGCGGTCCCCTCCACAACTGTACCGCCAGGCTTCAGAAGACCCCTCTCCTCCGCATCCTTGACGACGAACAGCGCAGCCCTGTCCTTGACACTACCTCCGGGGTTCTGAAATTCAGCCTTACCGAGGATGTTGCAGCCGGTCTCATCGGAGAGTCGCTTGAGGCGAATAAGAGGAGTGTTACCAATTGCTTGAGAGAGAATTGTTAGTTCGGCGAGCTCTCAGCCTACCCGGAGTGCTTCCGCTTACCTTCGGTAAGCCCGTTAACGACTCCTTGAGCCTGGGAGACTCGGACGCCGTAGGATTCTGTAGCCGCGCTGCGCAGGGCAGTCGTCGCAAATCGTCGGACACTTTGCCTGAACATCCTGTCTATGCCAATGTTGCTATTCCGACTGACAGGGCGGAGGAAGAATGGCGTTTGCGGATTGATATCCAATGGACGACCGATTTCGGCATTAGTAATTCAATGTCACGTGGCCGATGGCGTGCTAGCTGCTCGACCTCAAGGCACCTTGACTCTGGCGAAAGAGCTGCCATGAGGCGGTGTTTGGGAGCATTATTGCGCAATCCAGTGTCTCTATATACCTTGTTCCTGGGAGACTGAAACATACTCGCTGTAATAAGGGCTGATCATCTGGAGTTGGTTGTACGGTCACGTGTTGCCCTAACCCTTATCTGGACTGCCAGTTTGGGGTGTTTGTTTATCCTCCGCCCCGTGACTCTCAGCAACAAGATCATAACAAGCATTGCGACAGACGACCAACAATCGCCTTCAGCCATCGACCTTCACGCCAAACGCCAGAATTTATTGAGCAAGCGGCAATATATGAATGCAACTTTATTAGGATGATTTTTGCTTCATTCCTGGCCATCGATAACTGATAACAACCTCCTTACCGCTGTCACTACCCCTCGATCAAGATGCCTAGTCGAGTTTCCGCCCGTTCGACATCCACCGCGCGCAAAAGCTCTGCAACGGCATCAAGCGGTCGCGCTGGTTCCGCGACACCATCATTCGCCATCCCTGAAGAACCTGCACTTCCTGAGGCCGCCCCGAATCTCCGCCGGGACGTGTGTGCAATTTTCGCAGATGCTCAGCGCTCGACAACAGGCCATCGCAAACTCGTTGTCCGGTTGAGGAAGATCCAAGAGGCTTGCTGTGGTATCTCGCAGAAAAACTCAAAAAAGGACGGCAAAGATGCTGAAGCTCCCCAAGAACGATTGATCCCAGGTGAAGAAACAATACCCGAGAAGGAATTCAACGTTGAGGTGGGCCGCTGCGTGTTGCGAATTTTATCAATCAAGAAGACAGAACCCGTTGGTGATCGTATTCTACGCTTCCTTGGGAACTTCCTCACGCATGCTTCAGAGAAGGATGCTGAAATTTTCGGCTCGGGGGAGGAAGAGGATGATGACATTCAGAACACGCACGAGAGACCGACCGCCCATTTGACTACCAGCCTTGTTTCTCTTATAGTGCCTCTATTGTCCGCCAAAGATAAAATTGTTCGCTTCCGCACCACACAGATCATTGCACATGTTGTCAATTCGCTTGATACTGTGGACGATGAATTATACCACACCCTTCGTCAGGGTCTCCTAAAACGGATTCGCGACAAAGAACCCTCGGTCAGAGTACAGGCAGTCACGGGCCTCGCCCGCTTAGCTGGCAACGAAGAAGACGACGACGAAAACGACGATACCAACGCAGCTCTCGTGGAGAAGCTTGTTGATATAATGCAAAACGATACCGGAGCGGAGGTTCGGCGAACATTGCTCCTTAACCTGCCACTGATTCCGGCCACCCTCCCATACCTTCTCGAACGTGCCCGCGACCTCGACGCGCCTACACGAAGGGCATTGTATTCTCGCCTTCTTCCTACACTAGGCGATTTCCGACACTTGTCTCTGTCAATGAGAGAAAAGTTGCTTAGATGGGGTCTGCGTGATCGTGACGAAAGTGTGAGAAAGGCTGCAGGAAAACTGTTTCATGACCGCTGGGTCGAAGATTGTGCTGGAACGAACAATGACCCCGAGAGAGTTGGGCAGCGTTCCGAACCCAATATCTCCGCTCTTCTGGAACTTCTGGAGCGTATTGATGTAATAAACTCCGGAATGGAATCTGGAATAGCGCATGAGGCCATGCGCAGCTTTTGGGAAGGCCGAGCGGACTATCGAGAAGCGGTTCTGTTCGACGAAGCCTACTGGGAATCAATGTCAGCCGAGTCCGCCTTCCTTCTACGCTCGTTCAACGATTTCTGCCGAGTTGAAAACGAGGGTAAATATGATAGCCTTGCCGACGAGAAGATTCCAGTCGTCACCGCTCTCGCAATGTACCTCCATAAATACATGACCGAGCTTCTCCAGCGCAAGAAAATCAACAAAGACGCCACTGATGTGAACGACGACGAAACGGTTGAAATAGAATTTATCGTTGAGCAATTGTTGCATATCGCCATGACTCTGGATTATAGTGATGAGGTCGGGCGAAGGAAGATGTTCTCTCTACTCCGCGAGGCTCTCGCTGTCCCAGAGCTCCCCCAGGAATCTACGAAGCTCACGGTCGAGACGCTGAGGTGTGTTTGCGGTCCCGATGCGGCAGCTGAAAGCGAATTCTGCAGTGTAGTATTGGAAGCTATTGCTGAGGTCCACGACACCATCATCACCGAAGATAGCTTTGTTTCCGCGAAGTCTGAAATCAGCGATGATGCCAGCAGCCGCCACCGCTCTGAAACGCCAATGAGTGAAGATGAGAAGCCGTTTAACAAGGAGGAGGCTAAGGCTAAGGTTCTCAAGGAAATTGTGGTTAACATGAAGTGCCTGCACATTGCTCTCTGCATGCTGCAGAATGTTGAAGGCAATCTTCAGGCCAACATGAACCTGGTCACTATGTTGAACAACTTAGTTGTGCCTGCTGTTCGGAGTCATGAGGCTCCAATCCGTGAACGTGGTCTGGAATGTCTTGGGCTTTGCTGTTTGCTTGATAAGGTGGGTGTTGCTCCCAACTAACGGTAGTCCTTTGCTAATCACTGTGCTAGACTCTCGCCGAGGAGAACATGACGCTATTTATCCACTGTTACAGCAAGGGCCACGAGCCTCTTCAAGTAACTGCTATCCAGACCCTTTGCGACATGTTGACCAGCCATCCAGCTCTGTTGGCCCCTGTAACTCAGGCGGACAAGGAGACAGTCGCCCCGCCGGCGTTCCAGAAGCCACTACTCAAGGTTTTTGCTAGGGCACTCAAACCAAGCTCACCGAGCGGTGTACAGACAGCTGCTGCGGCGGCTCTTTCGAAGCTCATGCTTACCAATGTCTTTACGCCTTCCGCACCCAACATCCCTCAGGTCATCCAAGAGTTCAACCAGAACGCCATCGAGACACTGCTACAATCCCTCGTCGTTTCCTTTTTCCACCCTCGGACCCGTGACAACCCCGCTTTGAGGCAGTCCCTGGCCTACTTCTTCCCTGTGTACTGCCACTCCCGGCCGGAAAATACTCAGCATATGCGTAAAATTACCGTTCCTGTCATCCGAACTGTCCTGAACTCGGCTGAAGAATACTACTCCCTCGAAGCTGAGGAAGACAGTGATGGCGAGATTGACGAGTCTGTTGGTGACAAGGAGCTGAAGGCGCTGATGACCGGAGTTATCGGTATGCTCTCGGAGTGGACCGATGAGCGCAGAGTTGTCGGACTAGGCGGCGAAAGGGTTCTTGCTGGAGGCCCTGCAAGCTCTAATGCATGTGGGTTTATTCATCTCGAATTGATCAAGGATATCCTGGAGCGTGTCCTTGGAGTCAGCTCTAGCACCAATCGTTGCTCCAAGGAAGAACGGAAGCTCCTGTTCTCACTCATGAGCAAGCTCTATATTGCCCCACCCACAGCACCTTCACGGTCAGCTTCTCAAAACCCCGAGAATGACGACTCATTCCGCACCAGTGTTCGAAGCTCCCAGGGTGAAATCAATCCGGAAAACCTTGCTCTCGCCCAAGAAGTCAAGGAGCTCCTCGACCAGACGATTGAAGAAGGCATGGCGGCAGATGCTGCAGGACGCAATGCTCTCGTCAAAGTCAAGAACGTGGTCCTCAAGCTGCTGGCGGCT